GTCATCAATTGAGGTTCATATAGGCAGCACATGTGATGGGAGGTTCATAATTTACGTCATCAATTAAGGTTCATATAACCAGAACATGTGATGGTTGAAGACATTTTTCTGGGCATGAATTTTGGACTTGCATTGCTTTATTTTGATTGTTTTTCTTACGTCTCGATTAGTAATTATCTTCAGTTATTACCTGAAGACCATTAGAGATAATTACTAATCGAAAAGTTTGTAAGAAAAACAATCAAATTAAGACAAGGCAAGTATAAAACAGCTGTTAATCATTCATAAAATTGATTTATTGCGAAATTTTGGTCAATAATAATCCAAAAGATCTTTTTCTTTAAGTCATTTATTTTAGTTTTTGTGACAATTGTCTACATTTATAGAAAGATATCTTATTTTAATTAAAATTAGGTATCTTTTTATAAATTAATAAATTAATTAATGATAAATTAATTTATAAACGTGATCTTAAAATCAACGTGTTAACTCGTTGATCTTAAGATCCATTCCAATTTTGAATTCCAAATAAAATTATGTATATTTTTTTTACAAATGTAGTCTACAAATTTAGTCTTTACAAATCCAGTCTTTTCACAAATTAACCATATGGTGTAAGTCAATTTTTTTGAAAATTTTAGTTATAATATGAAGTAAAATCAACAACTACTGTATATACTGTAGTAATTTATTAAAGGGGTAATTTGTATAATACCTACATCAAATGGTTCAATTTAGCCGGATATTTTTTGACTTTTCACGGGGTTTGACGTATTAATTTGACAAGATATTTGGGCGATACAATTTTTTTCTATGCCAAATTAACAAACCAGTAAGTTTAAGTTAAAAATACAAAAAATGTCCTGCTCAATCGAACTTGGTATTTGTTGAGAAAATTTCACGAGAAAATAAATTAACGTCATTTTTGTGTCACTTTGGCATTTCTCTATACAATAATACATCCGTTACTATGGGGTATTTCCATTGTAACGGGTGCGACACTGACACTGCGTTTTTTCATGATAATAAAGTTTTTGTTCATATATATCAAGATACGTTAATATACAAAAATAGTATAAAAAACAAGATATTTAACTCAAACAAAATGCCAATAAAAACTGTTGGATTTTAAAGTTTATACTTTAAAATTTTGCATGAAAGCATACATATCAAGGTGCTGTTCTGAGAGGTGATTTTTGGACTTTCTTTAAAACCTAATTTTTTTTATATTCTTGTTAATTAGGTCATAACTAAAATTTTAAGAGCAAAATAAAAAAAATTTGACGGTTAATTTTGTTTTAATTGGATGTTTATTAAAAATATGTATGCACACTTTCAATTCTCCAATTAAAACTTGCGATTTTATTTAAATATTATCATAACTTTTTAAATCAGATTAAAGATTAGTTAATTTCCTTAAAAAAGGTCTATACATTTTTTACATCTTTTACTGTTTTGTTGTAATACACGTTTAAAGTTTTAATTTAAGGTTAATAAATGTATAGTATACATTTATTAAACAATAATTCTAAGGGTGCCACATTTTATTTAGGGCCGATTTATTCATTTTTGATTTATTTGACGAATAATTTCTTTGGATACTAGATATTGCCAAGACATGAAAGTTATCGGCCCGATAAACTTTACTAAAGATGAATAAACCGGTCCTTATTTAAATTTCATGAATTTCTTCGTAACTTTTACTACAATTTTTCATTTTTGTTTATAAAAAACACTTTAAAAAACTAAACAAAAATTATAGAATACGTATACTGAAAATGACAATTCAAACGTCAAATAAATTTTTTAAATAAAATATATAAAAAAAAATTGTAAAAACCTTTTTTTTAGTTATGCAAATATTAAATATTTAAATTAAATCGCTAGTTTTAATTGGATAATTGAAAGAGTGCATAATATTTTTAATAAACAGCCAATTAAAACAATTCAACCCGTCAATTTTTTTTATTTTGCTCTTAAAATTTTAGTTATGACCTAATTAACAAGAATATAAAAAAATTAGGTTTCACAGAAAGTCCTAAAATCACCTCTCAGAACAGCACCGTGATATAGGTATGCTTACCATATATGGTAATAATTTTATATCTATTTTGCGTTCATAATTACTTCATTGTAACACCGCTTTCGGTGATGTAATGAGGTACTTTACCCCACCCAAGATTTTGATTTTATAGGTTGGCTACTTTAAACAGCATACTAGTAAAATAACATTTTGCATATTGGTTATAATATTTTTTCTGGCAATAAATTTTGTTTAACAGCAAAGAAAATCCTTTTTTTATTCTTTAACATTAACAGCTGCTTATTGTAAATAAGTAAATTAAGGACGCCATGGCGAATCGTTTTTTGCATTAACCCTTCAAACCAATAACTGTGATACCAACTATTTAAAGTAAAATTCGACCAAATTAAATATAAGGTATAAAATTAATTTTTTTATACAATTTTTGCAAAATAGATGAAATAACATAAAGAAATTATGTCATAAGACCTTTTGTCGTACTCGTCCATTGTGCGACAAAATGACGTGCGACAAAATGACGTCTTATGACATTAGTTCTTTAATATACTAATAGCTGGCCATACACAGACGTTATTTCGCGCGGTTTATCGTGGCGTGTTGGCATGTAGCGGTTTGCATGCACGAAAGAACGGCGTGGCAAAAAAAGCGTCATGTTCCATACACTTGATAAAGTATTCAAATGATTTAGCAAGTGATTGCCCGTGGTATATCAGTTTCAAAGGAAAAATCGTATGTGAGTGGGCAAAAAGTGTCATTTATCGAGTCGTTTGAAACTGCATGTGATCATGTACAAATTTTCAACGTGAAATTTTGCCAAGCAAAGGTAAACCGTGACGCGGAATGTGGCGTGTGGACACGCCACACTCCAGAGAAAAGCACGTCTGAAATCCCTTCCCGTTCTATCATTGCGCGCGGCGACACTCACTCACGTACATGATTTTCCATATGTTTTTGCAGATAACAAGATAAACCGCGCGCAATAACGTCTGTGTATGGCCGGCTAATGTGTAAAACTTGAATAGTAACCTCAAACAAGCACATATTTTAAATGCACAAATATTGTATACGTTATTTTCTAAAAAAAAATCAAAATATAACGGTTGCGATATTTGAACTTTTTATCGAGTATCTTTTGTGTTTATTCTTAATGTTAGCTTCTTAGCATCACAATGTACGAATATTTTAAGGTTATAAATTACGTCGCAATCAGTGTTGCCAATGTACGTGGAAATCCACGCATTGTGTGGAATTTGTGTGTAATACATAAATGTGTGGAATTTGCGTGTAAACTTTATCTTTAAATTAACAATGCTTATAACAAGCATTTAAATAGATATATTTGCAAATGCGCATTTTAGTTATTTAGTTATATGGACGAATTTATGTGCAGACTTATTGACAAAGTAAGTAATCTAGTAAGTTTTTGAAAACGTCTTTAAGTAATCACCAGTAATTACCACAGAAAGAGTTTTTGTGGTGATTCACCTCAGAAACTCTTTCTGCTGTAATCACCAAAGAAACCTAACAAAACCAATATCCCAAATGTGTGGAATAGTTGGCAAAATTGTGGAATTTTGACAGAATCTGTGTGTAAATTATGTCAAGACCATTGGCAACACTGGTCGCAATTAAACTATTTTACTTCAGGGCCATTCCACGCGTAACGGATGGGACAGTTGCATGTTTTTATTTATAAAATAATATTGTTCTATTATATTACTAATGTCAAATTTTTATAATTATTTCTAAACAAAAGCTGTTTAACAAGGTTTTTATTTGGCAAAAGTAGGTATCGTAATTGTATGTTTAATTACTTAAAAATTATTTTTTTTTTTCAAAAACGGTACTAGTAGTGTTTTTGAATAAAAAAATTAATTTTTAAGGAATTAAATGGTCAACCACGATACCTAATTTTGCAAATAAAAACCTTTAGAACTATTTATAAAAAATTGGCATTAGTAATATAATAGAACAATGTTATTTTGTAAATATAAATCTGCAACTGTCCCATCCGTTACGCGTGGAATGGCCAGTCAGGTACAGTTTTTATTTTCTTAAATAACACATCTGATTTTTTGACCCGGGTTAGGTTTTGAGAAAATACCCTATGGAGAAGTTAAATAAAAAAATATTCGCCAATTTCGGTCCCAAGCATTTCTGTTCCTTCTGTTTAATCCATGAGCAAACCTTTTTTTGATGATAAACTAAACTCCTAAAGTCTATTCAAATCCAAGTTGGACTAAACAAACACGCCCAGGCGCATGATAACTCGTTCTTATTTGTCGATTCTGGTCGTGTGACTGGGATTGTGATTTCTTATTGGTCTATTTGGAGGATTGTGTTTAGATTTGAATAGACTTTAGTCCCTGCCAGGGACTCCCTGGTTTTCACATTTTTAAATATACATATTTTATAAAATATGATTTTAGCATTCCAGTAAGTATGTGCATTTGACATTCTTAATTTTTTTTTTTGACAAACATTTGTTTCTTACACAAATATCTTACATAATTAAGTATTATTTACTTTTCTTAAATCTTTATCTTAATATTCCAATGTGTTAATAAAAACATATCTTAAAAATGGCTAACGACTTTCGTCTTCCTGCCCAACATATCTTATTTTTTTACATTTAATAAATAATTTACAATTCAATTAACAAAAAATTCCAAAATTATAAAAATTTAAATTTATTCAAAACCATTTTTAAGAGTTTTTGAAACTTTTTAAAGGAATTTAAATTGTTTATTAAATGCAATAAAATAATTAATAATAATTATTAATAAAATAATAATAATAATTAATAAAATAATTAACAAAAAAATCCAAAATTATTCAAAACCATTTTTAAGGTTTTTTTTAAACTTTGTAAAGGAATTTAAATTATTTATTAAATGTAATAAAATAACATGTTAAATAAAATATTTAATTTAATAATAACAATAATAATACTTACAGCACAGTCGGTTGGCAAAGAATCATCCCACTCCTTCCCATTATAGCTACTACCACCATTCCACTTAAACTCGCTCATACAACCACCCTTGGCCAACTCCCTGATACGTTTTTCCAAATACTCCTGATTAGCATGTACTTCAAGAAAAGGAATTAAGGTGGTAAGTGAGGGAATGTACTGCATCACAGGGATCATTTGGGCAGTTTTCCTAAGCCTATCCAAACCCACCAATCCTATTTTTATCTCTGCCATGCCATGAGATGCTAACGAATGATTTACAGTGTCAAATTCCTTCACCAGTCTTTCCAAGATTGTCTGGGTTACCCACTAGAAGAAGAGTATAAAAATGTTACATTATTTAATTTAAAGACAATTTTTGTAACTTACAATTCTTAAATTCTCATTCCACTGTGTCAAGGCAACTACATCAACATTTATCCTAGCCCATACTTCCAAAACAGAGGCCTGTGAGTTCATAGAAGTATTCCCATGTTCATCAACTTTGCTGCTGGGACTATTAGAGTTACTTTTATCTAAAATAATTTACCTCACTAAAATGCATTGAAATATCTCTTATAACTTACTTGGTGATTGTGTGGATAGTTGATACTGACACCTCTTCAAAAATGAAGACATATCTTTAGCTGTTTTAGTAACAGGATGGCTCCAGAAGGAACTTAATAAATTTGAAGAATGTTGTGTTTTATTTGCCAACTTATTGACACTTTCGTTTTTTTCATGTTCTTTGAGATACTTTTCCAGAGATTTGTCATCTTTTATCATCTCAACTGATGAGATATTTTGGAAAGTTGATACTTTTAATGGTGTGGATCTGTTCGATAGTAATCCAGACCTGGACCTATCTGCATCTGGGCTTCCTTGTTGGTAAGTCCAGGATGAGGATAGGGAATAATTTAAACCTAAAAATTAACATTTAAGCTGAAATTTACTAGATTGAGTTTAAAAGCTTACTGTCATTTTGAGTTATATTTGATTTCCAACTAACATTTGTGGAATTTAATGAAGACATATTGCCTACAGGCGTGTTAATACCAGAAGATGTGTTATGTGTATTTTTAACAATTCTAAAACTTGGATCTAAAAATTAAAATTTTTAATCAAATCACTATTGAATGTTTTATATGGGGTGGTCACTATAAATAAATCAGATTATTAAAAAAGTTGTGTAAATCAAGTTTGAGGATGTGTAGTATTTTAGTTTATTCCACAATGACACCACTATTTGTTTTTAATATTGGCTCCAGTACATTTAGAATGTATTTTAAAAATTCCAAATATGTTTTTGGTATTAATATTTTTTTAATATTTTAAATTGTTTTCAAAAATAAAATAGTTGACATTCATAAATATCTATTTATATTAATTATAATCATTTGTTTTAATAATAGATTCAAAAATAGCCCCATTGAATTAAAATAGATTTAAACAAACCTGAATCCCTCACTCCAAGCAATTTTTTCTGTTCTAAATTAATAGTAACTTGATCTGTCCTAGCAACTCCTAGTTTTATTACCTTGACCAAATGATAGAATACATTGAAAGTTAAAATTCCAATTATAACATACTCGACATAGTTGTAAAAGTTTAAATAGTATGAACATGTAAAAGACCTAAAATAAAATAATAAGAAATATTGTTTTTGCTTATTACAAATATGAAAGATAGTACTCACACATCGTAAAGTAAAATTGCCAATAAACAGACATTGATAGACCCCCAGAAAATACTATTTTTTAAATTCCTTCTCTTTTTAGTGATAAGCAGACTTCTTTCCAAAATAGGCGAGTTACTGGTATCCAAAATACTGCGATTGGGCCTGAAATTCAACATAACCCAACAAATTTTTAACGTTAAAAATTGTATAACTCACCTCGAGACATTCATGGTAAAGGATAACAATAAATTTACTAAAAACTTAAACTTTCATCACATAAATTAAACAACTTTATTAAATAAAAACATGCAAAAATCAACCGCGCCAAAATCTTATAACAACAAAAAATAATTAAATTTATGTTGGCAGCAGTTATTGATTTAGTACAAATGATCTACTGGGTGTCGCAGTATGCGTCAAACGTAGTTGCGATGTACCGGTGGTTTTATACCGGGTTTATCAAAAAGTCACCTGTTGCCACAGAAAATGGTTTACGTGTACTTTTCGAATGATTTTAGGGATTTATTTGAAAGATGGTCGCCTAGTGTATGGGAGGAACCGAGTTATTTGGAGGGATTTTGGAATAGTATTAAGTGCTTCTTAGATCTGCAATTTAGGTATTTATTTATTTTAATAAAAGTCGTTATAGGTTAACAACTATATTTAAAAACGCTTTAAAATTAAATAAGTATTTTATTCGGTGTGCCAGGCTTTAAATCTTTGGGCGGCCCTAAGCCATTTATTCATCTCGTTTTTGCATTGTTCATTGTTAATTTTATCTGTTGAAGGGTAGAACGTTTGTTCTACGCTAATTTGGTTTTTTAAATCGCGTTTATTTTTCCATATACCTTAAAAAATGTATATCAGTTGGACAAAATATTTGATTTTACCATATGTTAGTACCAGATGAAATTCCAGCTAGATAACCAGCCCCAATAATTGATAAATCGGCCATGTCAAGTCTTTCTATGCTTAGTCCTGTTATATCAGCCAACATTTGGCATACAAAATCGCTGTTGGATACTCCACCATCGATTCTATAAAACATTTTATTAAATGGAAGGGTAGTAATATGGAACCCCTATCTTAATATAGAACCACCTGCACAGCATTCCTGAGTTTAGATTTTTCCAGTTTACCTCACGCCATGATTTCATTTTGGTCATTTGTGTATCACCTGAGCTCATGGCGTGAGAAGAAAATCTGATACATGTTTGTTGTATCATGGACCTGCGTATGCGCACGTTTTAAATTAAGGTCCATTTGACATAAAATTGTAACCTCAATTGTACCTGTAAACATGCGCAACTAAGATTTTGCGCTCATGAGCACACACAGAACATATGATCTCAGGATTGTTGTGTGAGATGTCTATCCTAATAAGTTTTCTTGATATTCAACATAGATTTTTCTATGATATTCAATAAATAAAAAAGCTGCTTATCTAATTTAGTGGCCTAAAAATATAACAAAGTTACCTCATTCTTCTATAGTCAGTTTGAGTTTCATTAATTAAAAGATTTATGGTTAGAGCCACCCTAAAAATTATGCTTTCCATGATTGCTCTAACCATATGCTCTTTTCTTGTAGTAGGTTTAATGCCTATAAAGCCAGAGCCGGCGTTGTCATCATTTACAGGGGGCTAAAATAGTTTTTATAATTTTATTTTTTAAATTAAAGTATTATTATATTATATTTAACCCCAAGTCCACTAAAAGCTGCAATAAAATATACTCCATCATTACTTGTGGTTTTGTTAATCATTTCCGGTATTTCTCGAACCGAATTTATGAATCCTAAAACAAAAATATGAAAAATTGAGATCGTCAAAAGGTATAAAAACAATATTTTGTTTCTAAATGGAAACATAACAGGTCGCTAAAATGTATTCAACATTTTATTGTTGAAAGTTTTTTTTAATTCTAACCCAAAAGAAAAAGACACGCGCTCGATATGGATTCAGCCCGTTAAAAACCGGAAATATATAGTCTGATTTATGTTTTATGTATTAATTGTGTTATTTTGACATTTCAACTTATTTTACCTGACTGAAGAGCCCATTCAATTAGCGATCCTGAATCATTACAAGCAACTTCTGACAAGTAAACAATTTCCTTATCCATGTTCCACCCAACCAATGGATACAATCCACTTTTACTACCCTGTATGGAATTACCCGTATTTAAATTTAAAAATGCGCCCGTTCCTAAAGTTACTTTAAGGTCGTTTTTGTTAAAACAACATGCGCCCAACATGGAAGATGACTGGTCAGAAATCTAGAAAAAAAGATATACCTAATTAGAACTTTAAAATATATTGGTAGATTAAACGATTTTAATCCTAAAAAACTGCGTTGCCAATAAATAAATAAAACTGTTATTACTATGCATCCAATTTTGATAGGAGCCCCAAAAATATCCTTCTCAATTTCTCCAAAGTTATAATTGTTTGCAACCACCTCAGGCAGGATACTTTTTGGAATCCTCAGTAAATTTGTCATTAAACCCCATTGCAATAGAAAAGGATCGTACAAACAAGTCGCGCTAGCGTTACTTATGTCGGTTACGTGTTTTTTGCCGTTTGTAAGTTTGTATACCAACCAAGTGTCCATGGTACCAAATAGTACGTCGTCCTTTAATAAGGCTTCATTGAGCTCCTTAATGTTGGATAGCATCCATGATAAACGAACTGAAGCCTAAAAAGTTATGTTTTTGCATATGGGAACAATTGTTTTCAAATAGTCCGACCGTTTCAAAGCTATCTAAATGAATGATTAACTTTATATTGTATTGTTTATGTTTTTAATAGGATAATTATTATTCGTGTCATAGTAACTAAACATGGATTTTTAGAAGCCGGACTATTTGAAAAGGTACCAAAACATAAATTAAGGATCTTACATCTCTGCTAACAAATTTTAAATTGCTGGCTGCAAAAAGTCTGTCATTTCTGGTAAAGAAGTGACCTATTGCTGCTCCTAATTTTAGAATCTAAAATTATAACATTTCATTTAATTACTTATGCATCTTAAATCATGTAAATTTTATGTTTTAGTTTTGCGGGGCACATATTTTTAATGGTAAAACATCAACACCCTAATAGGTATAACAAGGTTTAATGTTAAAAAAATTGAGTTTATATTTTTACAACTTTGAAATAACTCTATATACAGGGTGAGTCTTTTACCTTGAACTTTAAAATATCTCGGTAAATAGGCATTTTACGAAAAAAAATTAAAATAAAAATTAAATGATTCGAGGGGGGAAATAAATTAGTACCAAAATTATTCCCCATTATCCCTCATACTCAGGATGGGCATGAGTTAACTTTAAAATTTCCAGTGGAACAGCCTATTTTGTATTGCAGATTTGGATCATTCGACTAAAAATAGGTAGATTATGTCTCAAACATTTTTTCATATATGTAATAGATGGCGCTGTAATAAAAAAATCAATTTTATTCGATTTCTTCTCTGTATACTATTTTGCAATCATTTTTCAATAAAAATATAAAAGTGATATATCACTTTTTCATTGGAAATAATTATCTTATTAAATTAAATCTGATTTTTTTTGTTGATAAAGTACGATTTTTTACTAATATCTAAGTTTCCTAAAGTAAAAGTTTTATACATCATGTATTTTTTATTATTGTTTTTGTTTGTTGTTTTTTGTTGTTTTAGACAAAATCTACCTATTTTAGTCGAATGATCTAATCTGCAATAAAAAGATAGGGTGTTCCATTGGAGATTTTAAAGTACTAATTTATTTCTTTCCTCGAATCATTTAATTTTTATATTAAATTTTTTTTCGTAAAATGCCTATTTACTAAGATAATTCAAAGTTTCAAGTTATATGTAGAGTTATTTTTAAGCGTAGGTACCTACTAGTAAAAACGAAAAATTTGATTTGTGTTTTTAAAACTGTAAAAACCCAAATCAAATTTTTCGTTTTTTTAACATACAATCTTGTTATATTAGGGTGTCGACATGTTAATTTTTATAAAATGGGAAAAATTTAAAGACGATTTTCTTAAGAGTGCAAAAATATTACTAGTTTTGATTTAAACTCACCCTAACGCTCCAATATTTATTGACAACTTTAGCAAAATTTTTCGTTCTCAGATCTTTCCATGTAATAAAATCATGGAAAGGCTTTCCACTGGATTTGCTCCACGTAATAAAACTGGCTCTTTGGACCGATATACCAAGGGATTTTACATCAAAAATGTTTATATTTCCAGCTAAAAAGAGATTGTACAAATTAATTTTTTTTTTAGTTTTAATTTTTTTTATACATTTTTATTTATATTATGTATCATATATTCTGTCAAGAAATAAACCAGAATATTTCTTTCGTGTAAATATGTTTATTGACGTGGTGCATCCACAGAAATATTTCCATGGCTGAATCTCAATTTGGCCTTAATCACATAAGGTTTCAAGAAGTTTTAACATCAAATGTGTAAAAGGCAGTTTTTTTAATATTTGCGACAATTTTTTTACATCTGTCATCTTCTGTCAAAAGCTCATTATTTTTTAATTTTTGACCATTTTTTTTACTAGTACTGTAGTACAAATTGCAGCGAATATTGTACAAGTACTGTCGTCGCTTTATATTAATAGCTAATTAGCTTCATGCACTTATTTCTAAACGAAAAGTAATTTAAATGTCATAAAACATTAATATTTAAAAAAATAAGATATAATAATATACCTGACATAGCATCCTTTATAACAGATATTACATCTCGCCACAATTCATCTGGACTGATTTCCACATAACCAGGTTTTGGGTAATGTAAAGTCACCTAAAATTAAATCAATGCAGGCAGCTGTGCAGTTCTGACATTTGTATGCTGCGCAATACAAAAATCACTTAGATCTAAGAGTGGAGAGATATAGCGTGCTCTATCTACACACTCTTTAATCCAAGGTTCGACTTTCAATCGTACGTTTTTGTAAGCAGATCCAACAGCTTCCAATGAAATATTCAAAATTTTACATTTTATTTTGGTCGTTCCAATGTCCAAGGCGGCCACATAGCCTCTAGAATCACCAGCCATGTTTGTATCTAAAAATAAACAAATTATGTTTTAATGATTAATTACTGCATGTACTCACACAAACAAACATACTTTAATTGGAAATATAAATTTTAATTATAGTATCATTATTTAGGTAGGGTTAAATGACATCGAAAAAAAATATAGTTGTTTTTAAACTGTAAACAAATAATTTATATTAGGTGAAAATACAAATTAAAGCCAACCTATGAAATACATAAAATATATTAAGTATTTATTTCAAACAATATCTTCTATATCGTTTCATGTGTATTAATTAGCGAGTTATGAATATTTTCTTATGTCATTAATAAAATGTAATTTAGGCATGGTTAAACTACATAAAAAATTGTTTTTTTTCAAAATTGTTTTTGGTCTGTGAACAAATAATTTGGATGATACGCAACAAAAAAATAACTTGGGAAATAACGGACACCCTAATAAACAGGGTGGCTCAAAAATTTGGAATATTGAGTGTAAGTTTTCAAATATGAAAAATATTAAAAATTGATTTTAATAAAAGTTGTTTAATAGTTTATTTCAAATTTTGCGGTGACATTACCAACTTAAATACAGAGCCAACTTAAATACAGAGCCCCCCAAAGGGGGCCAACTTTTTTTTAATAGTAACCCCCTTTTTTACAGCAGAATTTAAAAGAGGCATTTTTTTCTGTTTACAACAGTATATTAATATTACTATGTTACATAGGGATATTTGAGCAAAAGGGCCTAAAATTCAAAAAACATTTAAATACAAGAATATGATTACCCGAAGTACTTCAAGTAAGTTTTCAAATTCTTGTTTTACATTTTGCAGCCGAACGTCTTTAAAATTATGAATTTCATTCTTTCTCTGAGAACCTGAAGATTGCCCGGCGTATTTTGTACACCACTGACTTCAAATGACCCCATAAAAAGTCCAATGATGTTAGTTCTGGAGAAATAGCAGGCCACTCTGTTGGCCCTCAATCCACCTGTTCGGAAATACCCGGGATAAGTATCTCCTTATGGTTGAGCACCTTCTTGCTGGAACCAAATGGGTCGTCTACTTCATTATTTTTCCCAGGGTAGAATGCCCTTACTGCTGTAACGATATCTGTCTGGAGGAGGTTAAAATATTGTTCTGCAGTTAGATTGCCATCAATAAAAAATGGTCCTATTATGTGTTGGTCAATTATTCATGCCCATATATTTATCTCCTGAGGGTGCTGTATGTGTCTCCTCTTTCCAATGCGGGTTTTGGTGGGACCAGTTGCGGCAGTTGCTATTTATAACACTTCCGGTTTCAGATTTTTTTTTAGAATTTTCCTTACGCATGATTGTGTCAGAGGCTGTTTAAAATAAAAATTATATGATTCGAGGGGGGAAATCAATCAGTACTAAAATTGGTCCTCATACTCTTCTCCTTATAGGGGGGGACAGGGGGTAACTTTAAAATTTCCAATGTAACACCCTATTTTGTATTGCAGATTAGGATCATTCGACTAAAAATAGGTAGATTTTGTCTAAAACATTTTTTCATATTTGTAATAGGCGCTGTAATGAAAAAAATCAATTTTGTTCGATTTTTCTTCTGTATAAGATTCTGCAATAATTTTTGAATAAAATACTTGGTTTTAATTTATTTATTTTTTCTGCTCTGCGATATTCCCATAATTCTTGTGTGCTTGCATGAGGATTAGCGGCCGTTGCTGCTAATACATTTATTTTATTATTTCTGCCTGTGAATGTTGCTCGACGAACTCTTTTTTTCGGTTGAACACTCCCGTTTGTAGTAAACTGCTTGACTGTACGGTGAAATGAAGTACGTGATCGAATTTTTTCCGGAAAACGCTGAGCATAGATATTAACAGCATCATCAAGATTCCTGCCTGTTTCTCCATAAATCAAAATCATTCCTATTTTGTCTTCCACTGTTAAAAAATCCATTATGAATAACTGCTTAACGAAAGGAGGTCTTTTTGTTTGCAAATTAATTTTCAAACTAACTGATTAAATAATGCTTAACTATATATAAATAGTTTCTTTATACCTCAATAATAATTATTATTTATATCTAAATACTTTTTTTTAAATTAAATTAATTAATTGACATAATTTTACCTTAAATGAGGTATTTTTATTAAAAATAGTACAATAATCCTTTAAATTAAAGGATTTAATGCTGGCAGGTAATAAGTGACCATGGTGGGCAATTGATAATTATCACCGAATAAAATAATGATAGTCAACATCTGTAGGCTTAGATTTATTTTGTTGTTTTTTACATATTTTTTAAGGTTTATCAATTTTTATGTTTATAATTTTGAATAATGCATTCAGAAGAATAAAGTTTGAGTTTTCTACTATCGTATGAGTCTTTTAAATTAAATATATTCTACAAATATTAACTTTGAGACAGTTAAAATATTAGCAATATACGATACTACACATAAATTACGAAGAATTGATCGCTATTTCCCAAGATCTACATGGAAGATTTTCATTTTACTTTTTTTTGAATACTTAGTTGGTAAGTATTTTTTTAAAAAATGTTTCAAAGTTGTTCTATTTTTTTCGTTAAAAACGTTGTTCGGTGAACCGTGTAAAAAACTTAAACCAAAGGAAACTTAAATATATATAAATATAAATATATATAATATATAAATATAAATTGTTGGTAATTTAATAAGATAATTATTACCAAAAAAAGAGTGATATTTTTATAGAAAAAATATTGCAGAATCGTATAAGAAGAAAAATCGAACAAAATTGATTTTTTTTTCATTACAGCGCATCTATAACAAATATGAAAAAATGTTTTAGACAAAATCTACCTATTTTTAGTCCGAATCTGCAATAAAAAATAGGTTGTTCCATTGGAAATTTTAAAGTTACCCCCTGTTTCCCCTATAAGGAGGAGAGTATGAGGACCAATTTTAGGACTGATTGATTTTCCCCCTCGTATCATTTAATTTTTATTTTAAACATTTTTTTCTAACAGAAATTTCAAAGTTTCAAGTTAAATGACACCCTGAATATCTAAATATACAGGGTGTCCCATAATTAGCGTGCAATACTTTAACAGCAGATTCTACGTACTAAAATAAGAAAAAAAGTTCTATAAACATAGGCCGAGTAATGCTTTCTAAGGGAACTACAGCCCCTAAATGAGGAGCCCCTGAAGATGGTTTTTATTCAATAGGTATATCCAAAACCTTTCAAGGTAGAAAAGTAAAAATTTTTATACGATGTAATAATAACAATTCAAAATTTCCATGAGGGATGGATAGATAGATAGGGAATAGGGGTTAAAACCACCATAACTTTTTGTACGTGTCTCGTGCAAGAATTTGATGTCAGATTATGAAATTATGGAATTTTACACACAAAAAGGGTCCTCTTGTTAAACTTTGATATTGTCCACTGTTTTCGCATAAAATTCATTTAAAAATTACCTTACATAGCATAAAAGATCATAATGAATTCACAAGAAAGAAACATTCTGAGTAGGCCATGGAACACAGCTGCTATCTTTAGGAAAAATTATTTAAGACAGGTGACAGTTTCATGTAATATGTGACAGGGTGTTTAAAAATTGTCTATGGTCATGTTTTAAAATTGTCCATGGCCTACGCTGAATCTTTTTCTCTAGTTGTGATTTCATTATGAATTTTTATGCTATGTAAGGTAATTTTTAAATCGATTTTAAGCGAAAACGGTGCATGCTATCGAAGTTCATCAAGAGGACCTTTTTTGTGTGTAAAACTCTAAAATTTTATGAACTGATATCAAATCATAGCACAAGATACGTAAAAAAAAGTTTGGGTAGTTTTACCCCCACTCCCTTTCTATCTGACCCACTCCTTATGAAAATTTTGAATTTGTTATTATTCCAACTTCTTAGCCATAAAAAGTTTAATTATATCCCAAAATTTCACTTTTCTATCTTAAACAGTTTTGGAGATACTAAATAAAAACCATCTTCAGGGGCTCCTCTTTCGGGGGCTGTAGCTCCCTTGGAAATCATTTCTCAATCTTTTCTACGTAGAATCTGCTGTTAAAGTATTGCACGCTAATTATGGGACACCCTGTATATTGTTAACAAAGGGAAGATTTTGAGACAAATTAAAACTGTTCTTTAGAAATTTGCGTTGTTTACTTATTAAACCTATAAAAAAATAACATTGCGTGCAGTAACAAACGGTACTTACTTGAAAGTATCATCAATCATCAATTACTAACAAATAAAAAAAAGATAATTTTTATATAACTTAAAATAAAAAAAAATTCTTCTATTTTGTTTTTTGTTAGAATTTTAACGCAAACGATTATCTGGACGATATGAAATGAAGAGACCTATTTATGAATATATATAATTTATTAAACTATCAGATAAATGATGAAAACGAAAATAATAGTTTTATATTTACCAAAAGTAGATAAGAAAGTAAAACAACTTTTACAGTTACTTAAATACCTACATATGTAGGTGTTCTTCCAAATTTACAAGCCGGTACGAATATAAAGTTCGGTAGGTACCAATGTACGTCAGTGCACTGTTCAATTCACTATAGCATACTGACACTGACCTTAATAAAACCGCATAAACTTTAACTTATAAATTAAGTTGTTTCGATTATATTCGTGTGCATAACAATAATGATAATTTTAAAAACACTATAATTTGTATGCGTTATTTTAAATTTAGAATTAATTTAATAGTAATTTTTTTGTAAAAACTTTTGTTGGTGAATGTTTACAAAAAACGATTAGGTACTAGCTTACAATGTACAAGCTTACAATGTACAATGTATAAATTATAGGCAATAAAATAATTAATTAACAAATTAATACTTTATTACTAATTAAAGTTTCATTAAAAACTAAAATGAATGAACATATCAAGTAAATAATTAAGTAACAATTTAAATATTTTGTTGTTATAATTGCAAAATTAAGGTTTAAAACTGTCATATTTTTGTGTTTCTTAAAACACATTTAACCTTTTTTAAATAAATGTTACTTTTACATAGTTATAACTATAGGCAGCGCATTTTAATTAATTAATAACAACTAATTCAAATACGAGGTGTGTTCAGAAAATAACGGGAATTGTTAAATTTCGGGGGTTCGGAGGGTCCGGTTGTCATAAAATTTTCTTTATTATGTTGGTATACATGCCCCCGAAGTATGATAAAACTTTAGCTGTTTTAATCGTTTACTTTGTCTGTGGCAGCCGCTCTAAGGTTAAACGTTTTTTATGAGCTCAGCGATTTTCGTTCGTTAAAAGAAATGGATCAAAGAAATTTGTATCCAATTTTGCTTAAAAAATGAAGTAAATTCTTTGAAATGTTAACAAAGGCCTATAGTGAGTCTGCTATAAGTAAAACAAGAGTTTACAAGTGGTATAAGAGTTTCCAAGATGGCCGTGAAGACGTTGAAGATGATGAACGCTCCGAACGCCCAAGCACATTAACAACCGATAGAAACATGGAAAAAGTGTAAGAAATGGTTATAAACCATCATAGAAGTCGCTGATGATGTTGGTAGGTATATCGATTGGCTCATCTCATGAAATTTTTTCGAATGTTTTGGGTATGAAACGCTTGGCAGCAAAATTTGTTCCAAAATTGTTAAATTTTAAACAAAATTCTTGTTCAAAAACAACACTGTAATGATGCCCCAGCCTCCATATTCGCCAGACATGCCTCTGTCTAACTTTTTCCTATTCCCAAAAATAAAGAGATCCTTAATGGGCCGTCGTTTTGCAAACATAGATGACATTAAAAGCGCATCGCTGAAAGAACTAAAGGCTATCCCAAAGATCGAGTTTTAGAAGTGTTTCGAGTATTGAAAGAAGAGCTGGCACATGTGAATAATATCCAATGGGGACTATTTTGAAGGCGACAACATTAATGTAGACGAATAAATAAATATTTTTTTCAAAAAACGAAAATTCCCGATATTTTCTGAACACACCTCGTATAATACAATTAAATTTTTTTTATAGATTTTACAAAGCCTAGGTAACTGGTAAGAATATGCGAATAAAAATAAAGAAAATAAATAAAAAAAAACTTCTAGATAAAAGAGACAAAAATCATATGAATAAATAACCATATTAATATGGTTATTTATACATATGATTTTTTTAATCGTGTATTTTGCATGTATATTGAGGTTATTAATATATTAATCATTATTTTTATGATTGACATATATAATTATAATTATGTCAATTATATTAAAATTAATTATGTCAATTATAAATAATGAAATCTGACATAAAAGTTTTTAATTTATTATTGTGCTCCCTCATAAATTTTGAAATTTCCCGCGTTATTTCTGTACTTATTACAGCACAAGCGCGATAACATTTTTCAATTCGCACCCGTGCGCTTCAAATGCAATATGTGGACACATATGTAAGGCCACATACGTACGTTTAAGTCGCACATGTGCACTACTAGTGCGCGCATCGTGACTAAATTTTGCTATCTGGAAAGATAATGTAATATAATAGCTTAAAAATTGATTATCTAGTGTATTATTTTATGAAAATTTCATGAGCGAGCGCGTGAGATACAAAATAAAAAAAGTGCGTAAAAAAAATAATTAATTATTATATATTATAAAAAAATATGAAATTATTTGTGAATGTGTCTGATGCCTCATAAAATCATAATATATTACCGTAAACACGGGTGACTTTGCACCTCGCGGGGGATTTTTTCGTGCTCGATAAAATTAACATTTATAATTTGTTGGTCTAAACCTGTCAATTGAGCGATTCTATTGAGTTTATATTACAGGAAAATCAGTGTTTTAAAAAAATAAATGGGATTTATTACACTTTAAAGTTGTATATATTGCATTAGTGCAAAACTCTTAAAAATACACGCGTTTCAATTTTTATATTATGCGCAATTCTTTGGAATGATGACCCTTAACTACAGGTCGATTTTTTATTGTTTTTATCGGTAATCCCTTGCAATTGCTATATGTCGCTGCTAACATATTATGTCTAATAAAAATAAAATATTGAGTTAATTTTATATGTAAGATTATAACATAGTTATTATGAAAGAGCAACTCAAGACTCAAATTTTGGTTTACAATATTTAATGTTTATGATAAACTACAAAAATGTTAAGATTAAGTTTGAAAGTGACCTAAAGCCACCCGTGTTTACGGTATATTAAATTTTAAAGACATTTTATGGGAACTCTTCTAATATAGATACTACCTTATTACTAGTTCAAAATTTAAATTATTATAAAAATCCGTACACAAATAAAGCTAAAATGTCATCATGTTAATTGAACTTCGCCTAGAAATGATGTGACAGAATCTTAAGAAATTATTAAATGATTAAAAAAATTATCCCCTGCTCTACCACTTAATCCAGTATCGTAAACCAAAACCGTTAAAACCAGTTTTTTCTACGTTTTTGCACAAATCAAGCCAGCATGTTGTTTAATCAAATATTTTTTGCAAAAATAAAAAACAAAAAAGCACCGACAAAAAATCAGGTATTTTTTACCTTACATTATTTTTCTTAAAATATACATGGTGTCCCGATAATGGCTTACAAACACCCTACCACGTTATATGGTGGAGTTAAATAATTATTAATAAATATTTATTTAAGTTTAAAAATTACATTTCTAACAAGTAGTTTTTTAGTAGCCTCACTGTGCGAAACCATTTTTTCAGTCTAGAGGTCGAGAACACAGTGTATAGTGAATCCCAATGCGCATAACACCTCACTGACCAGGACTAAAGTCCAAAGTGCATAGTGTAACCCCTGCCATTGTGGCAGGAAACTGAAAGAGATCAATCACGAGGAAACAAGGGGTATCTGCGAATTCAGATAAGTATTTTAATCCTATTTGCACGAAGCTATTCGCAATACTAGTATTAAAAACTCGTAATTTGGAAGTTCACCTACATATGTAGGTATTTAAGTAACTGTAAAAGTTGTTTTACTTTCTTATCTACTTTTGGTAAATATAAAACTATTATTTTCGTTTTCATCATTTATCTGATAGTTTAATAAATTATATATATTCATAAATAGGTCTCTTTAAACTTATCACGCAAAAAAATCCGTAGGAACAACAAAAATACAAAAAAAAAACATTAAAATAGGTGAACAGGAAATAAACCAACACCTTAATAGACCAAAGAATACCTAATGCCTATTCAGCAAAGCAAATTCGACTTAAAATTAAAAACAAGCATTCGATTAAAGGACGTGACTTTAAAAGTACCAATAAACCCATAAACACTCTAAACCATTTCTGATCTGTGCCTAACATAAACATAATAAACCGCTCGACACCTCAAACTATCGAACAAAAGTAATAACCTTCTGCGAGCCACAACAGTTATAATTGCTATTAACATTTGTCTTTTAATTAATTTAATAAAAAAATCCAAAATCTTAATTGTTAGAAAAGAATAAAAAAACGTCAGGCAACACATTAACCAGAATTATAGACAATGTTCGCATTACTTCGGTAATAATAAACATTAAAAACTAACGATTACTATTATTGCCGACTATCGATACTTCTCGACGTTTAGACCGAAGAAATGGTTTCGCACAGTGGTGCAAACAATTTGCCCAAATTATTAGAAAACTTCGCATTACTTTGGTAATAAAAATTAAAACTTTTAAAAACTATTTATCGATAGTTCTCGACCTCTAGACCGAAGAAATGGTTTCGCACAGTGGGGCAAACAATTTGTCCAAATTATCGCATTACTTTGGTAATAAAAATTAAAACTTTTAAAAACTATCCAACCAAACCCCATTCATGAACCCCAATTGAATGGGGTATTACTAAATCCCTGGTTGAGGGGGATTCCTGATTTTCCTTAGTTTTGGGTCAGTCTAATGTGCCCGGCGACAAAATTCCACGGGTGATCAGTGTAAGGCGATGCCGATGGGGCCAGCCATACGGTCTTATACTCATACTCATATTCAAGTAGATTTTTAGTGGCGAAGCATTTAAGTTAAAAACTCGGCAACGTTATCTTTTTACTATGCCTGATGTCACACATCTAAAACCGGTTGTTAAGGAAACAAAATAAACAAGACGAATTAATATGGTTCAAACATAATGGTTGATGGATGTAGTTTTTATCATTAATTTTTTGGAGGTATTTTGGTTCAAAACCTTTATATCATTATAATCTTGTTATTTTTAACAAATTTTAACTTTTTATTTTTAAAACGTTTTTAAAATACCCTACAAGAGGGGAGGAGTATTTTAGAATACAAATTACAATTTTTTGCAACGTGGCATACCGTTAGTTCGCCATTTTTGGACACCCTGAATTTATTTAACGTATGTTTATTTTAACCCAAAAATCCATGGTAAAATCTTGAGTTTTTATCTTTAATTACAGTTTTCCTCTTGAGGGGTGTCCCCTTGGTAAGATTTGGTGTAGTGGGACCCACTCCCCCTCGCGTAAGAATTATCCTATAATTTTAAAATAATATAAAAATATAATAAAAAAATTATTTCTAATGTGTTTTAATGAAAAAAACATTAATTTTATTTTGACCATAATTTTTTATTTCCTTAAACATTTCTTTTTAATCCGTCAAAGCTAGAATTTTTTATTTTTTAGTATCTCGAGATCTTCAAATAGTTAAAATTTTATAGGAGTCTCGTAAAAAACATTTACAATAACTTTTTCTCGCATGGCGTCAGTGCGTCATTTTTAGGACACCCTGTACATTTTTAAGGGCCATTCTAAAAAATTGAAACTTGGCAAATATATCATTTATTATCTATGGTATATAGATATTGAACTTTCAGAAACTTTAAAGTTTTACACGTGGATTTAATAGTATATTCTGTAACAAGTTTGGAATACGGCATATTCCGCTCGAGTAAAAAGTTTGTCACACGAGCCGAAGGCAAGTTTGACAGATTCACGAGAGGGGAATAATATTATGCAATATATGCAATTCTAAACGTGTTTCAGACTATACTTTTTATACGTTTCCTTAAAATACCATAGACAAATAATTTAATTGGAAGAAAGTGAGGTTGAATCGGTCTAAAATTTGTTAGATAGTAAAAACAGAGATGTCGCCACGAGGGTTTATTCTGTCATCAGATGATAGAATATTTAATTCTGTAACACTTTACGGAATATATGTCATTCCATAGATAAAAGTGATATTAGAACGGTCATATTCCATAATAGGAGTAGAAAAAGAATACTTCTTCGTTTTTACTGTAGCAACAATTTTTTTTTTGTTTATTATAATATAAAGGGTCTTCATACATAACTCCATAGGCGTTGTTCCAAACTAGCACAGTTTTCGTAATGTTTTCACGTGTTTCATTTATTCATGAATAAATGTTTGACAAATGAAGTTACGTTATGAGAGTTGTTGTCAATGCCAAAGGTGTTTTCCATAAAGGAAAGCTCTATAGATTCTTTGTCCTCTCCGTTAACAAAATTATTCTCAATAAAAAAAGTCTATACAAAGCTAATCTCTAGCACTATATTATAGATTTTTTCAGGTTTTTGTTGATTTAAAAAAATAAAATTAGGGTAACGGAGAGGACAAAAAATTATCTACGATTTTAAGGAAATAAATTAAATGTGAAGGATTGTACTTAAGGTAAGTTGTAATTGTACCTACTCGAGTATAAAAAATGTACCTACTTAAGAAAAACAAATGCGAAATGCCTTCCCTCTTCGTTAACATAGTTTATTATGTTATAAGTCATAACTTAAAACTGCAAAATTAACGATTTTTATTAAACACGCGCAAGATATACAGGGTGTCCCGAAAATAGTGTGCAATAATGTTTAAGCGGTTGTTAGGGCCAAAAATATGAAGAAAAAGGGGCGGCCCTGAAGATGTTTATTATTATTTCTGAAACGGTTTGGATAAAGTAGTTTATTTTTAGGATATACATTTATATTTATATATTTTTTTATTCATATTTCTTGTTGTTGTTGTATGAGTTTAAGTATGATTATAATAACGTATGGCAGGCCCCATCGGCAACGGTTTACACTGATCTTCCAGGGTTATTTTACCCCAGTTATCGGAATCTGCTGCATGCAGTTGTTTGCCCTCTGTGCAATCCATATCTACGCTCTAGATTACTATCAATAGATAGTGTTTGGACCACAATCTGATTGCCGGTTACCGATGGTTTTTATTAAAGTATAAGTTATGTATGCTTTTCTTTGTCCTCGTTTTGTGGTTAAAATTGTGTTCCGTTTTTTTCTTTTCTAACAATATCGTGCTGTTATTGTTTCCAATCCTACCCATAACCCATTTATGAGTGCTCGTTTAAGTACGCCTCTGTATTGTGTTCATTTTCCATCGGGTGTTGTTTTTACTTTCGGAAAGTTTCCCCACTCTCTTAGAATAAATCACTCAAAAATGACTCATTTTAGGTTATTTGACTTATTGGCCCAACGGAAAGGCAGTCGCTAATGATTAGACAAATTTTACCGAATGCAACAGTTAATAGTGGATTTGGTTTAAACAGTTTTTTTTAGAATAGTTTTTGTTTACTCACAGAAGCAATCGCTGGTGACTTATTAATTTGTCTAATTTAAGTATTTAAGTAGTAGAATAGCTGTTAATTGAAAACTATTCGTTGTTTTCGTAATGTATGAGTATGAGTATAAGAGACGTATAACCAGCCCCATTTCCTCTTGACTCTCGAACCCCGTACAGGCCTATGTTTACTTACGCCGATTTTTGTTCTTCCCCAGCAACTGCACGGCTTCACCAGTGTTTGCTGGGTGCGAATGTCCATTGCGTTCCGTACTGTCCCCTATATGGGGCTCGAGAGCGAGAGGCGAATAGTTTTAATAGCCGTTCCCGGGTTCGCCGAGCCTATGCTATACGCTCAGTGGGGTATGGAGGAGGGACGGGAAGGTGTTGGTTTTTGGGGGACAATTACGCCGACTTAAAACTAAGTACGACGCGGAATCCCCCTAGACCAGTCGATTAGTATTACTCCAAACATTTGGGATTACTATTTGGAGTTGGGGAGTTCTTATTTCGCTGCAGGGGTGTAGTTTCCTAGTCGAGGTCTTTGTCTTGTTCGTTATTGTCATTGTCCGTGTCCTGGTCAGATAGTTCCTGCACTTGGTAAAGTGTGTCAGTTGTTTTTAATAAATTTTGTCCCAAGCACGTTTTGTGATAGAGTTTTGTCTTTTTATTATTAATTTCCAAAATTAAGCATTGCATTTATTTATTAGTTAAACAAATTACAAGCGCGATTATCTGTTGTCCAATGTTTACAAATCTCGAGTTTGGCTATAAGGCTTTTTTTTTAATGTTAGAATTATGATTAATGCGTTAGTTCACTCCGTGAGTCTAGTGTTTATTTTCGGTCTCGATTGGGATTGCCTTACGCATTTGTTGTTGACAGATCTATTGCCCCATTCCGTGTGCCTTTCGTAGGTTTTAAAGATATCCCAATAAACACTTTAACGGTACCTATCACCACCAACATTGCCCGTGTAAGAATTTTTAATACTTTTTAATACAATTTTGCAATGATGGTAATTAAAAACAAAACAATTGTTTAGAGAGTAAAATATGTTCTTAACATAATCATATTTTAAAGTTATTTTAACATTTTCAAGTAAATAAATGTTATGTTTAATAAAATGAATAACGGGCAATGTTAATGGTGACAAATAACGGAAAATGTTTGCTGGGATCTGCCGTATTTAAATTGCAGATTTGTATCAGGTCATGCATATTCTCAAAGTAACTTATCAGCTTTTTTTTTGCGGATGGCCACCTCCCCTCTTGCTTGACCTCCCCTGTCCGTCCAGTGAAAAGCCTCCAATGACAGGTGGCACTTAACTCATTCATATCACTCAACACTTCACTCCTCAATGACCGTTACACCATTTTAGTTTGCACTCTATGAAAATGTCTGTTTCACTTATTAGTTTGCACTTTTTTTTATAATTTTTGTTGGTTTTATCTTTAAACGCTTACGCTTCAAGAGCTTACCCGCACGCGACGTGTCTTCTGAAGCGCTGGAACCGAACTGTGAACTATTCGTTGTTTTCGTAATGTGGTAGAAATTGTGTTTACGTTTTCTTTTCTTATTTAAAAATTAAGAAATTGCATTTATATTTATAATATACTGCTTTTAACATTTTTTTTTAAACTCGAGAAAGTCTCACAGAAAATGGTTTGCTTACTTACTTAAGATTTATGTGATTATTAAGTACCTACTACTTGTCACGTCCCATAAGGCGGAGAGAACCTAATTTTAAGTCGAACTTGCTTTACTTTTAAGTCGAACTAGCCTATGCATTCGGTATCTTTAATATATTTAATGTAGGGTTCGTTAACCCCGTTCAACTCTTTTAATGTTCTTTCTTGTTGATTTCTACGGATTTATCCAGGTGGGTAGGTATAAACACACCCGTAGGCTCGTAGAATTCGTTCTTGTGCGTTTTAGTATAGGGAATAGCGACGTGCAAATATTAAAATACTTATCTGAATTTCGCAGATGGTTTCTTGTCCCCTCGTAATTGGTCTCTTCCAGGTTCCTGCCGCGATGAACCACAGGTGGGTAGTTCCGTGGCTCCGACAGGTGGGGTGGCAATTCACTTCGCACTTTTAACCTTTTAAAATGCACTGATTATGCACTGAAAGACAAGCACGTCTCACATGTAGGAGCGATACTAAATTGGAAAATAAAACAGACAATTTTTTTGTTAAAATTGAAAAAAAGTGAGGTTAAAACTGCTTAAAAGTTGTCAGATAAATTTCTTGAGGTAGTTATAAATAAATATATATATATATAATATATAAATAAAATATTGTGTGCGAATATTGATCACTCGCATATTACCGAACTCGCTACGCCCGTGCGGCAAACTCCACGCTAGAGGAATCCCCTCTTTTTTCCCACAGTCGCACAATATGTATATTATTAATTTTTATAAAAAAACTTTTTAGGTACCTTTAAAACTCTAAAAAACCACAATAAATGAAATTATTTCTATACAAATATTTAGGTAAAATAGATTTAACAAAAAATTTATCTAGCTAGGTATATCTAATATTTATAAACAATTGTATAGAATTATACTTATAAATGTACAATTAATTGTCTGAACATGATAAACTTGTAAATAAGCCGATAAGAATTTACAGTGGGTACCACAATAAAAAAAACAAAATAGGTATATTTAATGACATTCGTTCGATTGTTTTTCAATTTTAACTTATTTATAAATTTTAATTGCGATTTATGTCAATACCGATTTGCTTGATCTACTGCATCAAAATAGAAGAACAATTTCGTTAAGGTTGAAATAATCAGTAAACAGCAATGCGGTTATTAACGTTATAACGCACAAACCATAAATACTGCAGCGTCGTCTCCAGCGTTCAGCTCGAAATTTCCGTCAAGTCGTCTGGATTAAAATAGATCAGCCAAGTAAGCAGTTTCATCTCGACGGCGGCCAAGTTTTAGTCCGCGGCGTACGATGCCCCAGTGCCGGTCTCTTTTGCACTAACCGAAAAACCCGTTCCAGTGATTATCGCGTCGGCTGTGGAAAACACGAGGACATCATCATGGATCCGGAAGCCTTTCTGGACGTCGCCAGTCAGGTGGTGAAGCTGAAAATGTTTCCCTACTTCGACATCGCTCACTGCACTCTGTGTGCATTGTCGGTCAGAGAGGATCTAGGCAGCGGTGAGTTCCTCTTGTTTTTGCCCTTGTTTCTGTGTATTAGACAGAGATAGAGGATGAAATGGCTAGCTATGGGACATGGTGCGCGCAGGGTTGCCAGACCGATAATTTTTACCCAATTTAGAGTAATTTTGAATGTTTTACATATAGGAAAATTAATACAGCATCATACATAGACAAATTTTTATACTATAATTTAAAAACAGGGATTTAAAAAGTGCTTTATAATAAAAAGTGGGATTTTTTTATTTTGTTTTTAATTTAAGAAGTCAATATTTTCAAAATCACAGAATAAAAACGATTTTTTACTTTTCTTAGGATTTCATTAAACCATCTGGCAACCCAGTATGCAGGTGCCATGTGTATAGCAATGGAGAAATACTTAAAATAAAAATAAATTTTAAGATTTTTTTATTTTTGCGTTTGATGTGGGTTTAAGCAAAATTCTTTGATTTTTTTAGTCTACAAATAATTTAGGTAAATCAGTCATGCTATTATTAGATAATAATACATTTTAAAGCACATTTGGTAGAAAATTATTTTTAAAATTTATGGAATGCGGCTGTACGGAAAATTTATCGACTAATTGCCAAAATTACAAAAGTATTAAAATAAAAATATATTCTAAATTAAATAATTCACTGTAAAATAAATTACAAATTACAAAAAGCGTGTACTTTTGTAATTTATTTTAAATTTAAGTCCTGTGAAAATAAGTTTTAAACCTGACAGTTATGAAAATGTTTTTATATCAATCTCTAAAGTTTTTGTTATAAGTGCTACATTTATATACAGGATGTCCAGGGATAGAGGGCCCAAGAGGACAAATGGACTAAAACTTTTATTTTTGACCAAAAGTCATTCTTCATAAAAGTTCTGCTTGTTTTTAGAAGTCCATTGCCATACTTTAAATTTAAAAATATTATACAGGGGGGTCAAAAAACTACCTTTATTTTTCGTTTTGGAGCATAGTGACGAATAAAAAAAGATTTGAAATCGTATCCAAAGACTTATTGAGGAGCATCCGTGCAAAACCGGCTAAATCCATTTTATTCATGTTTTGTTTTTTTTTCTGATTTCGCATCTTTGGGTTCATTTCTATCGACAACCAAGATAATTCTGTTTAAATCCGATTATATCCATGTTAAAATCACATTTAAAAGGTAGCTTTAGGAGCAAAACCGACCAAATCCACGTTTTTTATAGCAAACCCGGCTATATCCAATAAATAATAATGATGATAAGCATGTGGCTTGGATATGTCGATACTACTACTAAAATTTGTTCTGTTTTTTCATGTTTGCATTAAATTTATTTTGTTAATATTTTTTTTTTTCATATTTTATTCGGTTTTTGAGCAAAACCGGCTATATATAAAACATTTTTTGACATTTTGGCCTTAATATAAAGTTTTTGAAAACGAAAGTATGTCTTATAAATCAAGTACCACAAAGCCCACAAAACTCAAGTTTGCTTTTTCTTTTATCTGGCCAGGAAACCGAGAGTTTTTGCCATTTTCCCAACATTTTATTAAAGTGGATATAGCCGGTTTTGCAAGGATGCTCCTCAATTGTATTCCAAATTTTCTTTTTCTTTTAAAGTTTTAAAATTCAATTTCTTATTTATACTTTAGTACACGTATAACTATGCAAAATATGTCAAGATAAAATATTCGTATTTTAAAATTAGGCAAATATTTTATTAATAAAAGTTGTTTATAATGTCAAGAAAACCTTAGATAAAATAGAGAAACTTTATAACAAATTGTATGTAAAAAGGTAGTTTACTCTTAATTGTATTTCTATTATGTGTTTTCTTGTTTTTCGGCCCCTCTGTATAATATTTTTAAATTGGCAATGGAAAATTACTTTTGGTCGAAAAATTTAAATTTTAGTCCATTTGCCCTCTTGTGTTCTCTATCCGTGGACATGTATAAGACTGTATAAGCTTTTTTTGACTCAACTATACGAAATTTGAATAAACAGCAAATCAAAGAACCTTGTTTATGGCAATATTATCTTTAAATTATCTAAAAATTGCATTCGTTAAGATTATACTGATAACAAAACAAAATTGCTTCTTTTAGGGGCCCAAGCTTTTTCACGCAAACACCCCCTGGCATGTTGGCTATCCTACATGCTGGTGGTCTTTGCCGGGGGCATGGTAGCCAACGGACTCCTCGCAGAACCAATTTTAGGCCCACTCAAAAACACGCCACAACTTGTCGTCGCATCTATCGTATGGTAAAAAACAAATCCGTAAAATCTGTAGCAACTGCGAATGTGTGTAGATTTTTGTGATTTAACAGGGGAGTGATTTTAACTTACTTTACCATTTTAAAGAAATCCAATAACTCACATTTTTTAAGTTTTATCTTTTGGTCTTACGAGTTAGGCATTTATTATACTTTTTTACGAAATTCTACTTATATACTTGTTCACAGTTGTTACAGAAATAATCTAGAAAAACTCAATTATTTATTCGTAGGTATGTTGTATTTTACACCCCCTTGGATTTGGGATACAAGGTCGCCAAATTTCTTCCAGTAAAAATAATTTTTTCGGCGATGAAGGAAATTTATAGGTGTAAAAAAGTTTATGATGGGGTTTCTCATGCTGCTAAATTGTACCCCAATGGTTATTTGATCATGATTATCATTGGTACCCTTAAGGGAAATGGAGCTGGATTTACTAGACTTATGGAAAGACTCATCAGAGGAGTCTGGACTCCTACAGCTATGGAATTTATGCAACCCAGTTTGTAAGTACCAAAAATCGAGGTCGTATTTTGCAAGCATAATATAAGATTTTAATATATTTTTATTTCTTAGCTACACTAAAGCTTCCCTCGTGGCTTCCATAATCTTCATTCTAGACAAGAAAACAGAACTGATCTCAGCTCCACACGCACTCGTTTACTTCGGTATCGTAATTTTCTTCGTATACTTCAAACTGTCATCGATTCTCTTGGGTATCCATGACCCCTTCATCCCGTTCGAGAACTTAATGTGCGCTCTCATCTTCGGAGGTATCTGGGACAGCCTGGCCAAAATCTTCGGCAGGGGACAAATCAAAGAAAACGAGGCCAAAGACGTGAAGAAAACAAACTAATAGAATATCTTTGCAAATTAGACTTGATTCGTGCGGAATGTCGATTCTAATTTGCCGAGATAATTGATGCCAAATTTTTAGTTTTAAGATACATTGTACCAAAGTGTTTTATTTAATAAATTGTTTCTGTTATAGAGTTTATTTTATTACAAAAATACAAAACTACACTTATAATTAATCTGTATTTAATACTAAGCAAACACCTTGTAGAACCCAGTGGCTGATGTGTTCGGTGGTTTTTAAATCAGCTTCAAACACCAGACCAACCCCCATGGCGTTTCTTCTTTGGGAGGTGGTGTACACAGGAGTACGCAGTGTATCCTGCAGTTTCAACCGGTACGCTTCAATAGGAATAACACTTAAAATTGGAAGCGGCTCAATCAAAACTTTGGGAGTTGATTTCTTCAGGCAACTCTTTTCCAGATCCCAACTAGCTCCCTCCAAATAAAGACCATGAAGAAGACAATTGCCCTAAAATAGGTAAGGTAATTTACATTTAATTTTATTGTGTTTCAATTTTACCGCTGGGGGTCTTAATATAATATCCATTGGATCGGTATATTCAGTCACATTTGTATACAAAGTGGACCTATCTAAAGGCCAATTGTGTAAACGGCAAGCTATTTGGACCAAAGCAGCAAGATAAGTTTCCGGAATATGCAAACCAGATACCCATAAAACAGTCGGTTCGTTTGTGGAAGCCTACAAAAACCATCAAATAAGGATAATGTTAAAAACATTGATTTACCCACAATCCACACAACAAAGTCTGTTCTATCTCGTTTCGCGCATACTAAAAATGACTGCAACACTGCACTCGAACGAAATCGTTTTAAACGTTGTGTTTCTTACAGACATGTGTAAGTCTCAAATGAGGCATTAAAGTGCTAAGAACAACCATTCCTCTTTTGTAAAAAATAAACCTTAAGCTAAATTTTCATGTATCCGTTTGTCCGTTATCCGTTTGGTTGTTTTTCAATAATATCGTCCGACAAGAAATGTTCTAATTTTCATGCATACGTTTTTTTAATGACATTTAACGGATTGATGATGAAAGAAGTTAAGGGCCAGTATTTTCACTTCACTAAATTTACCTAATGCTTCATTGTCATAAATACAATTAGGGCTGTCATCCATCCCGATTTTAGGCAAGAGTCTCCCGATTTTACAGCAAGCCTCCCGATTTTTAAACGACGCACAGAGGTCATTTTATTATTTGTAGGAATTAATAAATAAAAAATGCAACTTTCTTAAATATTTAATTTTATGCTAGAATATTAAAAAAAACATTCCAAAGAAAAATATTTTTAAACGTACTTTTTTTTCTGATTTGAGTTGGCTCTCAAATGGGTTAAAATATTAGTTAACAATTATTGATAACTTGACTTTTACTTTTTTGACATATGTTGTGTTGTTTGCAAAGTGTATTTCTGTGTTCTACTTGCAGTCTTTTCAATTTGGTTTTTTGTTATTTAAGAGAGCAAGGTAAGGGCTTTAATATTTGATATAAAGTTATTTAAAAAATATGCGCTTATGTATAAAAGATAATTAAATATAAATGCATACATTATTTACCAGTTTTTAAAATTATATAATTTTGAAAAGCTGCAAATTGTAATATTACAAAATATTTGTCATAAAAATATGTTTTATACTTTAATTGCTTTATTACCTTTATGCTAATTTCGCATTTGGGTGCCAAGAAGTGCCAGGCGCTTTAAAAAATATATTATTTTAGGACTATGTTAATAATTAAAAACGACATGTTTGCTGCTTGGTGCGGACAGACCTTACTTGGAGATAAAAATTCGTCTGTTTTTAAATTTGTTTTAAGAAAGCTCAACTTAAATAAGGATCGACTTGATAATAGGTACGATATGGTAGCAAAAAAAGTTAATAATTTTAACAGCGCTGTTACCAGAATGTGGAAGAATTGCAAACGGTCCCGAAAACTTTTTGAAGCCAGACATCGTGAATGGCTAAATGAGTCCATAATTTTTATTGAAGAATTAAATGTACCTGTGCCTGGGTCCAGCAGAGGTAGACCAGAAAAATTATTTATAGATCTCGGCGACCAACGAAAAAGGCAAAAATTAATGACATTATTGGATAACTATTCTACGGAACAGCTTACATTTGCTACTCGTAAAAGTCTATAATCGTCAGCATTACAATTACATTGAGCTGTATTCCTGGTACTATATGCCAACGAGTCTTCACAGGATACTTATTCACGGGCAAGAAATTATAAAGGCTGTACCTCTTCCGGTAGGCATGTTTTCAGAGGAAGCCCTTGAATCTAGGAACAAAGACTTTCGGAAATATCGAGAATCATACTCCAGAAAATTTTCAAGGGAGGAAACTATGAAAGATGTATTTTGTAGGCTACTGCTTTCGTCTGACCCACTCATATCATCATTATCCAAGTGTGTAGGTACTCGTTCCAATACGCAACCCTTAAACAACGAAGTTTTAAAATTGCTTCAAGAGCCTCATTTGCCAAATGAAATGTATGAAAATAAAAACATTTGAGATTCCGAAAATTCTGATTAATAATTGTGTAATAGGTTAAGATTTTTTAGCTAGTATAATTATAACATTGTTAGTATTGCGTTTTGTTGTGAATGCATTTTGGTACACCATGTTAATTAAATCTGATTAAAAATATAATCGATAACGTGATTTACATTTGCTTATTTGTGATTTTATTTGCTGATTAGAACTGAATTATTTATAAACACTCTGTATATCGTCAAGAGCTCAAATAGAACAACTTAAAAATAGTTAATTAACGTATTTAAAGCTATTTACACAACTTAAAGACAGTTAAACCCCAATATTTTTATATTTGTATTTATTACCGCCTAATTTACCATAAATGACCTCTGTGCGACGTCTTAAAGCTCCCGACTTCCTTGAAGTTCCTTTGAGCAACGGTCTTATTTTATACAATTTTTTTATAAAGTTATCCATAGTGTGCTAGCATAGGCCACAGAACAAACCATAGGTACAGGCATGGTACAATTTCTTGTACCATGGGTATAGGCATAGGTATTCAAATATATTTTTCTACAACCAAGCGAAAAAGTAACCAAAAGGCTCATTTAGTTACAATAGAAACCATAATAAAGAAACGTTCAGGGCATTTGCGACTTTTGACACAAAAGTCAAATTTGAGGTTATCAATAATTATTATTTTTTACCAAACATTCTTATAGAAACACCGATTGTAGAAAAAATCCTTTGTGTAATTCGAGTGCGAAGTGATATTGCCGCTCTCGCGAGATAGCAAACTTCTCGCACAGAGAGACAATGTATTGTATTACAAATCCCTATGTTAGAGTATTAACAACTTTATAAACTTCTTACTGTAGAAAACGCTTTTTCGTTTATCTTATTTCCGCCATGTTGTATTTGAGCTAAAGGCCATAACAAACCGGACATTTTCATAGAAAAACAAATATGGTTCTAGGATTAGGGAGAGAATTTTCAGTTTAATGGTTATTTCATGAAGAAAAGAGAGAAATCCAGTTTTACTGGAAACCCTGGAATCGGAACATATTTAAACACTACTGAATCTTGTCAGGAATTTGACAAATTTTTGACCATTAATGGAAATTATATTATTAAAAGAGTGGGAACAAACCTTTAATAGTTTTTTATTAAAAGTTGGAATCTCCTATGTTCGACCAAAATGTATGATTTTGTATGGATAAAATTTTATTTTTTTAACCTCTCGCATTTTGATTTTGAAATTATGCCAACTTTAACAGTCTTCTGTCTAATAAAATTAAAGGTAGATGAATATACAATATAAAAAGAATATACTAGCCTTAATATACATTAAAATGTGTGGTTTTGAAAAACTGTAGAACATTATTTACATAACGAACGTAATAACTCCGTTTCACAATCCTAATTAAAAAAAATTTAAAGGTTTGAAAATAAATTATCTTAAAATAATGTAAAAACGCATGTGTAGTGACGGATGAGTTAAAATTATTTTAACTTTTTCCGTCAAAAGTTAAAACCTGGTCCGTCAAGTTAAAATGTCATAATTTTCGAATTATAATTAGACAAATAAGAGCGGTTGATCGGACTACCGGACGCAGATATTTTTTCCTTAATCAACGTCCCGAGTCCGCCCGCTTGCCTAGTCCCGCTGCTTTACCGAGTCATCTCGCGCTTGCGAACTCAGTGACTAACGTCTAGGTACAGAAAAATTGCGAAGCTTCAAAACCAACCCAAACCCAACAACCCAACCCAACCGACCCCGCCCCATTGGATTTTTATTCTGTACATACCCAAAGCACAAAAATTGTAAAAAACATAAAAATGGCCGCCGTTTAAGTCTGTGCAGTGTTGCAGTGATTTTTAGTATGCGCGAAACGAGATAGAACAGACCTTGTTGTGTGGATTGTGGACTTACCCAAGTAAAATATTGTTGCTGTCGATTCTCAAAGTGCGTCATCCACCCGCCAAGACTCTTACACGTAGCAGGTGCTAATTTTCTCCATGAATTAGGCAACTGTCCATTGTACAACGAATAAGCAACGTTATCTAAAACACTATCCATTCCAATTTCACCCGCCAGAGCCTTTTGCAGGTTCAACAGAGTTGTTTTCATCTTTTTTATAAGCATGTTAAACCTTTCCAATTCTTGCAATAGCACCACGATAGTTGGCGTCATGATTCTTTGGAAGAATCTACGGATCTTCCACACTTCGTATTGTTCGGGTATTTTTTGTAGAATGTCGATTGCCACAGAGTCTATAAAATCTTCCCTGCTCACACCCTCAGTCGAAACAGACGTTTGCGGTTGAAGTTCTATAAGAATTCGCCACATTTCTTTCGTGGCTTGAGTGTAATAACCTATTTCAGCGTTTGGATGCAGACCGAAGACTTCAGGGCTGTTTGTTAAAGGTAGTTCCTCGATGGAGGCTAATAAAAAAAGTCGTCAAAAATAGTATATTGTTTACCGAGCGTGGAATCATAGCAGTTACTCCCGATGATGAAAGTTTCCTAGCGAGCCGATAGGCGCGTGAAGAAATTCATTGAGGGAGTCATTGCGATTCCACGCGAGGTAAACACTATACTTTTTTGTCGAGTGGAATTGCTTACATACAGGGTGTCACCAAATAAGTTCTCATCCTTTAAGGGGATGATAGTACACGCCAAAATAATAAAGTTGTTCCTGACCTATGACAACTGACGCAAAATATGCTAGCAGTGGGCAATAATCTACATTCATTAAAAATTTACATTGGTGTTATCATTTATTACTTTGTTGATAAGTAATTGTATTTTGTTTGGCATACTGGCTACTGAATAAAACAATTCTTACTTTGGGTATCTTGAGGTTTCCGTTTTTTTACGTCGATTGATGCTCATGTAGCTATTGTTCCACTAAATCATAATAACTGTCCCGCCGTTACTATCCACAAAAAGTTAACAGCGGCGTAGAAAATTATGATGTTGCTCTTGCTATCATAACCGGACGATTTCGGATTTCATCTGCCGCTGCAGTTACAAGTTCGTGGAGTTGTTTGAATGTGTCAACTTCGCTCTAGTACACTAAACTGTTCATGTAGCCCCAAAGAAACCACAATAACAACTGAACTGTCAGTAATCAATAATAACAAAGTACCTACTAACCGATTTGAAATAAGTTTAAAAGTTTGCTTGATATTTAGAGGTAAAAACTTCTTGGTTTTGTTAAAAAAATTCATAATTTTTTTATTAAAACCTCTAATGCAACATGATAGAGAAAAAACTTTTTTGTTTTGGCTTGTACTGTCATCCCCCCAAAGGATAACAAATTATTAGGTGACACCATGTATACACTATTTGGGTACCCGCAAAAAAACTTCTGACGTTTAATTTAATTCTGACGTTTACATTCAAAGTCAATTACACTGTAGCGTCGTCATGGTAGCGGGATGGAATTAAACATTTCTTACCTGATAACAGGGAGGGAATATAAATATATACAAGGGAAGGAATAAGATTGTTCATAGCGGGAGACATATCATTAATTAAAAATTTTGAATACAATCGGCGCATTATTAACCACTCGACAAAAATAATACTTCCATAAGCAAAAACTTACCAATATAATCGTCCCTATCTCCATCGGGTGGTATAAGATAATCAACAGTATTATCGTGGTAAAAATGGAAGGGTTGGAAGGTATCAAAGAGAAAATCTCCCATGTATTCATCCATATAAACTTTCACTATTCTCCTATCGAAATCGTCTATTACTCGGCCACCATACATGACTTCTCCAATCAAATACTTCAAACTATTCCAAGGAATTCTGTTATCTTTTGTTTTTGTCGCTTTGCTCAAGTAGGTATCCAGAATATTAACGCAGACGTTAAAATCGGACTCGTTGAAATCATAACCGATATTCCAACCAATTTTATCGTATTTACGCCTTTCTTGAACCACAGCATGGAAAAATGCCAGCACGTAAACCAATGGTTTAAAAGACTGGTGTTGGCAAGAATCCAAAAGCTTGAATTGCATTTTAAAGTAGGTATTTCTCAGATTCAACTTTAAGCCATTTGGTGGTTCAGTCACTACTTTGAGGGATCTTTGCAAGATACCTATAGGAAAAGTATCGACTGGATCAGTGGTTAACCACAAACGAAAATCTGGATGAGGTTTTGATATTTTCTCCAAGTGTTTTTCCAACACTCGAACGAACGATAGTAGTAAATGGCAGTTTTGATACATCAACCATTGCCCTCGTGATATCGCGACATCCAAAAGACCAAATGCGATTTGTTCTTGTCCCTGGCCCAAGGATAAGTACCTGAATTTTCCTTCTCCAAAACCACTCCTAAAATAAACTTTTATATTTCAATTTCAAGTTATAGCAACACGTTACCTTTCAGCAAGTTTCATCAACTCAGCAGTAGGGTCAGAACCGGGACTCAATATGAAAACCACAGGCGTAGTAGGACTACTTTGCTCGTAAATATTATCCAAACTAATCACTGGAGGCATGATATACTCTTCACCCATAATCACAGTGATGTAATCACCTATTGCTCTGTAAACCCTATCTATTCTGAAGCAGCGCAAGAACAGCAACACTTGGAAGGGATTCAGCTTGTTTCTGTATCCAAATGGATATTCGGCGGCTTCAGGGCTATCCAAATCGTACCAATCTCGCCAAACGTTAACGTCCTGATCCACTTCGTTTGGTAGTTGTCTAAATGGTTCCGGGAAATCGTTGGCTAGCTTTAGAATGTCGGCCCAACCTTGAGTGGTTATGAAATCTGCCGGGCATTCCCTTATGGATTTTTCCATGCTTACACAACCCTACAGTAAGTAACGTGATGTATAAAATGTCATAGTTTGGAAATCCTGTGCTTACCTTGATAAAGAAGTCAACCTCAGTTTGCGTCAATTTCTCAGCATGTTCTTCCAACTTCACAGTCATTTGAAACGAATAAAGCAACTTGTGTTTCTCAAATATCCCAGTACATCCATAATCGTAGACATTTTTAGTCAACGTCATAATAATATTTAACAATCTTCTATTTAATAATGTATGCGGTAGGGCTTTTCTCAACGAGAAAGCAAACACTTCCAAATATGACGAAAGAGAGTATTGATACATGGCATTTACGCCAGCCATATCGGACAGAACAAAGAATAAAATCGCTCCACGTTTGGCCACCGATCTATAACCATCTCGAAGCTTGTCGATGTCGACTGATGTAGCGCTGGCCAACAGGAGTTTCTGGAAAACCTCTGTAGCTTTGGTTTTTGTATTTTCTAAAGTTTCAACCAGCTCGACGTTGTCCAACATGTTGCCTGTAGTTGTGGATAATTCTCTTAATAAACTGTCTTCCAATTGCGAAAGCAAATTTTTGTTTTCAAACGTTTCAGCGATTAATTTTTCGCGTTGTTCCTCCAAGTCTGGTCTTTCGTTTCTTACCACCACGCTGAGCAGTTGGTCTTCTAAACCGGTCAAAGTTACAGTGTAATTTATTACCGAAGCTGTGGCATATACGGCGGGGTTAAACTGTGGGTTGGATAACTTTGTAGTCATGTACAGTCTAAAGTTTGGATCCCAATCAACTTCCTTGTCGCCTAAAATAACAAACACTCTGCCGCTTTGTATCTTAACGTTCTTTTGTATGACATTCTCAGCGACAGGATCGACGTAATCGTCTACGTCTTGAAACAATATTGGTGATCCATATTTTATAGCCATATCCAAATACTTAATGAATTCAGGATCGTTAAAACTCAATATTTTAAGATTCATTTTTTCTTCCTTCTTTTTAATCCAGTTGATAGCCTGCATTTGCGGGTCTATACACATCGGGAACCTTGTAGATTTCATAGTGAGGATACCGTTTTGCACAGACAACTCATCGGGTGGCAAATTCTCCGAATTCCAACCACTGATTTCCACGTCTGTCGACAGTTGCATTTCTATTCTGTAATTTTCAGATTTCGGTATTTTACGGCTTACTATGGAATCATTCCAATCCAAATAGATCATGTCTCGTCTAAACTCATAGGTAAACGGGCCACAGTAAGCAAGGAATGATCCAGACAGAAGACAATTACCAACAAGCAATGTTTTTTCTGTATGTAGATTTGCAAGATCAATAGTCCAACGATCCCGTTCTGATGACAAACCGGAAATCAGTTTATCAGCTGCAATAAGGCGCCGCATCATCAAGTCCTCCTCCTCTTGCAACTCTTGTCTACGTTTCATCGCAATCTCATATTTCTCATTCAATTCTCGTAGAGCTTCTTCCAACTTTGCAATCTCGCTGTAGAGCTTTTGTAAACTGCTGTTGGCTGCCGCAAATTCCTTTTGCAATGCCTCCACCTTCTCCTTTTTAGGTTTAACCTCTTTATACACCGCGGTGTAACCCAAAACCGCCGTAACAAATCTAAGCAAACCATAACCAGCTTTACTTATAGTCTGCATGTCTTCCAATTTCTTGGATTTCGCCATGTGGGCTTTGACAGCTTTTACTTGCGTCTGGGTGATAGCGTCGCAATTCATTTCTTGCAATGATCTTAGGAAATTTGTGTCGGCCATCATACCTTTAGCAGACTTCCAGGAAACTTCCTTTATGCCTTTAAAGATTACTATACACTCACAAATTGTTTGCACTGGTTCGGGAGGAGTGGCGAATGATCGGATTTCAGTTATATCGGATTTATCCAAGTCGGATAGAGCTAATCTGGCAACTTCCAAAGCTGGCAGAGCTGCCGACAACGCCTCTTCTGCTTCACCCTGTTCTACAGATATTATTTGGGCTTGTTCTTCAATTTCCTCAGATTTTATCGAAGCTATGCGTTTTTTTTCCAAAGCAATTGTCGTGCCTTTGTCAATGTCCACCAACATCAGTTCGCATTCTGCCGTGGCTTTGGCTACTATAACTTTTTGTTTTGCTAATTGTTTGTTTAATATAGCCAACTCGGCACTTGCTTCTTTAATTTTGGTCATGCCGCTTACCAGTCTTTCGCATTGTTGATCAATGAACAGATTTTTCTCTTCTAAAAGCCTCAAGTAAGTTGTCAAGTAGTCTAGGTAGTGTTTCGGAGTGACATAATTTTTTCTTCGAAGTTTTAATGCAAAATCAACTGTATATTCTATAATACTCTGGTGCACGTGAACCACGTGCTCTATTATAGGGTCTCTAAGTTCTTCCGGAATTTTCGGATTTTCCTTTAGGAAAACCGAAGCAACAGCTATGAGAGCTTGAGGCGGCCAGGGGAATATCCAGTCTATCGTCGTGCAGTTTACCAAACCAGGGAAATTTCGGCACCGCTTGCTTAAAATTTCGCCGGAAGGTGACATTGATAAAACAACGTGTAAATTATCTATGCATGTATTCAAAAAGTATTGCCACACAGATTCCTTGGCCACTCCGTAACCGGCATTCGCAGCTTTGGTTCTGCAAGATCCGATAATTTGCTCCTTGTCATCGTCGCTGAATAACGACGGTATGTATCCGATCATCAGAACATTGTTTATAAACTCCAGAAACCCTTCTTCAATAATTTGAGCCGCAGTGAAAAAAAACACCATTTTTTTTCCGTCGACGCCAAGCAAATTGTACAGTTTTTTTAGGTCATCCTTAAAATTGGTTTCGTTGTAACCTCTACACAAAACAATGGTAAAAACATCGCATTCCGCAGTAAACGCCGCAAGTCTAGTCAAGCTTAACTTCCCGCTGCCACCCACACCAACAAGCATCACGTGACCTTTCTGCAGCCTTAACGTCCTGTGTATTCTCGTCAAGTGCTCGAGAGCATCATCAAACAAAACAACGTTCAGTTTTTCGTTACGCTCATTGTATTCCTCGATAATTTCTTGGAATAAAAAGTACACCGCTTGATAGTCGAGCAAATCCTCGTACTCTCTGGGATCGGCTTCGTTCGTAGCGTTTCTAAAATCGCCAAAAAGTAACGGATCTCGCATGACATATTCGGGAATGTCGACATCCTCTTCCTCCTCTTCCATTTGTTGAACTACAGCGGCAGCATTTTCGTCAAAAACAAAATCTTCATCCTCAATGTTCGGTGCCATCAAGTCTTGCTTTAGTTGTTTTCTCGGAAATGAATTTTGCAGCTGCGTAATCATGTGGTTTCGTAAAAATTCCTGGTCTTCAACGTTAATTAGGCGATCGCACATAACGCGGGTGAATTCATTTCGCCACACTCTCGCGATTTGAGGTATGCTAGTGTAAAACTTGGGCGTTGTTATGCACAGACCAGAGACGATTCTCGAAAGATCGCGCATGTTGAATATGTAGTGAAATTTACTGGGTGTTGGGGGCATTTGTACGACAACAATGTTGTATAAAGTCAACGTTAATTGTATTAATGTTGATGCTAATTGTACGACAGGATCAAACTTGGATAAATGCCCAGATAATATTGAAGTGTAGATACGGCTTAGGGTATCCGTAGTTGGGAAGACGAGATTAACACACGTAAACATCGAAATAAATCTAGGATCTACTTCATTTCTGCCACCTCCTGCTACGCCCATAGCAGCAAAATAGAAAATATCCTTTAAGTACTTCCAATTGAGATCTTTACCTCGATCGTAGAATCCACCTTTTTCGAATAGCAATTTAAGCAATGCTATCGGCTGTTGGGTGCCGTATTCGTCCACCTGCGGCATATTCATATCATCTATGAAACAAATTAACTTTTTGCCCATCGGTGGTCCGAATATTTCCTTCGTTCTTTTTTCCACCGAAGACTCTAGATTGACTTGCACATCCATAGAAGTTGTACGCGATGAAAAGTTAATGTTAAGAATAATAAACACATCCGGATCCAAGTTTCGCAAAAAGTCTTGTATTATAGCAGTTTTTGAAGTGCCAGTTTCACCAACCAAAACTATCGGTCTTCGAATTGCGTTCATGAGTTTTAACAAGTAAGTAACTCTTACAGTGTCCACAGTAGGTACCAAAATTTCTGAGAACCTTTTATCGGCAACGTGAACGTATTCAGGCACCAACCATTCCCAGGCCACCCAACATCTTTCAGTCAAGTCCAAAAAGTAGTCATAGTAAGTGGGAAAAGCAGTGGGAATATGTCTCAAATCGCACTTGTCTTCAAGTTTGTCTTCATACTTTAACATTGGAACTGAAGCTTTCATATACTCGTCAAAATCTGGCCGACAACGATCAAGTAAGGAAGCTCCGATGGAATTATAAATACTAGTAATAAATATGGAGAGCAGTAGGGGTTCGTCGGCTTCCTCCTCTGGATCGCGCGTATCTTCCGAAGGTTCCGGATAAATAGCATCAAGCATGTTACAAAATTGCGTTATCATGTTTAATCCTGTTTGTGGAACAACTGTTTTTAAAGGCGCAACTTGTTTCGTACCCAAAGTGCCTTCGAGAACGTACGCCATTAACTCCGGAACTAGTTTGTCGTAAGCCTCGGAGAAATACGAACGATCGGGCGGATACCGTCTAGTTTTGATCCAACGATCCCAATAGGGTTGAAAACCGAGATTTTTTGGATCTACGTAAACCATACCCGCTCTAGATACTGTGGCAGGCGAGGCAAAGGCTAAATTTCCGACTTCGAATAATAAAGCACATATTGGAGTTTGTAATCTGATTCTTTCACCATTTGCGAGAGTTAACAGTTTATTATCATCCATTACAGAGTTCATGTTTTCAATCCAAAGTGCATCAACGTCACCGTCAAAGATTATGTAACGTCTTTCAGCTTTTTCCGTGGGTTTGTTCATTTCTCTAAAAATGCTAGATAGTAAACCATCTGTCCAATCGCGAGTTGCAGGATCTAAAATCCCATACAACTCAATCACAGAACATGCTTTAGGATTTAACGTTGTAGTTCTTGTAGGTAATCCCATAAGAGTTTGTGCTCGACACAAAGTTTGAGTAACCACAGTTTTACCACCACCCGTAGGTCCAACCAACATGGTACAATGCCTGGTCATCATGGTCTCATACATTTGCACGACTTTATCGACTTGATATGCAAGTATAATGTATTTATTTTCGTCTAGAGCTTTCTCTACTGCAGCGTTAAAATCGGGATAGCCCACTCTAGGACAATCCATGCCGGGGAACAAATCCCTAATTAATCCAAGGAATAGAGGAACATCTTCGTATACAAATTTGGGATGGTTCATGTCACGTAGAGCCCGCATTAAAACTAGGGCTTCTTTAATGTCTGGAGAGGCTCTTTTTAGGACGCCGGCCATACGTAAAACAGCATTTAGGGCTCTTAGACCCCAATCGTAGTGAAATTGTTTTGAAAGTTGTTCTCTGGCCAACTTGTATAGTACTGTCATTTTTTTAGCTAAGGTTTTGGCTTCAAGAAAACCATCAGAGAAAAGAGAAATTAGGCAGATCATTTCCAAATCGGGTACAATGCACACCACCGGTCTAAAAAGTGCCTTTACTGATTCTGGTAACTCGGTTCTACCAGCATATCCTGGGTTCATGGTTATAAAAATACCAACTTTAGAATCCAAGTTAATTTCAACACCCTCAAAAGTAAATTTCTTTAACTTCATTACCAGAGCACTTCGAATAGTTTGCAATTGTGTCGAAATCACAGACAATACAGACACGTCAATTCTATTAAACTCATCAAAACAACCCCACGCACCGCACTGCGCTAATCCAGCCAATGTGGTACCGATAGCTTTAAAGTCCATGCCTTCGCCACAATTTGTGACAATACACAACAACGCCATTGCTTTGGCCAAATCTTTGGTGGTTTCGGTTTTGCCTGTGCCTGCTGGGCCAGCTGGCGCACCGCCCATCTTCATTGTTAAAGCTTGGGTTATCGTCAGATATATTCGATCAGTTAGAGGTGTGATGACCAGTCTACCGTTGAGGCCCATATATTCGTAGCCGTATTCAAACGAGCCGGTGCATTGCGTTACCCAAAGATTGTCTAAATTGTTGATCCAGTAGAAACGCAGTTGGCTCTCCCATTCGAATTCCAAGACATCAGTTACACTGTCCCGAACAAAACTTTCAATAATGTCTCTTGCATGCACTTCGACAATCGCGATAGTTCTAAATTTGGTCCTATCGTTTGCAGTCAACTCGGCCCGCACCGTTATTACGATCTCATCAAGTTGTTTATTGAGTTGTTCCAAATACTCCTTCATTGCTCTTTTATTACCTTTCTTTATTTTCACGAATACATTCTCAACTTCTGCTGTCCACCAAACCGAACTTCCAGCCAATGTAATCATGCCTTGGTATTCGAACATCCACTCAGAGCGAGGTCTGCGTATTTTGCCATAGTAAAAAATCGCCTTTTTTGTTAAAAACCTATTAGACTTTCTCATTTCATTGAGAACATCGTTCATCCATTCCTCAATTTTACCGACAATATAAACCGGATCACCAAAGTCCATGATTTCTCGTTCCCCGGAAATCATCGCAGTTGCAATCATGCGGTCTTGGTTGTCCCTTTCAAACTGCAAAGCTTTTATGTTGTCAAACATTTTAATCATATGTTCTTGAACGCACGTAGGATCGGAACTGCCCAATATGGAGAGCAATTCTTCGGTTGAAATAAAGTAGAATCGGGGAAAACGTCTGCGTTTGGAGTCGAGGTAATCGTTTAACGATTTTTGGCAGTTGTCAAGTCCGTTTCCGAGCGCCAAAAACTCTTCCAATCTACCACCAATAAGGCAGCACTCGTAAACGTTTAGTCTTTTCGAGGTATCGATCATAATCTTTTTGAAAATCTTGTCCATATCATCGAATTTTCTTGCTTCGTCTGGTAACTGCGATCTAATGTCTCCACCGACAAAAATACCCTCTAAATACAACCATTTTCTCTGTACAGATAACCATTCATCGATTACTTCGCCGATGGTGGCCAAGTTCTTCTCCCAGGTTTGCACCAAACCCAAAAACGGCCCGACAAATTGAGAACCGGCCATACTTTGCAGCGTCATCGAATTATCGTCCAACACCAACATGATATCATCTGTGGGACCAATGACAAAACCGCGATCTTCAATTCCCTTCGTGTGTTTTATCACGATAAAGTTCATCGTAGTCCACACTTCAATAATGTCCTTAATGCCTTTCTCTATCGCCAACTCTTTTATGGCATTGTTTATAATTTCCTCCGCTATATCTTGGAAACGATGAAGCTCCATCGCAAACATGTTGTCCAAAGTAAACCTATCCGCAGACATGTCAAATTCGACTCCAGTTCTTTTCATCAACTCCCTCCAATGACGTTCTCTCAAGGCGTCATTTTTTAGGGCCACCATAAGCGGTATCGCGTTTTTAAATTGCTTCATTTTTAGCTCCAACGTTTGTCCGACCGGAATCAGTTTAATTGGTTTAGGGAACTTTCTGAATTCCTTGGAGTACGTTTCGATACCGTCTACAAGAGCTTGCGGATCTAAATTTACCCAGAGAGTCTTTCCCCACATTTCCCTCGCATAATTCTGCGCCTTATACAACTTGTACACGAGCTCCATGCCAGCAAAGTCTTCCTTCAACTTTAAAAATTCGCTGTAATCAGCCAGTGGGATATCAAATAGTGATTCAGCATTCACTAATTCAATTCTTCGTTCCTCCATTTGATTTATTATAGGTTCGTATTCATCCATTAATATGGTGCCCGTGTCCAAATCTTCGCCAACAGACCCTGGACCTTCCCTGTAGAATTTCTCCACGAAAGCCGCCAAAACGCCAAGAAAATCGTTGATTTCGCTTAGAGTCAACATTGCGAATCTTTCTTTGGTGGCTTCTAAAGTTTGTTCCCTGTAAATAGCACTAAGATGTAGAGATCTCCACATCTTTTCTAACTGTTTCGCGAGTTCTTCGTGTTCTGGGTCAAAATCGATGTCGTGTTGTCTCAAGTTCGCATAGGTTTCTTGGTATTTCAAGAAGGCCAATTCCGCATCAACATTGGATTTTTGGATGGTTGATATAGCCTGCATTATAGCGCGAAATCTGTCCAAGCCTTTAATGTTGAGTTTAACCACACCACGTAGTTCCTCTATGGTGACCTTCATCTCGTCCATTTTCACTTTGGTCGCTTTATCCAACATCACCCCTAAAGTGGTTTTCCACTCGAGAGCGTGTTCCGATATGGTATCCAATAATGGACGCAAATTTAACCTTATACAACCAATATCCACAGTGCTCTTGTATTTGTTCATATCGGAGATTATGTTATTGTAAAACATAAACCTTTCGTCGTACTGCGAAAGTTGGGAATTTTGTTCGATAAACTTCTCGCAAGTCGACTTTTTATCGAACGACCACAAAGTTCTAAAACGCCTCCATTTTTTTAATTGCTTGTGCACCTGCACGATGGATCTGTGCGCGGTTTCTTGCACTTTACTTTGCACCTCAAACAAATCGTTTACTTTAACCAGGTCTTCGTAGAAAGAGTGCAAAAATTCTTCGTGCTTTTGAAGTTTAATCGGCTTACAGAGGATGCAGGTTTTGTCCATCCATCTTGGGAATATTTTAAAGCGTTCCAAGAAATCTTTAATATTCTTTATTATGAGATTATAGATTTCCATTGATGTAGGCCGCAGGAATATCTCCGGAATTATAACCACAGCGTCCACTTGGAACATTAAAACGTTATCCTCCATTTTGTTGTTAAACACCTCCAGATTCTTAAGAGCCACGTTGATAAACGCTTTATAAATCTCCTTCTCCCAGTGTTGATACTGCGTAACCATCTTGGCCGATGTCCCCGAATTGGTAGTCAATATTAAATACTCCATTTTCAACAACAAAGGGCCAATACCCTCGTAATTCAAAAGAATCTGATTGACCTTCTCTGTCCTTCTTTCGTACATCTCGGCAAAGAAATCTTTGCAGGACAAGCGTTCTGGAATTTCTCTCACGGTTTTAAAAGAGAAGAAATTCGCGTTCGCAATGGTATTCACGCGAAGTTGGAGTCTAGTTTCCATGTGCATCAGTTGAGAGTATAAAGTGTCCAAACGGTTTATTAGTTTGATGCAAGTGGTAACGTAATCGTCTATGCCCATCGAGGACCAGCTTATTCGAGTTAAGCCAGGTTGAATATGAAGTTCCACTTCCCGAACTTCGTTTTTCAAAATTTGAATTTGTGGCGGTGTTATCTTCTTCACGATGTTCGTGTAATTTAGGATCATATACTTAATGGCTTTGTAGTTTGCCTTAATAGTCTCTCTTCTGACCAAAATAATGCGAATTTCTTCGGGCAATTCGATATTCATTTGCTCGAGAAAATCTGCCCCGCGCAAGTAAACATCCATATCTGTCTTAATATTCATGTCAAACTCCAAGCCGTACTCCAAAAGAATGTGTTCGCCGACGACAGCGTGCCAAGTTAAACCATGCTGGTTTTGAACCTTGTCGATGATCAAGCTGGCGTTTTTTGAAAAGCTCTTGCCGATTGTCGACATTTTTGTAGCTGAAAAGTTTACCTTTTTTATAATTAACTGATGTCGAAACGTGTTTGTGTCACTTCAAAGACCAGCGTTAAAGAATGTTTCAGGAAATTACGACATCCAAATAATCTTTTCTGAAACACTCTTCAACCCCGCTCTTAAAACTGACCCAAGCACGTTTTAAACTCAGTTTGTCTGATATTTTCTGTAAGGGTTCACAGAAACGAGTCTATATTGGATGATCTGAGACAGTTCAAAGAGTGCAGACCAGATTGCATCAGAAAGGATCACTTGGAATTTTTAAACAACTGAGGGAGACGATGTCTTAGAGAATCAGCAAAGCGCTAATACAGTAGTGCAGTGCAATACAACAAGTGAAGAATTTAAGAAATCAGTTACACTACCTGTACTGTAGGGTGTACGTTATTTACCAAGTTGGCTGTTTTTACTTGGGTACCGTTTAAATTGTTAGTTTATAGCCTAAAACAATTTTTAAACAAAATAAATTTTTCGATGTCGCTTAACCCTGCCTAAATGACGATAACTTTTCCCATTCATTTAACATGGAGTTTTTGAATATTTGGAAATTATTTTTTTCTTGTTTATTATATTTAATAACTTACCAAATTTTGTTGATTCTGCTTCTATTATGACCCTTTTGGATAAAGAAATTTTGATATTGGCGTCAAAAATGTATTCCCTAAATTTTGATAAGTTCAAAATTAATTTATACCGTTTTTTCCAATAATTTTGTTTAATTTACCGACCATTCAATATTTATTTTGTATTTAATGTAACGCTTGAATATTGACTTTATAAAGATTTTAAATCATAAATCATTAATAGTTCATTTTAAATTACCTATTATAGCCTAACACCATCTATCGTTCGACCATGAACTTTTAAGATAAAAAGTATTTTTCCCTTTAGTCAAATGTTTTAAATCACTAAGGGCCGTATGCAGAAACGTTGATTTATTTAAATCAACTGATTTAGCATATCAGTTGATTTAGCACGACATAACAACGCAGTAATTGTCTTTAAAAACTGTTATTTTATAATATAAATTGGGTAATTATCTTTAAAACGTTTATATTATCCCTAAATAGTTTATTTATACAGTGTAGTCAATATTAAAAGCGTATAAAATAAAATTTAACATTAAATACAGAATAAATATTAAGTAAATTAAACAAAAAATTAAAAAAAAAACAGTATAAATGAATTTTGACCTTATCAAAATTTACGGAATAAATTTTTGACGCCAATTTCAAAATTTCTTTATTCAAAGGGATCATAATAGAAGCAGAATCAACAATATTTTGTAAGTTATTGAATATAATAAACAAGACAAAAACCCCATGTTAAATGGGAAAAGTAACGTCATTTAGGCAGGGTTCGGCGGCATCGGATAAAAAATGTTTCAAAATTGTTTTTAGGCTATAAACTAACATTTTAAACGATACCCATGTGAAAACAGCCAATTTGGTAAATAATGGACACCCTACTGTACAGGTGAACCAGTCTCCCGAAGGAACCAAAGCAAGGGTCAAGTGGACAGTAGCAACAAAAGATAAGTTCAATAGCTTCAATCCGCATGATTTAACTAGCATTCTTTACTAAACAAAGTAATCTTGCATTTTCTCGAAGAAGGTTACGCGTCTAAACGAGGAAAACAAAAAAGACAGCAAACGTAATTACGTAATATAAATTGGTACAAAACCAAAACTAAACAAATAACCGTGATACGCAATGGACGTTAACATAAACAAAAAGTCAAGTGCAGTCACCTAGACATCATCAATAAACATGCCAACACCCTATTTTAAGTCTTTATCGAATTAACGCTAAGGCTTACGAACAGTGGGACAAATAATTTGTATCTAGTTACTTTCCTTTACAGATATTTTTCGCATAATTCGTTATAAACAAAAAAAATAACTATTTTTAGCTAACTGTAGTCACTTTGCCGACTCCAGAAAACTATCTATCGATGGTTCTCAACCCTAGACTAAAGAAAAGGTTTCGCACAGTGGGGCAAACAATTGCGGACTGCAGCGCCCGAACTTTCAGCAGACACGGACGCAAACGAACAGAACGAAATGAACCCCAATTGAATGTATTACTAAATCCCTGGTTTAGGGGGATTTCGGATTGTACTTAGTTTTGGGTCAGTCCAATGTCCCCCAAAAACGAAAATGTTTTCCCTCCTTGTCCCGCACTACACTAGCCTAAATCGGGAGTATGGCCCGGCCCGGCGTTCAAAATTCCGGGAAGGGCCTTAACAATTGAACTGTGATCCACGACCTCCTAAGAGAGATTTACCAGCCGGGGTTATAATTCGTATCCATCAAAACAGGTAATGCTGTGCAGTTGCGGAATGCGTATGAGAATTAAAAGTTGGTAAGGTGATGCCGATAAATAAATAAATTCTTTATTTGCCCAACAGATAAACCATTTAATTGACAATAAAAATACGTATATAATAGTAAAGACAAAACTAACTAATTGACATAAATATTGATAACAATAATTAATCAATTCCTTAATACTAAAAATATTAATATCGCATACTGAGGGAGACAGAATTTTATCTTCTTACCTTTTCCCATCGACTTGTTAGACTTTGCAGACGACACTCTCGACATGGTGCTCACATTGGTGCTGATAACGCTTAGTCCCTTGTGTTGCTTTGGCTTCTCCTCCGACTTCTTCGCCGGGTTAATGTAGACCAGCTTCAAAAGGCTCAACGCCATAGCGCTGCTCATGTAGGGAGTGGCAGCGTCGATCCACTCTTGCAACTTCTGGCGCTCGTACGATTTCAGTTCCTTGGCCAGTTTTAGGTAGGCCGAGAAAGTGGAGTCGCGCAGGTCGCTAGCCATCAGTTCCGGGACCTTTTGGAATTTTAGGACGGCGCTTTTCAAGCGGTGGAATAGAACTCTGGACCAGTAGACTGCGCCCGAGTGAATGGGGACGTCTAGTGGGAGGATAGGATGACGACGGTTTTTCTAAAATTTACAAAAAATAAATTATTAGTTAAAAAAAACAAATTAATTTAATATGTGCTATTAATAAACATCTTAATGTCAAATAAATATGCCAAAAAGCGTGGGGCGCTTTTTGGTTGCGTTTCTTGGAGTAACATGTACTTTTAAGTAATTTCGTCGCCCAACGCTTTTTGGCATGCTCATTGAACAATTATTATTATATTATTATTTATTTAATTGTTTAATACGCTCTATAATAGTTTAACAAAACAGTTATGTAACTGTTACCGCCAAACCATTTTAATTTTCTTAGTTTTACATATTTCACATTGCTCTGTTTAACCAGTAACTCTTCATAAAATACGTTTTGGGTTGGGTTGGTAAGTACATTACAATATTTTGTGTTTAGTGCGTTAAAACGTATTTTTTAGTTTTTTAAACTATTAATTTGTTTTTTTATTTTGTTAGTTACATCCGCCATATTGAATCTGGAATGCCTTCACGTATTCTGCTCGAGAAACCCTTTGATACTCATGTCAAGGTTGTTAAGAAATCTTGGGGCGGCCGCCATATTGGATTTAGTCACTCACCACATTGTTTTCTACTAGTCAAACCCTTTTATTTGATTAACCCATCATTTTAGATATTTTCATAAAATTAATTTAAAAGGTAAAATTAGTGCGTATGGCGTAAATCTTCATTAATGAAATGAAATGTAAATTCACCCTGAGTTCATACAGATATTGTTTTTCTTTAAACTTTATACAAATTATACCCACCTTATCAAAACCAATTTGAAGACCCAAAAGTAAATTTGATTAATTGTTAGAAAATCCATGTGCGTTCACTATGAATTCAAATGGCGGGCGCATCTTTTAGCAACCGTGCATTCACGCGCAAGCATTATTTTTCACCGTGCCTTCGCGGTGAATTCACGAATGTTATGTGCGTAAAGTTAACTTTTTACGCATTTATTATTCCCCGCGTAGTAGAGGAAGGAATCATTAATTAACTATGTGAAGCAGTGGCGGCTCGTGGCAGTAAAATTTGTGAGTTCTGCCAGTGGGGTTTAAAAAAATGTGGCGCAGTGGGCATTTAATTAAATGGTACCTACAGTTAATTAATTAAATCATAATTAAATCATACACCACATTCATTCTTACAAAAGAATACAACAACAAACACAAAAATACACCGAATTAACAGTCTTCTAGTTAAAATAACAAACGTGCACGCGAAGCGAAAAACAAACGACCGGGAAGTAGGAACTGTATGTTGGTGCAGCTCCGGTTTGGCTTAAATTTCACTATCTCAACCTAGGACCAAGAGCGGCGCGGAGCAAAATTACGGTATTGAAATGGGATCCAGAACTCGAAAGTGGCCCAGCTTTGTTGTATTGTAAGCGTTAAGCGTTAGAGACCTTTACCGGTCGTTTGGATGACTGTAGTGGCCAAGTACGGCGAATGTTTATAATAAAAACTTTTTATGCAGCCATGCGTTTGAAATATTCATACACTGTCGCACTTAAATATTAAATAATTAAAAAATTAGTCAAGTAATAAGAAAATTTTGGGAGTTCTGCAGCTCTGCAGCCCTTATGCACTAGCCGCCCCTGATGTGAAGTGTACGCCATTTTGGATTTGGTGTTTTTGTGGATTTGCATACGTATTTTGCATTTCTCTATAAAAAAGAACAGTTTTTATAACAGTTTTTATAACGTCAATATTTGTTGCTAATAGGTAATAACAAAAAAATATTTATAGACCACACGTCTATACATATTTTTTTTCAAAACTTTTTTCTCGAGCTTCTGCCACGAGCGCCAGAGAAGATTTAATTATATTAAAATTGTAGACAACTCCATTCTCCACAAATTTGTTAATTAGCAAAATACGCGCTCAAATCAACAAAATCCAAGATGGCAGGTTCAATTAATTTATGAGGGAAATAGTATTTTGTTCAACGATTAAGAAAGTTGGCCATTTTCATGAGGAACCGAATGGAAATGGTAATTTCTTAAAAGTTGAACACTAGGTACTTTTATCAATTTTATTAATTTAGTACAATTACCAGAACACAGATTTATAAATCTTAATAAGGACAAATGTCAGTGTCAATTAAATTTTAGGAAAACAATGAACCACCTTATAATCTTCATAGTAGGTAACGATAAATAAAACCGTGGAGAAAAGTAAGTAGCCTGTGGAGAAAGAGATTAATTTTCTCGAGTTTAAGACTAAGCCACTTTATCAGACCTAAAAAAGTTTTTCCTATTGCCAATCCGATCCGGATATATTAGGGTGAGCCAAAAAAACTAACCTATCGGATTTATAGGTTAAAATGAACCTACATACCGAGAAAAAAATTTCCCTGCAAGGCAAAATTTTTTGCTCAATTTTAAAAGGTGTCGGTGAGCATTCTAAGTTTTCCATTGAAATAACACGTAAAAAAATCTTTTTTCATTAAAAAGACTATAACTTTTGAACCGTTTGAGATAAATTTTTTTACGTCGCAGATTCTTGTAGAGCATAAAATTTCCCAAAGAATCTATACCAGGATTATTTTTTTTAATTCAAAAATTCGTATGTTTGAAAGCTTTGAAAAGTGTAAAAAACTGCACCTTAGGGACACGTGTTCCTTTTGATCAATTTATCTCAAATTTTGCAATATTTTTTTTTATTTGGAACCCTATTGATTTTTTTAAATTTATACAGTGTTTTCTAATGGGAAGCTCCAAAACTTGAAAATTAAATATCTTTAAATTTTGACCAAGCACGGATATGTAATCTACGACCAACAATTAAGTTTACGTGTCCGAGCGTTTAGCTCTGATATTTTCACCACCCCTAGTGTTATTAAATCCCCCTACTACCCCCTCTAAAAATATTTTTTTCCGATTCTTGTTTGTAAAAATCCGGTCTTAAAAACCCTCCCCCCTCCAGTGTCACCACATTTATGGACCGCCCCCAATTGAAAATAATGAGTTACTTACTTGAAAATGATCATCAACACTAACAATCTCCTTCATAAACTGATCTAGAATAACATCAAACTTCTGCATTAAGCTTTCCCAAATCAGAGGCCTAGTATCAACATGTTTAAACTTGAGCAAAAGCTGCAAAGCATTTTCGGACGACCTAAAAATCCAATCCTTAAACCCTCCCTCATAAAAAAATTACTTTTTTTACGTTATCATTGTAAAACTCTGATCAACAAATCTGACGCCTTCATTGTCGAGCTTGTTAACCTCCTTGTAAAAATGCTCCATAACCGCTTCCCAGTTTTCCCTCAGGTTAGGATTATACATGTCGAAGTCGACATTTTCAATGGAACCGACGATTTTTTCCACTCTTTTGGACACGTTATCGATCTGCTGAGGATCGCTTATGATTTTCCTCAAGTCCGGACCGAAGATATTATTGAACTGATTAATGATCTAAAGAGGAGAAAATTTAGTGGCGTGAAGACATTTTTGGGATTAATTTTTACTTTGGCTGCATCATGCAAGTTTTGACAAACAATGGCGATATAATCGGTAGACATAAACAAGCGCTTTTTATCAAACTCCCATCTATGACCTTTACCGGAGTCCTCAATCTCTTGTCTTGTCTCCATGTATGAATTTCTCCAGCAATTCAACATATTTTTTGCTTCAGTAGTCATTCTTAATATATCAGCAACAGGTCGCCTAGATTATAGGAAGTAAAGGTTTTGCTGCAAGAAATTCTCATTGTTGTCTTACCTGAATAATTTGTCAACGTTCAGGACTTTCTTGACGCAATCCGAAAGACACCAAGCAGTTCTTTCCATTAGGGGAACTATGGTTTCATCGCTGCAGTAGTAACGTGAGAGGACCCACATCATTTTTATGCCCTCTATAAGTTGAGGGATGCATTCTTGGATTTTGTGGAAGTCGGTTGAGAATGTAACAGTCTACAAAAAAGATTTAGTTTTTGAACATCTGAAAGTAGTCATTTTCCAAAACCTTAAAATGTCTTCGTATAGTCGATAAAAACTTGACATTGTCCATCGCGGCCAAGTATAAACGCCTTAAGTCCAATTTGTACTGATTAAATACGTCCGGGACCTGAGAACGAGCTTTTTCCAAAATGTGATAAATTCTTATAAGGAACGGTTTCTTCATTTGTTCCGATATAGTACTCAAGGACACCTCTCTATCGTGCCAGTACTCGAACTCCGGCAAAGGTCCGTTACCAACTGGCACCTAAAGAAAAAGTTTGAACATTTCCATGATGTAATAATTATTGTTTTATCCTACTTTAGCCAAGTTAACGTCGATAATTTTCTGTATGTTCTTTCCCCAACCCAGAAGGTACTCTTCCAATGTGGATATGGCCTTGGAGTTGCGAATGATTTCTTCGTCAGTGAAACCAAATCGAAGGACTTCCGGTATATCGCTCACCTCAATAGTTTTCTTATCGGCAATGTGATCGGTTACCCTTTAAAAATATTGGAAACTTTGAAATTTTTTGTAATTTTAAGAATTTTTTAAAATCATAAATTTTGAAAGATTTATAGGCATTGTAAATTTTTTGTAATTTTGGGAAATTTGTCCTACCATTTTTTATATTCATACTACTGTCACGGTGCACTTCGTTGAAGTTTTACCCAAAGGTTCCCTCCCCCGTTTAATTTCTCTTTTATCAGAATTAAGTGATATGAGCTAAAAATTAAAATCATCTATCTATGAAAGAAATAAAAAGAAAACCTAATTTTCTTCTTTGTGGGTGAATTTTTCTACCTACCTCCAAAACCCATCCTATGCTAAAAGTAATGTTTAGCAATGGTTTTACCTACGTAGATTACCTAATTTTAATTATTTTATTTCTGATACTAATTAATTAAACAAAAATTCTGTTCTAATAAAAATGTATTATAACAATTGTTAACATATTAATATAATTGTATAGACGTGCTTTTGCATCATTTCTTATTCAAAAAAGTAAAAAAAATAAATCCTTTAAAATTAACTAGTTTAGTAAATAATTGAAATCAAAAGATTTAAAAACATATTTTTGCATCTTCCTCGTTCAAAGACCAAGTTTTGCAAGTGAAAAGTGCAAATACCAAAAAATAACAATGAATCAGGTGATTGTTATGTCGTCAAGTAATGCGTATACTAGCGACGTGATTGGTCTACAGCAAATACCGAGTTTTGCATCCGACAGGAAGAAACAAATATCTGCGGTAAGTTTATAAATGTATTTTATTCTACAAATATTAACTTATGCATCTGGCTTACTTAGGTATGCTGTGGGCAGTGCAGTTATGAACATAAATATATTTATAAATTTATTTATCCTATGGGATAAAATATTTATTTTTTTATCTGCATTTATACTTTAATAAACAAAAAACCGTTAGGTAACAAATTCATTAAAGAATGTATTTAAAAATGTATTAAACTTTAAATATTTGATATAATATATTTACATTTACATATTATGTAAAAAATTTCACTTATAAGTACCTAAATAAAACTTTTTTTTCCCTATTTTTATGTATAACATTTTTTTTATAGAAAGAAAACGGTCAAAGATAATATAGACTTTATAGAATATTTTGCGCAGCTCAAGGCGAGAAAAATAAAATTGTAAAAATGGTAAGTGAGAAATTTTAAAGCACGATATTTTTGGTATTGGGTTAATTTTAGCAAGTTTTAAGGGTTTTTTTGTCGACGTTAAAAAAATTCTTAATTCCAAGAAAATATGGGCCATAAAAAATCAAATAGCCCCGGGCCTCCATGTTGCTTAATCCGGCACTGTTAAAATTTAAAATTTTGACAAAATATTTCAAAAAATCAGTTTTATAGTTATAAATGCATTTTTGTGAGAATATTTTATAAAATATAATATTCATATTCTATAAAATATGTAAATCATATGATTTATATCTTACACAAAAATGTATTTTAAACTTTAAAATTAATTTTTTGGGTACATTTCTTATACTTTAAATTTGAAAATATTATACAGGGGAGTCGAAAAACAAGAAAACATGAAGAGTTTTAAAGCCTAGTGACAAATAAAAAAAAAGTATTTAAATACTATCCAAAGCTTTGTCTAGTCTATAGACTATAGACTAATTGTAAAATTTCAACTCAGTATTCGATATTAGGTCTATTGCCATACTTTAAATTTGAAAATATTATACAGGGGGGTCGAAAAACAAGAAAACATGAAACACGTGTTTAGTACTGTGATAGCACTATCAAGAGTAAACTAACTTTATTTTTAGTTTTGGAGCAAATAAAAAAAAAGATTTCATATCCTATCCAAAGACTAATTGTAAAATGTCAACTCAGTACCTATTCGAAATTTTCTTTTTTTTTTAGTTTTAAAATTCAATTTCTAATTTATACTTTTGTACTTCATTTCATGTATACCGTAAAACGGGGCGATTTCGGACAGCCGGGGCCACTTCGGACATCATTACCTTAAAGCTATTAAAAATTCGCGATTGGGACGTCTGACGTAACAGAGTTCTGTAATTTGGGAAAAAACTTCGTAGAAGATGGCTAAAGCTATGGCAAGAGGCACGTGGGTTCGGTTGTTAAGTGAAGTAAGCTTTTTGCATCGTTTAGTCTGGAGTTCAAACTTTACTTCTTTTATAACTAGGTAAAAGTAACTGGTGCCAGCAATTAAGTATGCACTGTATGATCAAAATAATATAGATTTTCGGTAGTACGTAATTTTTTTGATAAATAATTTTTTTTTGGTTTACGTTCGTATCAAATTAACTTTTATACAGGGTTGTTATACAAATATTTGCATTTTATGGGGCGACTTCGGACATGGTTAGGGTCTATAAAAAATGTTGGAGAGCAATTTTTACAGAAACTATAGAGAGGAAAATTTTTTTTAATATACTTTAGTATTAGGTATAGGAAGAAATATATTTGTTTTATTGTTTTGATCCTCAGAATTCAATTTTATTTTATATTTTGATAAATAAAATGCCCTTTTCCATTTGAATGAGTTTTTACCTAATTTCATGCTTTTTTTCCTAATTTTATGCTTTATACTATTTTTTTAAAGCAATATTTCTGTCTGAAGTCGCCACTGAATGTGCTAGCTTCAATTATATACATTTTACAACGCTTGTCCGAAATCGCCCCACCTTAAGGGGTGACTTCGGACAGACTTTGACAAAAAAAAGTAGTATTAGTATTTGTATGACTATTATAATTTTTACGTAAACTTATACCGGAAGGATGCCAAAATCCCCTGTAAAAAAATTAGTTCAAAATAACAAACATTACCGATTCAAAATTTGAAAAAACCTTAAAAATCGTCCGAAGTCACCCCGTTCTACGGTACTTTACCTACATATGTATAGGGTTCCCAACTTCTGTAAAAAAAACTGACATTTTGTGTAAATTTGTATACATTAATTACAAAAATGAACAAAAATGTCCCGGATTTTTTTGACGGAAAGTTCGGAACCCTACCTATGTATGACAAAAAATATCAAAGTGACACAGTTTTAGATATAAATTATAAAATTTTGTTTTAAAAAATATTTTCAAAATACTAACTATCGATCAAAATAAATAAAGATATATATATATGTTGCGGCTAATGTGCAAACTTGGATAGTTTATAAACTAGCTGGATAGTTTATAAACTAGCCAAACTGTCAGCTATTTTAATTGAAAACATATTTTCAACTAAATTAGCGGCTAGTTTACAAAATAACCAAGGATCATGGCTAATTTACTTGAAATTATTAGGGAAACTAAAATAGCTGGATAGTTTGTATACTATCCAATTCGGTTTGGCTAATATGAAAACCAAAATTTCTAGTAACACAAAATAGCCAAGCTTTAGCTAGTTTGTAAACTAACCAACCAATTATCTGGCTAATTTATTAAAAAAATGAGGTTACGGCATTGTTTTTCGTTTTGCCGGCTTAACCGGATTTGTTTTGTGCATTTGAACGTTTTTTAAATGAATCAGTCTAATATATATATATATAAATATATATATATATAGGTACATACACATATATACATACACATATGTATATATAATACCTACCGAAAACGTGAATTCTCAAATTATTGTGTTTTAATAAATCGAGTTTTTTTACAATTTTTTAATTTTCTAATTTTTAAAATTTTTATGAATTCTGGAAATTTTGTAATTACACTGTAGGTAAATTTTCAAATCTTAAAATATCACAGCTAAACGCTAGGACACGTAAACATAATTTTTGTTCGTAGATTTCAAATCCGTGCTCGGTTTAGCTGTATCAGTTTTTTCCTATTGTAAATCCGATCCGGGGACACACTGTATACTGGCATAATATAATTTGTAAAATAAAATAAATCAGATATTGTGCTAACATGTCTATGCTTTTTTTCAATTAATTTAATATCCTCAATTATACTCAATAAAAAAAAATTAGCAAAAAGATATTTTGAATTTCCTTAATATTAATATAAAATATTATCTATAAAAAACACTCAGGAACCCTTTTCATCAATTAACTTTAAATTTTGCAAGAATTTCTTTTTTTTTTCAATTTTGAACTGATGTGTGGGTTTACGTGTCCGAGCATTAGCTGTGATATTTTCACCTCCCTACAATGTTATGGGATATTTAATAAATTTTGTATTAAAGTACTATTTTGTATTTTGTAATTTTAAAACGTTTCAAAATTTTATAAATTTCATGATTTTTAAAAGTTTGAAACCATTAAGGTATATTTTATACTACTTTAAACACATTTTTTTTTAACTATTGAGCCATTCCACGCGTAACGGATACGACAGTTGCCGTGTTTTTATTTACAAAATAATATTGTTCTATTATATTACCAATGTCAAATTTTTATAAATAGTTCTAAACTAAAGCTGTTTAACAAGGTTTTTATTTGTCAAAATTAGGTATCGTGATTGACTGTTTAATTCCTTAAAAATTAATAATTTAAAGCGTAACGGACGGGACTATTACGAAGTCCCGTCCGTTACGCTTTAAATTATTAGTTTTTAAGGAATTAAACAGTTAACCACGATACCTAATTTTGCCAAATAAAAACCTTGTTAAACAGCTTTAGTTTAGAACTATTTATAAAAATTTGACATTGGTAATATAATAGAACAATATTATTTTGTAAATAAAAACACGGCAACTGTCGTATCCGTTACGCGTGGAATGGCTCTATTGCGAATTTATCCTACCACTTTTTAAATGTTTGTCACTATGCGAATTTTGTTCGAATATTCTAAAACAACGCAGGCATCTGCGCGTGCCGTCATTTGTTTTCGTTTCATCTTTCGTAACGTCACGTTTTGGTTTACCCCGTCCGCAAAGAAGTTTTCAAAAACTCACCAGTTCATCGTGCCAATCAGTCCTCTAATTTCGTTGACGATCTCCTCCTTCGAATTCGAAGACCACTGAACGATCTTATCGGAAACGCTCTCCCTTCGTTTTATCGAAACCTCATCGTCAGTGTTGTAGTTAATGCTCATTCTCTGATCGCCGACACTTGATCGTCGGTTTTTTGTCGATTTCCTGTGTGGGTCTTTATCAACCAAAAGAATCGACTCTCCCTGTGACATTTCATTGATGAAAGGAACATAAACCTGAAAAAAAATCCGGTTTGTAAAGAAAAAGTTAACATAACGAAATGTTTACGTCCGAGCTTGTCATGACCAGGGATTTGGGGAGGGTTCCGCTGATAATGCCAAAAATAAAATACTGCGGCATTTCCTTATCAGCGTCTTCTTCAGTTTCCAAAATTGGAATAGACTCTTCTGTTTTACGAAATACGTATAAGTATCGGCTTTCTGTTGGGATATCCTTATCCGAAAGCCAACCAAAGTTGGCGTGTAAAACATAGTCAACCACATATTTTTGGATTATTTTCTAAAAGATAATTGCCATAAGATTTGCATATTTAAAAGGACAAATATTTTTTTACCGGGACCATGACATATTCTGGTTCAGGTTCTTCCTCTACTGGAATCTCTAAAATTTTAAGTTGCATTTTATTTATTTATTCAAAAAGTACTTGTTTACTTACCGGCAGTTTTCTTTTTTCCTTTTCCACCTTTTCCGCCTTTCCCCTTGCCTTTTCCCTTGCCTTTTTCCTTGCCTTTACCTTTTTCTTTTCCCTTTTTTCCTTTTTTTCCTTTACCTTCAGGTTTTTGTTCGCCTTCTTCCTCTGCCTCATCTATAATAACAATATTTCACTTTCATATTTCATTAAAGTAAAACATTATAAAAGTACCTTCTTCATCAGTGGCTTCCACATCGGTGATGTCAGCAGTGTGTAAAGTTGATGCTTCAGTAATCTCTAAATTTTCCGAAGCATCCAAATCTTCAGTTTCTTCAGGCTGAACAGTTTCGCCTTGTTCGATATCCTCTGTTGCTTCTTCAGCTGCTCCTTCCTCTTCTTCATCATCACCATGTGGCTCAATTGTTGCACCTTATGTAATTTAAAATTATTGTAATTTTTTTTTAAATAGTTTTTTTATTCACCTTCGGGATGGGGTTGGGCGATCTTGGATTTAGGTTTTTTGCCTTTTGCTATCTTTTCTTTTTTGGCTTTGCCTTTGCCTTTGCGTTTGCCTGGTTTTTCTAGTTTGTGTGATTCTTCTTCTTCCATTTCTTCTTCATTCGATTTTACGACTGTAAACAATATAAATACATGACCAGACTCTGTACTACCCCAGCAAACACACAAGTCTAATTATGTAATGGCCCATTACATAGTTTAATAATAATGGCCTTTACAGGAATGTTTTAATAAAAATATTAATTTTGTTAAAATTTGTCGTGATCAAGTTAATGGGACTTTAAAAAACCATTGAAATGCGAAATGTTTTTTGTATATAAAACTTACATGAACCTTTAATTATCCTTTGGTTAACGACATAATTTAAGTAGTGTAATGTCTATAGTTTTAATAGTGTGTTATACCACTTATAAAAATAATAATAATAACTAATGGTTATTCAATTTAAATGAGGATAGTATACTTAAGTATAAGCTTAAGCCATAGGTGCATTTTTATTTTTAAAAATTTTAGAACTCTTAAGAGTTTTGCCTGTAATGGTCTGTAATAGTCTATTTGTCTGTAAGAGTTTTGTCTGTAATAATTATTACATACAAAATACGTACCGCCAAAGAATTTAGTAGAAAAGTTTAATTGATAAGGTCAAAATTGGGACAATTGCGAATAAAGAAAACCTGTCTTTTTTTGTAATAGAGCGGCCATTTCAAGCGGATGGACGGGACAAATCACAAAACTGTTTTTATAAAAAAAAATGTAGGTAATTTATTATATATTATTTTTGCATCAAAATTGTCAAATATATTCTTCTATTATTAGGCTATACATTAAATAAAAAAAATTGCAAGAAATATTTTATTAAAGTAGAGATAATTTCAATAATTGACAGGGGTGGACGGGACAAAATAAATCTCTTTTTTGTCCCGTCCACACCTTTCAATTATTAAAATTATATCTACTTTCATAAAATATTTCTTGCGTTTTTTTTATTTAATGAATAACCTAATAAAAGAAGAATATTTTTGACAATTTTGATGCCAAAATATTATATAATAAATTATCCACAATTTTTTTTATAAAAACAGTTTTGTAATTCGTGCGTTTCGCGCGCTTGAAATGGCCGAGAGGACAATCTACCAAAAAAAAATAAGGATTTTTTTTATTTATTTAAATATTATGACTTCCATTTAGGTATTACCTAATAATCAGTTTATAAAATAAAAATTATATAATAATAAAATAAATAGCAATATGTTGTATAAGTAAAACATATGTTTTACTTATACAACATATTGCTATTTATTTTTTCTTGTAAATTTATGAATGCTTTAGTATTACATTTTATTTATTATAAATGTGGTTTATATTTATTGGGACAGATATTTCCCGATTATCGGATATTTTTATCCCGACCGTCAGAAATTGTATTGTGACGGTAAGGATAACAATTTCTGATTATTTGGGTATACCAATATCTCAGTTAGGGACCCACACCAAATTTATAATAGTTTATAATGACATTAAATAAACAAGTTTGGCGCAAACAGAATTTAAATTGAAGTTTGCGAAAAAAAGTTAGTTTTTCCTATTGCCTCACCCACCTCCAGGCCCCCTATTTGAGATAATTCAAATTAAAGTGGTGCAATTTATTATTTACTATAATTTATCGACAAATTTAAAATTTTATTAAAAAAATACAAATACCACAGATTTTATTCGAATTTAAATTTTTATTAAAATAAAAAAATATTTAAAATTAGTTCATTAAAGGCACGTTTATAAAGGGCCATTATAGAACCTTTACGGTTGCAACTGTACATGTGTTTGCTGGGGCAGTTTTGAAATATGGGAAATTAGTTTTTTATGTTATAATTTAAAATCAGTAAATAATACGTGCTAACATAATATTATAAAAAACAATTTACAATATAAAGTACTAAAAATACCAAAAAATGTATACATACAGGAATTTTTTACACAAAATATGTAATTTTTACGATGGGGTTATTTTTTTTTAAATACTATAATGGAAAATCAGCAGATTATTAGATTATCATAAAAATATTATTATTTATTTTATTTATGTAATAACTATTTTAAATTCTGTACTTTACTATTATAATAGTAAAGTACAGAATTTAAAATAGTTATTACAGAAATAAAATAAATAATAATATTTTTATGATAATCTAATAATCTGCTGATTTTCCATTATAGTATTTAAAAAAAAATAACCCCATCGTAAAAATTACATATTTTGTGTAAAAAATTCCTAGCTTTCAGAAAAACTACCAAATTTAAAATACAAATTTGTGTTTGTCCTATTGTGTAATAGTCCTTCGGATGGGACTTTAAGCCCGCGGTCCGTTCCTACCCCTAACCCGCACAAGCCATTCAGTTGGCTTATGGGACTTCTTAAGAAGTAAGGGTGCAACTAAAAGAGCACTTTTGTATATAAACTTTTTGTATAATTTCTGCAAGGTCAGAAAAATTGCATTTTTCATTTAATTGAGTTTTTTAGGGACTTTCGTTAGGTACTATAATAAGTACATACATACATAATACATAATAAATAATGAATATTTTCATTTAAAACCGAAGAATTTTTTTACAAAAAACCAATATATCGCCAAAATTCGAAAAATTATACCTATAGCCATTTTTTTAAATTTTCTCGTTATCCAAATAATGAGTCACTGAAGATTTGAGCTCTTAATATTAAGTTCTTTCGTGGTAAATAGGTAAAAAATCATACCTATATACCGGGTGTATCTGAGAATAGGCGCACCTCTGAAACTTTTTTATTTATAAAGATAGACACATGAAATTTAGCATGGTCAATTAGGATATAAAATGCCACTTATTAGAGTACAAAATGAATTTTTTGAACTTCCGGTTTCGCCGGAAATGATACCAACTTTTGAATGCCCTATATATTTTTACATATTTGGAATCCTGAGAAAATTCTGAGTCAGGCAGCATCCTCAAATTGACCTTTTGACGTTTCGTCATCAGAAAATGCATCATAATAAAGATCAATCTAGAGTGCTTTGAACTATTTGAGAAAAACGAATTTTGACAAGTTTAGACTGCTGGGAATAGCTGAATACAACTTTTCAGGCATTGTGTGAATCCATTAGAAGAAAATAAGATAGTTTAAAGCAATCTGGATTGATCAATCTTTATGATGATGCACTTTCTGATGACAAAACGTCAAAAGGTCAATTTGAGGACGGTGTCTGACTCAGAATTTTCTCAGGATTCCAAATATGTAAAAATATATAGGGCATTTCATTTAAAAATCGAAAGTTGGTATCATTTCCGGCGAAACCGGAAGTTCAAAAAATTCATTTTGTACTCTTATAAGTGGCATTTTATCCTAATTAACTATGCTAAATTTCATTTGTCCATCTTTATAAATAAAAAAGTCACAGAGGTGCGCCTAGGGTTGGGACAGTTGAAATTTTCAAATGAAAATTTCAACTTTGAAAGTTTCAAACTTGAAATATTTCATTTTTAAATTTTAAATTTTTAAAAATTTCAAATGAAATTTTCAATTTGAAAATTTCAACATTTTCTGTGAAACTTTCAGAAATTTCATTGAAAGTTTCGCAATTTACTGAAAATTTCGCATACATTTCACATGCGGCCTCCCCTGGGACCTTTAATAATAATTTACAACAGATTCCGAATCGACCAATAAGAACGAGTTATCAAGCGTCTGGGCGTTTTTGTCTAGTTAGGCTGTACGTAATTATTGTTACTTATATGCATAAATTAATTTAAATAATTTAATTCAGTTACCAATTTAATTTGTAAATTAAATCAGACTTTAAATTTTTTTTAAAAGTCATGATTAATTTAAACTTTTACTTTTGCTATAATTGCATCGAAAAACTGATAAAAAATGCCTTTGGCTCATAAAATTTTGATGAAGTTTCTTAAATTTTCGTAAAATTTCACTAAAATATTTAAAAATAATAAATATATATATAAATATAAAACAATGAAAGTGGCACAATCTCATTACATATATATATGTGGTAATATTACCAAAAAGTATATCTCTCTAAGTTTTAGTAATTTTAAAAATATTTTAAAAGGAAATGTCAAGAAATTTGTGGTAAACATATATGTATTTACTATTTGACCATGGTGCACCAATAATATATATGTTATTGGTGCACCATGGTCAGGGGCCCAGAGAGGGGTGGGAGGTAAGAGAGGCAATTTGCCATGGTCCCCGAGTGGGCTTATTTCAATATTAATATATTACACTTGAAGTGATTGAAATTTACCTATTGAAAGTTTCAATAAATTTCAGGAAATTTCAGAAATTTAGGAAATTTTAATAAATTTCATAAATGTCATGAAAATTTCAAGTGAAATTTCAAGTACAAGCAAAAAGTGAAATTTTCTCAACCCTAGGTGCGCCTATTCTCTAAAAAAAATAATCAGTGGTCACCTCATAAAAAATGTATTTGGTGGAATGACCCTTATATAAATAATTATCATCCGCGCAGAAAGCCTGAGTTCAGATGAACTCGTTTTTTTACATGAATTTAACCCCACGTCGCGACGCCCGAGGCGACGCCTCCCGATCGAGTTCTCAACGCAACTTGCAAGTGCGCATATATCGATGACTTTCTGCCAAAGTATCGCAAAGCAACATAACTCAAATTTCGGGAATTGAAAACATTTTTTCTTTTAAAGTCTGTTTTAAATTAAATATAGCCCAAAGGTTTTATAACAATTAAATAGCTTATAATTATGGCTATTTACTTGTTATAAAACCTATAGGTTATATATGGTTTAAAACAGACTTTAAAACAAAACAAAATTTCAATTACCGAAATTCGAGTTATGTTGCTTGCGATACTTTGGCAGAAAGTCATCGATATGTATGTGTTGATCACATCGTGATCAAAAGATCGATTTAAAGCAAAAACAAGCGCATGCATAAAATTCCTGCGATTTAGAAAAATGAGCAAATCTTTGCAATTCCAGTTTTTAGAGAAACAATTAGGTACCTATATTATCAATTTTCGTTTATTCTCCAATTCCAACTAATTAAGTCACTAACCAACTAATTATTTATTGAAACAATTGAATTCGTAACTATTTATTTTTAAGTCATTTTATTTTGAATCCAAATTTGTCTTTAAAAGAATAAATGAAATAATGAAAGTTTTTAATGCACATTTTCAAATTCAAGGTAAATATAATAATAATAATAGGTACTTATTTGTTTCTATATACTGTTTTTTCTTTTATAGTTTAAATTCTGGGGGAGTTTTTTTAAAAGACGCACTTTAGATAATTAATTTCACATTTCCAAATTTAAGGTAATAATTAAGTAATTAAGTAATTAACACAATTTTTTTCTCTAGGTAAATATTAAATTATATATATTTTTTAGTAAAAGCCTCACCAAGTTCTGGGACCATGATCTCCTCGTCGATGAGGTATTCGAACGATGTCTTGCTGACGTAAATCAGCCTGTTTTCGCTTTCCCTCGCCTGCCAGAAGTCATCGTCCAAAAATGAGGCAAGCAGGTCCTCAAAGTCCTCGCTGCTTGCCATCATGTCCTCAAAATAAACATCGGAGTTGAGTCCGAAGAACGTGGTGATACGCTTTTTCAACCACTCCCGCCTATAATCGGTGGTCATTGTCCTCCAGCTGTATCACCAAGTCAATAAAACCGAAAAAAGTAAAATCCTTGTTTAAAACCGCACTATACACAAATTAAAACCAAATAAAACTTAAAACCTAAATCATCGAAAATTAAAAGTCAGGCAAATTGACACAAACAAATATTTACCCGGTTACCTAGCAATACGCGCAAATTCAAATCAAGTGGCCGCTTCCCGCGCCCACCACCACCAACATAAAAAAAATTAAAAACCCATACGTGTCAATTTGCAATGACGTTTCTAGGTTGTTTTGGCAGCTGACATGTTTTGATAAAATCCAGTCGTAATGTATTGTTAACGTTTTCTATGTTTATTTATTGTATTATTTATTAATTTTGACGACATGGCATCACAACAAGGAAATTCAAGTGAGTTGGAGGTGCTTAAAAGTGAAATAGAACGTCTGAATAGGGAACTTGACCAGGCCAGTAGCGAAAAAGTGCAATCTGCACAATACGGTCTCGTATTATTAGAGGAAAAAAAGGAATTGGAACAAAAATGCGAAGAACTAGAAACGCTCTATGAAAACAACAAGCACGAGTTGGGCATTACTCAAGAGGTACGAGAATTTCATAAGTATATGCATAGTTTTTTAATTATCTGTTTTGATTGATCTCAAATTCAAGAATTGGTATTACATTAATGTACCAATTGGTATTACATTTTGTAATAATAATAATTGACACAAATATAGTGTTCATTTGGAACTTTTAATAATGAAATAAAAACCATAATTTTTGATACCTTCATATGAATATTGCTTATCAAAAAGGGACCAAGCGCCAAAAACTTTTTCTGGGCATGGTAAAATTATTTGTAAAATATCTCATTTGACACTTTTCTCAAAAGGATTGAGAGGGTTCTAAAAATCATTACAAATTTTTTGAGCCGCATTTAAAATGAGTTATTTTGCAAATAATTTTGTTTACCCCAGAAAAAGTTTTTGGCTCCTTTTTGATAAACGCTATATATGAATGTAATGCATACAAGTTTTTCAAAAGTTTATAAATTACAATATCTTTTGCTAATTTTAATTTTTGACTTAATTAAATTCTATCCAAAATTACAAATTCTTATTAGGTATGCAGCATACCTTATGTTAAGGTTCATAAATATAATTCAAAATGATTTTAATTTGAATTTGATTATTCATTTTAATAATTACGAGAATAATTATTTCAAGACTACAAAATTAAACATTAGGTATATTATTAAATTATTTTCATGATATAAACCAAATTTTTAAGGTAAATAAAATTAAAAAAATGTATAAAATAAATAAAATTTATACCTAATGATACCTACTGATAATAAAATAATTAAGGTATTTTTAATTTTATATTGGATTTAAAAAATATTTATGCACATGACTGACTTGGTTCTAAAAAGGCCATAGTCATTTTTGATGTACCTACCTATTTGAAGTTAGACCTTTCAATAATTTACACATCATTGCTCAATATTTTGGCAAAACAACCAATGCCCTGAGCCTTAACTTGAGCTATTTCATACTTTTATAGGCATGTCATAAATGTTGCTTTTTTATTTAATAACACTATACATTAAGCACCTATACATTTTGTTATTTTAAAGTTTTTTGAAGGAAAGATAAGAAATGTTATTTGGGCTCATTTAAATAATGGAATGGTACTATTTAAAATTAAAATACATATTACCAAAAGAATAAACTCTTATTTTAAGTAACTTTATTCTTTAATTTATTAGTGATTTTTTTATTGTAATATAAGGTTTGTTCGGGATCGCGAAATAAACGGTTAAGAACTGTCAAGCTGGATTTATAGTTCTAAACGTAGCCGTAGCCGTTGCAGTTGCAGTAGGAGCAAAACAGTCTGTGATTGGCTGGAGGATCTTTCAGGGCTCCCACACCTCCTAAAACTCATAAAATTCCTAAAATTTGGCTTAAATCTTGAAAACTCCTAAAATTCTCCTAAAATTGTATTCAATCTCCTAAAACTCCTAAAATCCTAAAAATTAAATTTAAATAAGCCAACCTGACTGCGTTTAATTAAGGTAGTTGTCGTGCTAAAATGATATAATATCACAACCAAAATTTTTCTTATTAAACAACAAAAAAAACTTTTACAAAATTGTCATTTTTAGCCATATTTCGTTTGTTATATATCAAACAAAAGGATTTTTAATTTTCTTTTAAATGACAGCTAAAATAGTGAACAATCTAAATAATGTTTTGATGTATTTTGCAAACTTCAATTTTTTTATGAGATTTTTAAGTAATAAGATCCACATTACAATTGAGTCGGTAAGAATAAGAAAAGTACAAGTCCAAAAATTTAATTTTGACCATTTATTTTCTAAAATCAATTTTAAAGTTTAAAATACATTTTTATGAGAAGAAATAAATTATTTTACAGAATATGAATATTATATTTCATAAAATAAATAGTTAAAATTCATTTAGAATTATAAAACTGATTTTTGAAATATTTTATCAAAAATTTTACTTTTGGACTTGTACTATTCTTAATCTTACCGATTCAATTACTGTTAGTTATTAACTAAACGGTTAACATATTTGTTCTTAAAATATAAATCATCATTTGATTTTGGCCTAGTTTTTTAGCCAAATCTATCGACGTATTTTTTTTTAATAAAATTAAAAGTGTGGTGAAATTTATACTTGTATAGAAAAGTTTTAATTTTTCCTCACTTTTATTTTATTAAAAAAAAAACTCGTCAACCATTTTTTCTAGTCAATATAACTTATTTTTACAATAGAAGTATTAATTTTTGTCTTATTTTTTAAGTAGTAAAGAGTTGTTTTTATTTAATTAAAGAAATTCATTTCCATACATTATTTATCCTAAAATTTTACAAAAAAACTCATAAATTCCTAAATAAAATTTGTAATTTAGCCGTGGGAGCCCTGATCTTTGCAGTAGCATCCAAGGTCGTTGTCGTAAGAGATGACCAACTTTTATCTTTTCTTGCGGAAACGACTACTACAGCCAATCAAATTGTAGACATTTCAGACAAACTGCCAAACCATGTTTATAAGTAAACTAAACCAAATAAACAAAATAAACGAAGCGAAAATCACCGATACAAAATACTTGAAATGTTTGTAAACCGAACAAATGTCACTAAACTATGTTTATAAGTAAACTAAACCAAATAAACAAAGCGAAAATCACCGATACAAAATACTTGAAATGTTTGTAAACAGAACAAATGTCATTACGCGGCCACTACTACAACCGCTACGCGCTGAACTATAAATTGTAAAAATTAGCTACTTACTGCAACGGCTACGGCTACGTTTTAGAACTATAAATCCGACTTCAGAATCATGCGCATTACGAAATTTGCGTTCGGGTTTTTTTAGAACCAGTTTGGAACTAGTGAATATCGTGTTTTGGTTTCTTTTGTGGACGATTCAGGACTAGTTCAGTACCGTTCAAACTAATACGAGCTCAGAGTGCGTACTCTTTATACTCTTTATTCTATAGAACGGTTTTCGTGGCGCCTGCGCATTGGACTCTTACGTTTTAATTTATGTTTATATACTTATAGCGTTGAGTGATTTAATCAATGCTTATAGTATAGGTTAGGTGCTTTTTTTTTTCGCATTTAAACATGTCCGAGCACAAAATACCTTTGATTAATTTTCTTTACGAAAGTTCAGACTCATAATAATAATAATGTATAATGTATAATACATAAACAAAATCTTATAACAATATAAAAAATAAAAAAATTATTAAAAATAAACAACAATTTCAAATTCATTATTCTTAAATGTCTAACTGCAAACTTCGTACAACACGGTGCTGTTCTGAGAGGTGATTTTTGGACTTTCTGTGAAACCTAATTTTTTTTATATTCTTGTTAATTAGGTCATAACTAAGAATTTAAGAGCAAAATAAAAAAAACTGACGGTTTGAATTGATTTAATTGGCTGTTTATTAAAAATATTATGCACTCTTTCAATTATCCAATTAAAACTAGCGATTTAATTTAAATATTTAATATTTGCATAACTAAAAAAAAGGTTTTTACAATTTTTTTTATATATTTTACTGTTTTGTTGCAATAAACGTTCAAACTTTTAATCTAACCTTTGACGTATACATTTATGTTCCCTTAATTAATATATCCTTAAAGGTTGCCATGAAACTTAGATCTATTAAAAATTTATTTCACGTTTGAATTGTCATTTTCAGTATACGTATTCTATAATTTTTCTTCTCTCAGAATCGCAAGTTTTAATTGGAGAATTGAAAGTGTGCATACATATTTTTAATAAACATCCAATTAAAACAAAATTAACCGTCAAATTTTTTTTATTTTGCTCTTAAAATTTTAGTTATGACCTAATTACTGTCCGTTCAGGCTAAGTTGAGCGGTCTAAGGAATGTCACCCCGTCCATCATCTCTATGTTTAGTCACACTTAAATACATGTATTTCGGTAGCCGCTCTGTACCAACAAACCGCAAGCCCCGGCACTGATAAATCATCTTCTTGTTACCGAAATCTTGCGAGGATTCGATATTTAATTTAATCAACGGTCACATGATCCCCCACCAAAGCGCTCAACTTAGCCTGAACGGACTGTAACAAGAATATAAAAAAAATTAGGTTTCACAGAAAGTCCAAAAATCACCTCTCAGAACAGCACCGTGACAAGCGACACATGCATGGGATTTTGAAAACCTCTTTCTTCTAGGCACTAGCAAAATTCCAATCTAGTCACAAGGTAACAACAGAAACGGGCATTGAATCGGAGGAATCGCTGCTAAACGAATCGGCGGCCAAAGAAAACTTCCTAAACTTCACGATAGTGGAGCTAGAGGGCGAGGTGAAACAGCTGCGCCATGAGCTCGACCGAGTCACGGCCGAGCGCGACCGGATGCTGCAAGAGAACAACGACATGGGCAAGGACAAGGACGACCGCGGCATGGAGTGCAAAAAGCTGCGCACCGAGCTGCGCGAGGTAAAATTCAGGGAGAACAGACTGATTACCGACTATTCGGAGTTGGAGGAGGAGAATATTGTGCTTCAAAAGCAAGTTTCAGCGTTGAGAAGTAGCCAGGTGGAGTTTGAGAGTTTGAAGCATGAGATTAGAAGGTTACACGAAGATATGGAACTGTTAAACATACAAGTTGATGAATTGACAAACTTGAAAAAAATCGCTGAGAAGCATATGGAAGAAGCGTTGGAATCTTTACAAAGCGAAAGGGAAGCTAAATACGCCTTAAAAAAAGAGTTAGACCAACAAATAAACAAGGAATCTTTCTACAACATTAACAATCTAGCCTACAGTATAAGAGGTGGTATTGCTGATGAAACAACCCTAGGCAGTGATTGTGAAGATGACTTACCCGGTCTAAAACGAATTGAAGACAGTTTGGGTAACGCAGCCGAATTAACCTCGCCGGACGACAAACATGTAGATCTATTCTCTGAAGTTCACCTCAACGAGCTCAAAAAACTCGAAAAACAACTCGAATCGCTGGAAAAAGAGAAGGTGAGCTTGTCGCAAAACCTCAGAGACAACCAAAATATGGTCGAGAAAAGTCAAGGAGAGTTGCAAGTATTTTTGGCTAGACTTACGCAGCTAGCTGCTCATGTAGACTCCCTCCAACATTTATCCCAAAGTGCCAACAAAACTCTTCTCAAACCGGCTGAGGAATCATCGAAAATCCTCGACCAATACCAACAGTGGTTCAAGATGTCGTCAAAGGAAATCGACCAGTTGAAGCAAGACATCAAGGAGTTGGAAAAACTGACGAACATCTCAGACGCCACCTTGCAGCTGCGTAACGAAATAACCAACCTGAAGAACAAACTGCTGGACACTGAGCAGAAGAGTATGGATCTTGATGGCGATTTGAAGCTGTTAAGTGAGTTTGCCAGCGAAGCTGGAGCTTCGCTGGATGAGACGCAGAATAATTTACAGACAGTTTCGGAGGAGCTGGCTCAGCTGTATCATCTTGTATGCACTGTTAACGGGCAGACTCCAAGTAGAGTGGTTTTGGATCATGAAAAAGAAGGAATGACACCAAGTAAGTACACAACTACAGTCCCTGGCCAATTTAGTAGACTTGCTCCCAAATTTTCTTTTTTAGGAATTTATAAATTTGCGTTTTTTGGGCTTTAAATAGAGATGGGAATCGGAAAGTATTCATTTTGGAAAGTTTACAGTCGGGAATTTATTTTCATTTTGAAAGTTTCTTTTAAAGTTACTGGAAACTTTCTTTTGAAACTTTCCCAGTTTTTTTATGTAAATGTCAATTGTTTAACAGCTAATTTGCGAAGTTAAGGCCAAGAAACTAAATATGAAGTTAATTTGTGTTAATTTGAAGAATAAGAAGTATAATATTAGTTAGGGGACATCCATTAATTACGTGAAATAAAATTAGGGTGGGTGGGGTCTAGCAAAATCTCACCAAATCTCATGTTCAGGGAGGGGGGTCATTTAAAATTTAAAAAAAGACCAGTACACACAGTGTGCCCCAATGATATTTAAGTTAAACAAAAATGTCACAGAAAACTGAGAGTGAGGTTTGATTCTTGGTTATATTTGTTATTTAAAACTATATGAAACAAAATCAGAGCTGATCCTTTTATTAAATTTTTTTAGTTTTTTGTATTTCTTCCTTTTACTTTTTTTTACCTTGTTATGTGTTAAATATGGGCATCCATTTTATTTTTTTCTATATCTGTTTTTATTGTATAACTTAAAGGTAAGTAAATAAAGTTATTATAATTATTGTAAAAATGTTTAAAAATAAATTCAGTACCGTTTTTTACAGGACTATAAATTAAAATAATTAGAATACATTTACGCTCGGCTAAGACGCACAAAACCAAACCAATATTAATTTTAATAACCATATTCACCAGCTCTTCTGCATCTGCCCAAATTGCCGGTCTTTTTTCTTTTCTGCCATGGTCAATCTCAAATTCATAAGTTCCGCTTTGGTAAATATACTGCAAAATTTGTGATTTTTCTTTAACGCTATTTCTGTAGTTTTTAGGCACTGATTTTTTTCCGGCATTGGACCTCAAAAAGTTGGTCAAAATTTTTTTTTATTGGCAATGTTTCTATTTTTTTATATTTTCACGTGCCTGAGTGTAGTTGCAAATGTGCCTTATACCTTTGCCCAACCTTTTAAAACAAAATTTGCATGTAGAAACCGATCTCTTTTGTTTTACGAACTGGAAAGTTATTAGCTGGCCATACACAGGCGTTATTTCACGCGGTTTATCGTGGCGTGTTGGGATGTAGCGGTTAGTATGCACGAAAGAACGGCATGGCAAAAAAAGCGTCATGTTCCATACACTTGATAAAGTATTCAAATGATTTAGCAAGTGATTGCCCGTGGTATATCAGTTTCAAAGGAAAAATCGTATGTGAGTGGACAAAAAGTGTCATTTATCGAGTCGTTTGAAACTGCATGTGATCATGTACAAATTTTCAACGTGAAATTTTGCCAAGCAAAGGTAAACCGTGACGCGGAATGTGGCGTGTGGACACGCCACACTCCAGAGAAAAGCACGTCTGAAATCCCTTCCCGTTCTATCATTTCGCGCAGCGATACTCATTCACGTACATGATTTTCCATATGTTTTTGCAGATAACACGATAAACCGCGCGCAATAACGTCTGTGTATGGCCAGCTATTTTCTTCAAAATGTCTTGAACGACCCCTTCCTTTTGTGAATAGCTGGCCATACACAGACGTTATTTCGCGCGGTTTATCGTGGCGTGTTTGGATGTAGCGGTTAGTATGCACGAAAGAACGTCATGGCAAAAAAAGCGTCATGTTCCATACACTTGATAAAGTATTCAAATGATTTAGCAATTGATTGCCCGTGGTATATCAGTTTCAAAGGAAAAATCGTATGTGAGTGGGCAAAAAGTGTCATTATCGAGTCGTTTGAAACTGCATGTGATCATGTACAAATTTTCAACGTGAAATTTTGCCAAGCAAAGGTAAACCGTGACGCGGAATGTGGCGTGTGGACACGCCACACTCCAGAGAAAAGCACGTCTGAAATCCCTTCCCGTTCTATCATTTCGCGCGGCGATACTCACTCACGTACATGATTTTCCATATGTTTTTGTAGATAACACGATACACCGCGCGCAATAACGTCTGTGTATGGCCAGCTAATGAAATGTGGGTTTTTTTCCTAGCACAGACATATTTGGCACATGTGAGTGTGTTTTGGCGTGTCTCTTTTTGTAATTTAACAGAAGCAAAATTAAATGGACATGGTAAAGGTCTTTTAAAATTATTTTTATCTCTTTCCAACAAAGTTAATCTGCAAGATCCACAAATAGAGTTTGGGCACTTTTCTTTTTTTACATCAAAATCCTTATTTATCCACACTTTAAGCTTTCTAACTTACTTGTTAAACAGAACTGGCTGACGGGCTTATTTCCAAAAATTATTTTGCTGCCACAACATCCACACACTTTTCTGCGATTTTCAATATGATTGCACTTGTCAGTACGTTTTGCCATTATTTTTAATACTAAATTATTATTTATATTTTTAATAATAATTGTAAGGACGCCAAAACATTTTTGACAAGCACGCTGCTAATTTGACAGAAGGGATGTCTCAAAAAGAAGCAATTGTTTTTGAAATAATATGACACCATAGGCGACTTGAACTTATATGCATTTTACAAACGTACGTCTTAAATATATCTGTACAAGGAAAGCGTTTTTAGAAATGACTCTGGCATGGTGGCCTCGTGAATCTTGACGTGGACCAAAAAAATGTCTGTGATTAAAATAGAAAAAGCGGGTGTAGATAAAAAGATAGGGTGATGAAACGTATTGGACTTTTTTCACCTTCCTTTGTTTTAGAAACGTCAAAACATGACATATATAAACTAGGCAATTATAAAGTCTCGTTATCCTACTTTTCCAATAATCAAGGACATCAAGCCAAGACAAGATTTTGGTCCACGTTTAATCGAACATGGCGGCCGTTATATCGCAGTTATTATTTTTTACTCGCGGCCATGTATGGTTATATTTGAAACGTACGTGATTTTACATAATTGTTTCTAAAGTTTTATTTTGTAGTTTAAACTTAATCTAAAGTGCATTTTAAAGTTGAAATGCCTTAAACCTTAATATTACACGGTGTCTTTTAGAAAAATCAAATATATAAAATAAGGATCAGACCAGATTTTAATTTTTGCAGTTTTAAGTTGCCTAAACATTAAAGAATAACACCCCACTTTCCGTTTCTTGTGACATTTTTGGTCAACCTAACTAATCTTGGGGCACACTGTGTACATTGAATGTTACTAATGCCATAAATTCAGTTCCTTAGTTACAATTTTTACAATTTTAAATTACGGGAATAACACTTTTAGTTTTGTTTGGTTTAAAAAAATCCTAATTTGTGTTTATTGCTTTTGCAATTGTTTTTATGGGTAATGGTAGTCAGTGGCGTAACTACCACCGGTCCTACCGGTTTCAGAGACCGGGGGGGCCCGAGCAGCAGGGGGCCCCAAAAAGTGGCAAGAGATTTTTTTTTATATTTATATATTTATTATATAAGAAAAATGTTCATTATGAAAAAATAAAAAAATTTGTTTTTTTGTAGTAATAAATATTCGTTGCCTGCTTGATATTATATTTCTATTGTGTTCTTTTTTTTTCAAATTTTCGCGCTATCTCAGATGAGCATGGTTTGGTTGAAAACAAATTCAAAATCTAGAACTCAAAATTAAATATTTTGAAAAAAACATAGGGTTTCAGAGACCGGGGGGGCCCGAGCAGCAGGGGGGCCTAAAAAGTGGCAAGAGATTTTTTTTTATCTTAATATAAGAAAAATGTTTTTCTACGCTTATTACGGAATTTGACAGTTCTTATATGACTTTTTAATCTGGAATTACGTATGTTCCATAAAGTGTTACAGAATAATTATTCCGCACATGTTCTAATGATGAAATGAGCACTGGGGGCGACATCTCTATGTTTATTTTATAACTCACTTGTATTCCTACCAAATCTAGTTTTTTCAGAAAGGCCCGGTAGAAAATATTAATCGGTAGTGTATACAATAGGATTTAAAACAGTTTGCGTTAATAAAAATACCCAAAATATATCTTCTTTACAAGCTAGTTGTAATTCTGTTTGGCCGATTTAGTAGGATCCTATTAGAATATTTAGGTTTGACTTAGTCCCAAAGAGATGGCAGCACTGGTTAATTGTTTACGTCTGTCATTAGTTAATTCAAAATTTGAAATTCAAATAATAACTTATTTGTCATTCCTTACAATTTGTCCATTTCTTCTTTATACTTCCTAATTTAGGTTCTGCAAAATTATGTAAGTAATTTTTATAAGCTTATTTAAAAATTATCTTACTACCATCATAAAATCTAACATCTGTCAAAAGATAACCCAACTTTTTTCCAATTAAATAATTTCTCTGGTATTTTTTATAAGCGTAGAAAAAGTATAGTCTGAAACACGTTTGGAATTGCTGTATTCCAAACTTGTTACAGAATATACTATTATTATGAAAAAATAAAAAATTTTGTTTTTTTGTAGTAATAAATATTCGTTGCCTGCTTGATATTATATTTCTATTGTGTTATTTTTTTTTCAAATTTTCGCGCTATCTCAGATGAGCATGGTTTGGTTGAAAACAAATTCAAAATCTAGAACTCAAAATTAAATATTTTGAAAAAAAACATAGGTTAATTAAAATTTGAAATTACAAATCTAGAATCATAAACTCAAAATCGAATACTTCACATTGAAAGTCTGAAATTTTGAATAGGATAAATACATCCTTAGTCAAAAATAGAAATTCAGAGATGAAAAAATAAAAATGAAAAATTTGCAATTTAAAATAAGAAATTTTCGATTTCACATTTACAATTTTTTCAAAATTAAAAATCATTAAAAGCCATTGAGTAATTTGAGTATTCTGTCCATTGAACACGAAATAGCCAATCGTTCGAGAAATGACCTGGATCAAATTATTCACAAGTTTGCTCATTTGAAAGTAAGGCATATTAAATTCTGAATATGATTATTACAACTTCGAGAACTCAAAAATTGTCAATTTTTTATTTGAGTATTATACCATAAAAATAAAATGTTTTATGTGAATAACACTTGATCCTTTTTTTTAAACATCATTTGTATATACATCCCTTCAAAATCATGAGGAATAAATATTATTGTGTAAGAGGGAAAAGTGGGAAAAGTTAAATGATTTTAAAAAATTTCCTGGTAAGGGCCCCTTAGTGAGAATCCGACTGGGGCCACCATTTCTATAGTTACGCCACTGATGGTTGTAAAAAATGTTGATTTTATTTTGCCTGTAGTTTTTTTCATATTTTTAGAACTGCAATACTGTTTTTAGTATCTTTTATTTTTTAATATTTCCATATAATTACTTCCTTTTTTATGTAATATCTAGTGATTCACTAGTAGTGATAGTGATAGTAGATAGAACAGTTTATTTTTTAAGTTTCATCATACAATGCATTATGTATACATTCTTATAAATAATTTTTTATTTTTTTTTCTTAATAAAATTTGGCAGAAAGGTAATGGGTCATATATTTTTGCAAAAATTCATTTCCGAAATAAAAATTTTTGCTTTGATACTTTCGCAAATTTTCGCCAAATGGGAATTTTCCCATCTCTAGCTTTAAAACTTATTTTTGCAATAAAACTTTTGATCACATATTTGGATATGTATCTAATGTAGCAAAAGTGAATTTTAAAGCCCAAAAACTATTTTAGGTAATTTTTTAATTTTAATTTTATCGTTAAAATTTGTTTTATCGTCCTTATCGCGTTTTTAAAATCACTTTTCTAGTTCAAAAATGCATTTTTATGAGAAGATTTCAACTATTTTACAAATTCCTAAAACTAAAGCACATTAAATTTTGTGAGCGAGTCTAATAAATTGGCCACGGTCTGTAAGAGCTCAAGACCATAGAAATGATTCATTTATTTTTTCTTTTCAGTTACGGAGACAGCTCCCCCTATCGGCGAGATGAGCAAGATAGAGCTGCTCAGAAGTCGTTTGAAGAGCGACATTCCGCTTCACGATTTGGAATCACTGAACGACACCGGTATTATGGCCAGAAACGTCTGCACTGTGGTCGATCAAATCAAATATCTGAGGACTGCAATCGAAAACACCATCGAGCTGTCCAAGATAAAAAGCGAGAAGTCCGACAGATCTTACGATGGTGAGAACACTTGTTTTCGTGCACTAAAAGACTCTTTTAACTTATTCGTCTCTTTCAGCGAGTCGCGAAGATGCTGCAGACAATGAGTTGGCCGAGATGCAGGTGATCAAGCTGAAGAGCTTGCTGTCGACGAAACGCGAGCAAATCGCCACCTTAAGAACCGTCCTGAAATCCAACAAAAACACCGCCGAGGTGGCCTTGACCAATTTGAAGAGCAAGTACGAGAGCGAGAAGACAATCATCTCAGAAACGATGATGAAGCTGAGAAACGAACTGAGGCTGCTGAAAGAAGATGCCGCCACTTTCTCAAGTAAGCGCACCTTATTATGTTATTTTTCTTATAAAAATTTGCTTATTCATATAATATTACACAGTACACGATTTTTCTCCCATGAAAAATGTTAACAGATTATAAAAACAATTTTAAAAAAACGTACCCGTGTCTCACCATTTCACGAAATCACGTCATTTAAAATTTTTACACAGCCATTAACCTAATCAGTTTTTAATTCTCTATTTTGTTATAAATAATTTTTTTTCTTCAAATATTTTATGTTTTTACATAATACAAAAATTATACTTGAAGAAAATAACAATTTTATTGTTTTTAAGTCAACAAAAAATATTTCTGGTTTTAATATTTTTGATTTTTTTTTAATAAAACAACAGATTTGTATTTATCATATTAAATATATGTTGGAAACAAATCTTGATCTTTTAGTTTGACGATTATACATTGCTTTCGAATCTATAGTGGTATCACAACCTAATAAAACCACTTAATATACAGGGTGTTTCACATTCGTGGTTCATTGGAAGTTTTTGGGGAACGAAAAAAAATATCGATTAGAAATTGAAAAGCATTTATAATCCATTAAGTCTATTTTTTTAAATATTTGGTATTCCGGTTTGACCGGAACTGATATCAAAAAGTTTATATACAAAATGTCCATGTCAATCCTTTAACATTTTTCAACACCCGGTATGTTAAGGAATTGACATGAAATCTTTTAAACAATGTTTTAAGATTCCAAAAATTCCATATTTTAACGGAAAAAATTAATAACTCGAAAACTATTCACAAAATGTCCATGTCAATTCTTTAACATTTTTCAACACCCGGTATGTTAAGGAATTGACATGAAATCTTTTAAACAATGTTTTAAGATTCCAAAAATTCCATATTTTAACGGAAAAAATTAATAACTCGAAAACTATTCACTTTAGGTAAAGGACATGGTACAGTAATTTTAATCAAAATTTGATGTAGAATTTAAATATGTAAAAATATATGGGGTGTTCTATTTAAAATAACAAAGTTGATGTCACTTCCGGTCAAACCGGAAGTGGCATTTTGTTTAAAATATTTTAGAAAAATAGGCTTAAATGGATAATAAACGCTAAAAAATTTCAAATCGATATCTTTTTCCATTCCTCAGAAACTTAATGGATCACGAACGTGAAACACCCGTATTTCGTAAATGTGCTACACCCTGTATATAATTAAAATAATTTTAAAATAAATAAATACTTAATTTTAATGGTTGTCCATTTATTCAGTAAATAATTTTTTCATAAAAATATACTGTCTAGCTGTTATGTGCCGAATACCGTGGATAACATTTTATTGGATCGCAAAATGACGTGATCTGAAAATGCCGATACACGGGTATCATTTTTTATAGTCTATTTTTAAAATCTGTACAAAAATTTCATGGGAGGGAAAAAATCAAATTTTGTTGTACTGTGTTATTAATACCAATGAAAATTACCAAAACTGGGACATTCTAGGACATTTTTTAAGTAATATTTCCCATTTATTCAAGATTTTCAATTTTTTTTTACAAAATTTTTCGATTTTTATTATGGAATGTTTGCTATTTTTGAAGTGAACCAAAACTTGACGAAAAATAAAACTAAAGATGAAGCTGATTTAACCAAAGGTCAGAATTTTATATCAATTCTTTTTCCAAACCAAGTCCCTATAGCGGAAATTACTAAATATGCACTTGTTTACTTTTAATAACCAATCAAACTTTTCAGCAGTGCTTTCTTGATAAAAAATTACTCTGCAATGCGTATTTCAAAGGCAATGATTTTTTGTAAATCAATTGTTTAAACAATAAAACAAGTTCTAGGCCCCGCTTATTATTTTTAAAAGTACAAAGTCGTGTCGGGTTTTAAATTTTAATTATGATAAAAAATTGGTAGATTGAAGTTGCTTTATTCCAGTTATTTATTTTGTTCGAGCACTTTGTGGCGCGCTTTTTCCTTGCTTTCATGGATTTGCGTTTCAAATTATCCAATAGTTTTTTTAACATTAAATTACTGCATTTTATTTTTTAACAATTATTAATATCTATTATGTTAATTATAACGGTTCAAGAATTTAAACCTAATTTTATTTGTTAAACATTTGACATCTGTCAAATTTCAATTTATAATAAAGATTACTTTAGCCTGTGGCTAAAATGTCCAAAAGCAACTATCGCTAATTTCAGCCCGTGACTAAAACGCCATAAATTCAGATCTCGTCAATGCAGGAGTAGATAATAGTATATTATGTATTTAGTTTTATAAACGCCATTTTAGTTACGAATTTTATTAAGCACGAGCGTAATGACTTCATTATAACACCGCTTTTGGTGCTGTAATGAGATACTTTATCCCACCTAAAATTTTGAATTTATAGGTTGGCTATACTTTAAACAGCATAATATGTTGCATATTGGTTATAATATTTTTAAGATTTTTCTAGTACTTACGAGACTTTTCTGGCAATAAATTTTGTTTAACACCAAAGAAAATCCTTTTTTTCTTCTTTAACATTAACAGCCGCTTATTGTAATTAAGGACGGCATGGCGAATCGATTTTGACATGACCAATGTGACATTTTGAGCAATGACTGTGATACCAACTATCTAAAGTAAAATTTTGCAAAATAGATAAAATAGCATAAAGAACTCATGTCGCACTCGTCCGTTACAAAACTCGCTCCTTCTTCGCTCGTTTTATAAATTGTCCGCGTGCGACAAAATGACGTCTTAATTTTTTTTATTGAAATTTTGCAAAATAGATAAAATAGCTAAAGAACTCATGTCATAAGACCTTTTGTCGCACTCGTCCGTTACAAAACTCGCTCCTTCGTCGCTCGTTTTATAAATTGTCCGCGTGCGACAAAATGACGTTTTATGACATTAGTTCTTTAATATACTATTATCTACGACGAACACAAAGAAGAATTTTAAGCCAATTTTATAATAAAGCTAACTTCAGGCGGTGACTAAAATGCCCAAAAGCCACTGTTGCTAACTTCAGTTCGTGACTAAAACTCTATAGTCACAGCTTATTAATGGGGGAGTAGATAATAGTATATTCTGTAACAAGTTTGGAATACAGCATATTCCGCTGAAAAGTTTGTCACACGAGCCGAAGGCGAGTTTGACGTATTCACGAGAGGGGAATATGCAATTCCAAACGTGTTTCAGACTATACTTTTTCTACGTTTCCAAAAAATACCATAGAAAAATAATTTAATTGGAAGAAAGTGAGGTTGGATCGGTCTAAAATTTGTTAGATATTAAAAACAGAGATGTCGCCACGAGTGTTTATTCTGTCATCAGATGATAGAATATTTCATTTTCTACTCCTATTATGGAATATGACCGTTCTAATATCACTTTTATCTATGGAATGACATATATTCCGTAAAGTGTTACAGAATGAAATATTCTTTCATCTGATGACAGAATAAACACTCATGGCGACATCTCTGTTTTTAATATCTAACAATTTTTAGACCGATCCAACCTGACTTTCTTCCAATTAAATTATTTGTCTATGGTATTTTTTGGAAATGTAGAAAAAGTATAGTCTGAAACACGTTTGGAATTGCATATTCCCCTCTCGTGAATACGTCAAACTCGCCTTCGGCTCGTGTGACAAACTTTTCACTCGAGCGGAATATGTCTTATTCCAAACTTGTTACAGAATATACTATTCTGTAACACTTTACGGAATATTTGTCATTCCATAGATAAAAGTGATATTAGAAGGGTCAAATTCCGTAATAGGAGTAGAAAAAATTTATTAAACGGTTGGACCGAAAACCATGTTTATTATGATGTATTAAAACTTAGTTCCTTAAACAAATAAAATGCAGTAATTTACAGTATAGATCGTCACCCTAATATAACAAGGTGGTATGTTAAAAAACCGAAAAATTTGAGTTTATGCTTCTACAAGGTTTTATTTAATCCACCCTTGACATACAACTTGAAAATAACTCTATATATATATGTATACATAGAATATATATTCTATAGAACTATTTTTAAGTGGTATGTGAAGCGTAGGCCACGTATAATCCTGTAGAAACATAGACTTAAATTTTTCGTTTTTTTTAACATACAACCTTGTTATATTAGGGTGGCGAGATGGCAGATGCTTAAGCACTTTTAAAAGTGTCTATAAATGCCTTTTTAAACGCTTTAATTATTAGTTTAATATGATGAGAAAATCTATTTTAAAAAAATATCGAGCTCTTTTTAAAATCGCTCGAGCGGTTAAGAACTTTTCGTGCATTTATGAGCATTTTTATAATCCCGCTTTTTAATTTGGGCGGCGATAGAAAAACTTACTTTTCTTTAAAATTCCCAGGAATTATATCGATTTTTTGTTTTGAAGGGTTTTTAGTTTCTTGCAAATACTTTACTAATACATATCATGTTATTTGTTTGTGATTACTCAACCTTAATGGGTATTTTTTTATTTGAAAAGCTACAAGGTTGGTTAAATTATAGAAAAGTTTAGTAAATGTATAAAACACATAAAACAAAATTCGCACAGTTATGCAATTTAAAAATGGTAGGACAAATTCGCACAAAATTTAAAAATTCGCAAAGTAGTTCCAAATTAAAAATATGAGGGAAAAACTCGCACAGTAGTATAAATATAAAAAATGATAAGACAAATTTTCATCTTTCTGATTTAACCCGTCCGTAACAAAGTTTCACTTCAAAAACATAACCAAACTGATTTTGTATTTCTCTCCAAGGTCTGAGAGCCATGTTCGCGGCGCGCTGCGAAGAATACGTCACTCAGGTCGACGAGCTGCAACAGCAGCTCAGCGCCGCCGAAGAGGAGCGTAAAACGCTCAACCAACTGCTGCGCCTGGCCGTGCAGCAGAAACTGTCGCTCACGCAGCGCCTCGAAGACTTGGAGGTCGACCGCGAGATACGCAACGCGCGAAGGCCGAACAATCGCAACCAGCAACGACCGGGCAGGTCGGGACGCGAGATGTTCTAGCCGAGGGGCGGGCCCGTTGTTTACGCCATCGCCTTCTTCACCACCTTTTTCAAGCTCTAGATACGCCGCCAGAGACGTCTAGTGGCACCCCTACAAACCTCTAGACGCCGGATGAAATAGCCGAATGAATATACATAAACGACGGGATGAGTAAGATTCTGTTTTTTTTTTTTACTTTTTAGTGTTTATTATTATGATAGACCATGGCCAATTTATTAGACTCGCTCACAAAATTTAATGTGCTTTAATTTTAGGAATTTGTAAAATAGTTAAAATCTAAAAACGCGATAAGGTCGATAAAACAAATTTTAACGATAAAATTAAAATTAAATAATTACCTATAATACTTTTTGGGCTTTAAAACTCAGTTTTGGTACATTAGATACATATCCAAATATGTACTCCAAAGTTTTATTGCAAAAATAAGTTTTAAAGCTAAAGATGGTAAAATTCCCATTTGACGAAAATTCCCGCAAACTTTCCATCGCAAATTTCCAAAACTTTCCGAAAGTTAAAAAAAATTTTATCAAGAAAAAAAAATTGTTTATATGAATGTATACTAGACTGGGCCAAAAAAATCAACTATTTTTTGTTTGAAAAGTATATCGAAAATAAGGTTTTAAAAAAAATTATTGTGAAAGTTTGAGTCCATAATATTAATATTAAGAGGTCTATCATCGCAATTTTAATTTTTTTTTCCTCAGCAAGTTTTAGGTTCAGAACTCCCAAACCATTGTCACCCCAAACAATATTTTCGATATACTTTCCAAAAAAAAATAGTCGATTTTTTTGGCCCAGTCTAATGTATACATACTGCAATGTATGATGAAACATAAAAAATAAACTGTTAACTATCAGAATTCACTAGATATTACATAAAATAATATAAAGGAACAAAGTAACTATACAGGGTGTCCCAGAATATGTAGGCAATCTCCAGGCAATCTCCAGGATAAAAATAATATGACATAACGGACGCCCCTGGAAATCGTTTTTTTTGAACTACAAGGTGAAATTGAATAATTTTTAAATATATTGTTTAAGAGGAATCACATTTGTCTTATTTAGTTTGCCAGGGACGGACTAACTCTAACGAAGTAATGCTATTTTGTACTATAAAGGCAGAACAATAATATTTTTAGTCAGCTTAAACCTTAAACTAAAAAAAGGTAATTTTAATCTACTTTCTTCTTCTTTCTTTCTAAATTCGGTATTTTCAACCTTGGTGCTTGGAAGCTAGTCCATGTGACCATATGCTTGTATACGGCTTCAGCAAGCTACCTCCGCCATTTGACAATGTGGAAATTTCAATCTTGAAACATCCACTCATTTGCTTAAACAAACCACAAAATACCTCGTTAAAAGGTCAAAGCTTGCGATATTGTTAAAAAATACAGGTATATTTCTATACCGTGAATCCAATTTTGTACCCCCAGGTTCGCAAAGTCAGCTATGTTTCACACTTTTCATCGAGCGAGGCGTAGCCCACTCCATCTTGATCGACATCGATAAAATGTACTTACCGATTTAAATAATGATGTCAGTGGCAGTTAAAAATAGAGTTTTTGAAATTTTCGATACTTTTGTTTTCTTTCCAGGGGCGTCCAATATGGGCCGGTATCTCCGTAGGGGGGGGGGCGTAGGTAAAAAATGTATAGGAACTTGTCATATTATTTTTATGTGTTTTATCTAAATCCGGGAGATTGCCCACATATTTTGGGACACCCTGTATAGGAATATTAAAAAATAAAAGATACTAGAAATAGTATTGCAGTTCTAAAAATATGAAAAAAAACTACAGGCAAAATAAAATCAACATTTTTGACTACCATACCCATAAAAAACAAGTGCAAAAGGAATAAACACAAATTAGAAATTTTTTTAAACCAATCAAAACTAAAAGTGTTATTTCCGTAATTTAAATTTGTAAAAATTGTAACTTGGGAACTGAATCTACAACAATGGCATTAGTAACATTTGATGCACTGCAAGCAATTTATGAATTCTGATTTAGTTCTTCAACAAACTAATCATAGAACGTAACTAATACTATACTTCTTATTCTTTAAATTAATACAAATTAACTTCTTATTTAGTTTCTTGGCCTTAACTTCGCAAAACATTTAAAAAACACTGGAAAAGTTTCCGGGGATATTTCCGGTAACTTAAAAAAAAAACTTTCAAAATGAAAATAAATTCCCGACTGGAAACTTTCCAAAATGGATATTTTCCGATTCCCATCTCTATTTAAAGCCCAAAAAACGCAAATTTAAAAATTCCTCTAAAAGAAAATTTGGGAGCAAGTCTATTAAATTGGCCGGGGACTGTAAAAAACACCGGGTGAGTGCCGTGTCAAGTGGCCGCTTCAATCAAATACTTACGTTAGGTATTTTTGCTATTTTTACTATTGTTTTTTGTTTGATAACTTAATAAGTGTGATTTTAAAGTCAAAATAATTGGTTGTTTGTAGGATATTTTACTAATTTATTGGAAATTTTATCGAGAAAAATATGTTGTAAATGTTGTTTCACAAGAATTATTTTTAATTTTTTAAAGGTTCTGAAAAATATTGAAAAAAAACAAAATATGAAATTTGACGATTTTTGTTGAACTAGTGCAATTTATTATAAAATTTTATTTATATTATATTTTTAATTATTTATTACGTTATCAAATTTTTTATTCAATATTTTAGGTAATCATATTTATTAATTTTTAAGACCATTTTATTATACAAATTTAATTATATATTAATTTATAAAAACAAAACAGACCAATATCATAATTATTTATTTTATGTTATAAAATTTAATTAACGTGGACGACTGTTAAACACAATTCTGAATGGCAGGTTCTGTATCCAAACTTTAGGATTTATTTATTCCATTTTGGTTAACATCACATATCATTTGATATTGAATAGCAGTTATAAGAATATATGACAAATATTTTTATTATTGATTGAATTGACTTGGTCACTTGTTTAAGATTATTATACTTCCCCCGCACCGCTTTTTATAATACTGTTTGTTATTATGTATAATCTCGTTGCATTTATTTGCGTCTATAGAAATAGGATAGTGATTCAACAGGTAGCTGTAGAATTTTAGGAAACTTATTTTTTATTGATTTTGTAGTTTTTCTATTATGAACTGTTGGGCCTAAATAACTTTGCCAATTGAAGAGTTATTTAAAGCGTTTTTGGCAACTAGATTAATAAATATTTTATACTTAGGATTTACTGAATTTGAAGAAAAAAATTCATAGTTAATGTTGCCAAAGTGCGATTTAATACTTAACTAATAAAATATTTTTATTTATTGTAATGTTATATTGATTAAATCATTTTTTCATTTTATTAATTATTATCTAATCTATATTTATTTTTACTTAAAAAAAAACTATTATATTGTTGACTGTAAATATTTTGTGTAATGTTTAGATTTTTTTGTATTAAATTTTTAGTACCCTAGGAATTCTCAAGTAAATTATGAGGGTATAAAATATAAATATAGTGTGCTTTATTTTTTAGACAATGCCACTAAAATTAAAATTTGGACCACAAATTTAAAAAAATTGTCCGTGAAGTGGTTTGGTCTAAAATATAAATACCACAAAACTATAATAACAATATTCTTTAACTGTGGTACTAATAATAATTGTTTAAACAAAAAATAAATATTAACTAGTTTAATAATAACCTATTGTAGCCTGAGTGGTAATATCAGTTTTATTTTAGAATATTGTCTAGTTTAAGATTAATTACGACAAAATGTTCCATTACATAAAACATGCATATTTACTTTGGTTAAAAACAAAACTCAATATGAACGATTTTTCTTATGTGTCATGCTCAAGTCTTAAATTTCTCAAAATATAAAATGTTAACCTAACTATCCTATCATCATAGTGGGCTTTTTTGAGGTTGTCAAGTTGGTATCTCATCCTAGGGTTGATATAACGTTAAAAAGTAAAAGTCACAGCCTACTGTGGTGGGGGTAGAGTCAAGTTTTTTGCCACTTGATTAAAATCAGGAAATGAAACTGATATTTAAATATTTGTGATTAATATCATGTTCGTCTTTTTTTCCGTCGGTTCGAAGTCCATACATACTGACATTTGGTAAATGATTGTTTGTCCTTTTTCCGAGCCTATCGACCACGGAAATACCCGTCCCTATATTTATAATATAATCCATATTCTTTTAGACTGCATTTTTTAGTTGCAATTCAATGTTCAACTACTACACTGTAAACCATTAAAGAGTTATTGTTTATGGTGTTTGGTAGTTTTTAAAACATATAATTTATGTCGGACAGTTTTTAAAACTGCTCCCATTTTAAAATCAATTTTTTTTATTGTTATCAATTAATTCAACGTTTGCTTAAATGTGGTTAATGTTACTTAATTGTACCTAATATTTTTAATAAAATTATTACTTTAAATAAACATTGTTTTATTGAATAAAGAAAATAAATAAATTTATTGAAATTTACTCAAATTTGAAGAATTTGATATGACAACGTTGCATTTAAGCACAATATGGCAACATTGGTTTACTGGATCTACTTACGTTGGTAGATCATTTGAACATAGTACTATTGGCAACGTTGCATTAAAAGGCGCCAATGCGCTGCCGGAAAAGTAAAATCCTGTAAATTAACATGAAATTAACCTAAATACGTTGATTTGACAGTTTTAAAATTATTTTGGTGTTGAATTTTACTTATGGATAAAACTCCAAATAACCGTTCATTAAAGTTATCGTGCAGAAGGGTTACAAAACCCATAGGTAAAAACAGGCTGAACTTAATCTAATTACCTTTCTAATAAATTATATTTTAGACCATAATGAATCTTCAATAGTAATTTCCCAGTTGAGTGCCAGCACATGCCCCACCAGCACTCCGCTTCACCAGAAAAATTCCGACATAGATTTTGACGAAAGTCCGAGTTATTACCCATGTACACAGGAAGAATTTGAAAACAGAGATGTTGTTTGGGACTGGAATTCTCCACAAGCAAAACAAAAAGAAAAGAAGAAGAAAAAACGCCTAATACTTACACATTCCCCAAAATTAACCCTTCGACGACATTCCTCAAATAATAACATTAAGAATTTTGAAAAGTTAAAAGAAGAACTAAAAGCTTTAAGAAATGAGATATCCGTTCCCGATAATGAAGATTGCCTAATTTTGTCACCATTAGAGGAAGTTGAGTTTAAAACCGATTTAAATACCAGTGCCATTTCATCTTTGATGCAAGATAAAGACAATAATATAGTGTGTGATAGTGAATTAGAAGATTTATTCAACGATTCTGCTGATGAAGAGTTGTTTTTAGTCAGCCAGCAATTGGAAAATCATATAGAAGCCAAAACCACAACTGTAATTAGGCCAAAAGTAGAAAACAATGAACCTTTAAACTCTGTCAAAAGGAATTTAGTACCTCAAAATAAAATATTGCCCAAAAGACAAGCGAATGAAACCAAAGTAGCTGAAGATTCTTTCTCTTCTTTTCAAGGCTTTGGTGATGATAGTTTTGGTAACTTTATTGAGAATGAGAGTTTTTTAAATGTTTCAAATAAGACTACCAGTATACAAAGAACCAGATCAGATGTGCAATTTAATAGTAAACAACCAAATGTTGGGAAAGTTGAATTTCAGAGGACCCAAAGTTTTGAGTTGTCTAATATTGGAAATAACCAAAGTAGTAAGTTTTATACTATTATAATATGTTAAAACAAAATTGTAATATTATACAATACAATTAATTAAAATTTAAATTAGAATAATTAAAATTAAAGGGAAATCAATTAATTTAATTTCATAATTGTTAATTTGTTATAATTAAGGAAACTGCTTTTATTCATAATAATTTAAATTAAAAAAAAAAACACTTCAATTTAACTCTTACTATAAGAAATAACATACATGTTGAAACTTGTATCAACAATTTATTAGATTTGTATCCTGTTACTTTTAAATTTGGAAAATTATGTATTTTGTTAGTATAACTAACTTTAAAAAAATATTATGTCCTAGAAGAACCAATTTAAATGCCAAAATGTTCATTATACTTAAATATATTTACCATATATGGTTGGATTTTAGTGTATTCAGGCTTATTTAGTGTATTCAGGCTTATTTTCTTTTTTTAAATTATTTGTTAAGTGTTAATTATTTATATTTTATAATTATTTGTACGAATTTTTAACAATTCATTAGAGTTCCCTCTGTAAACTTTGTAGTTTTTTTGGGATTATAAATGTATTTTATTATTATTTTATATTTCCAAAAGAATTGCTATCAAAAACATATTAATAAGAAGAGCTATGTAAAACTATGAGTGAATTGTTTGGCTAACATTTTTTAAATGTTATTTGTTTGCAATATTTTTTAATTTGATTTTTTTATAGATATAACTAAAACAACTCTTGAAGAAATAGAAAGGAAAAGGAAAGAGGCACTGGCTAAATTAGAGGCAAGAAAAAGACATGATTCTAATGAATGTAAGTTATTAATTTTTTTTCATGGTGTTAAAATTAACGTTTTTAATTTTTTACTTTATGATTAATTAAAATACAGTGTTAACACTATAATAAAATTTAAGGTTTTTGTTAAATGAAGATTTTAAAATATAAGATAGTGTAAGGGCACAAATTATTTTTAAATATAAGCAATTTTGGGCAAAATGTTTTGTTGGCTCGGCAGCTTGCAAATTATTTTGAATATTATACTTTTTGAGATTAATTTAAAATATTGATTTGTCGCATATTTTATGATGTAAAAACTAAAAAAATACAAAATAATAAATTTTTTCCTCGATTTGTCCCTTCTTTCCATTCCTAGTTTTTTCTAAAAAAATATGAACTTAATAATTTAGTAATAATAGTACAAATAACATATATTTTTCTGTGGTATATTAAAAACATTTCCTAGACTAGGCATTTAAAAACAACAATACTAAGATAAAAATAAATTTTGACAATGGGAAGATAAGATGTAAAATTTACATATACAGTGTTGGCCATAATTTTTGAACCACTGTAAAACAAATCTAACTCTAAAACACCTTCATTATTCTTTATGAAATTTTGGATAAAAATACTTCAACTTATTTATTATATTATATTTTTAAAGCCCTTTTATTTGATAATGAAAAACGTTCGAAAAATAACTTTTAGGGTAATTTTTTTAAGTAAATAAAAAATATGCTGTTAAAGACCGTATTTTTGTTATAGACCCTGAATATTTTGTAAAAATTAAACGAACAGTAACGAAGATACAGCGCTTTAAAGTCGGTAAAAATGACCCCTTTTTGATTATTTTGCTGAAAAGTGGTCATTTTTGACGACTTTGAATCGCTGTATCTTCGTTGCTGTTTGAATTTTACAAAATTTTCAGGGTATACTAACAAAAATACGGTCTTGGGCAGCATATTTTTTATTTACTTAAAAAAAAATCCCTAAAAGTTAAATTTCGAACGTTTTTTCATTATTAAATAAAAGGGCTTTCAAAATATTTTCTCGAAAACCCCTCGAACACGTAAACTCAGATATAAGTTCAAAAATTATAAAATAAAAAAATTCAAAATCAAATTTTCCTGTACTAAAACTAGGGCGTTTCCTTATTAAAATATGGAATAGGTTGGATTAAAACTTTCTAATTTGTTTTTAATTATTTAGAATTAATTTTTAGAGTAATTTTAAAAGAAAACAGAATTTTAAACTACAATTAGTTTACCAAGTTTGAGTTTGTTGATTTTAAGGTAATATATAATATTCAAAATTATTTGTGGTTCGTTAATTTCTTGGAACTGTGTAGTTAAAAAACTATTTTTATTTAAAAATATTTATTTTAGCTCTTTGTTCACCAATGAAATGTTCCCCAGAAGAAATTGAGAAAAAGAGACTACAAGCTTTGGCCAAATTAGAAGCAAAAAAACAACAGGAAATAATAGAAAGGAAAAGACAGGAAGCTTTAAAAAAACTGGAAATGAACAGAAAAAAGAATGCGACGAGCGTTAAAAATTCTTTTACTAAAAGACTGTAGTAAGAGGATATTACCATGTGATTAAAATTAAGATATATTTATACTCGCTATTAATTATAAAATTTTGTTTATTAGTATGTATTGGCCCTTTTTAACATAAAATGAAACTCAAATATTATTTATAAATTTAATAAAAAGTATGATATTTCACATAACAGCAGCTGGCACATCCCTAATGGTATCGGAAAATTCACTTAAAGAGAATAATAAAAATATCAGAATTGCTGTTTTTTGTATAGGATCTAAAATATAAAATGTTTTGTTTAATCCAAAATTCGTTTTATTGTATTGTTTACCTCGATATATTCTCTCAAAAAATACATTTGCCACCTCAGTACTACCCAAAAAATGAAAATTTGAAATGCTGTTTAAAATCATTAAACAGCCTATACAAAAATGTTTTAGTTTTTGGAAATAAAATTGCCCAAAAGTTTGTTCTAAGCCTTTCACGAATTCGGTCTGATATAATGCAATCCCCACGTTTTCGATTATAATGACCAAGAAGTTATACATTGACCATAAAAATATTTGATGGGTCATCCCATGCCAGCACCAAATAAATATAAACGTTAAGGCACCAGAGAATATCTTATTAAGAAAAGATTTAGAAAATAATGATGGTTTATAAATGTACCTAAAAAATAAATAAGTCATTAATAGTCATTTTAAGCATAGAAAACAATTCAATACAATATTTATAGACTTAAATAGCGCTATTTTCGGGCACCCTTGTATATCAAAATAAAAGTGGTATAAATACTTCACTAAATAATGGTATAATCCAACATCAAAATATTTCCACATGTCAGAATACAAATGTATTCTTCCAATGCATCTTGGTAAAGCTGGAACTGGAATATTGTAGAAAGACGCAAACATAGTTCCAATTCCATATAATATCAGATATTTTAATTGAAAATAGGTTCCCATCAAAAAACCATAGGCATAAAGGCTGGTACTATCAAAATCATACAAAGCCTAAAATGTACCATTTTATTTCAATATCTTCTATATTTTTTTTGTTAAATTATGTTCAAGTTAATAATTACCTACCTCAACTCTCATAGCACTTATGTAGAGATAGTGCAATAATATGTAGGTAAAAACATACCAAAACAATATCCTTAAACCATTTTTCAACAAACTTAGAGCCCTTTCTCTTAAAGGTTTATATTTTTCAAAATTGTACTTTTCTTCATAGTCAGTATACATTAAAATAGGCCCATAAAAAAACGTGGGCAAATAAAAAACGAATTCCAATAAGTCTATGAATGTACTTTTTGTAACCACATTGCTTTCAAAATAAAAACAAGAACATTTTAAAATACTCCAGCCATAGCCAACAAAAGCTACAATAATACTAAGTTCATCAAACACTTTATGGATGATAAACATTGTAAACATCCATTTGCTCCAAATTATATTAAACACAACTAATATGTATAGGGGTGCTTTATTTTTAAAATTATAAACTATTGCTGTGTATATCAGTGGTTGGGAGAGCAATACAAAAAAGTATTTGAAACCAAAATTGTGAATCAACCCATAAAAACTTATAAATATCTGGGTTAACTTTAAAAACTAAAAAAAAATATGTTGTGTTATATTTATAAGACTTTTTGAACTTACCTCTTTGTTGTTGGTAAATTTTCTTTGTATTTCGAAAATAATAAGGCTGGCAAACATTAAAGTCCCAAATTGTTTAAAAATGGAACTGATTTCTTCAAATTCTCCATCTGATTGGTCCCTTTTCCTATTTAAAAATGTCCCTTCTTCAAAATCGTCGTAATAATCAACATAATTTCTAAAAACTAAATTTATTTATTTATCTATTTAGATAAGTAAAAAAAAATGGAAGAATGAACCTTGGTAGAAAATACCGTTTCTGCAACGTTAGAAATATGTTAATTTTTTGTTGTCACACTAACATACAAGTTTATCATAATTTTACTGAAAGAGACTATATTTTATAGATTTTGAAAAATTATACTGAGGCATATTGAAAAAATTACATTGTAACAGTGTGGATAAAAATATCCACCATTTGAAAAAGGAAATATTTTTAAAATTGGCCAAAAATAAATAAAACAATCAAAATTTGTTTTAATTAAAAACGTAAATTGACAAGACTATATTTTTGAACTATAAAGATATTTTCATTTTCTTGCAAGTGTATAAAATTATGCAACATATGATATAATTATTTTTTAAATTTCGTAAAAATAACAAATCTACAGACCATTAAACTTCATTTAAATGCAAAACAAATTAATGGTTAACTTTCTAAAAACATTCTTCAGTTGGTACCAAAAATTCTGGTTAATCCCCTGTCAATTGGACGCCTTTCTGCAGAAAGGAACCAACCCACAAAACCAAAAAAATCGAGATGTTTAGCCTATGAACTAATTAAGTATGTATAATTTATCTGCAAAATAGGTCATAGCCAAAATGCAAGTGTAGTGAAATCTATTAATCATTGAACCAACCAACATTCAATAATAGTGTAGATTACTAATCCAGAATTAGAATCTGTAGAATATCTGCAAGTGGGTTGGATCTTTTTTGTAAAAAAGCAGGCTGGTAGACCCACTACCAAAGTCTTTAAAGATTTCCTGCTTCTGTAAAATATAAAGTGTTGATGCATTTTTTTGGTAGCTTACAAGATGAGGTGGGGTTGGAAGATGATGTGGACGAATTTCAAATAGAATCAAAATTAATTCATATTACCATTATAATAGTAATATCAGTTGTATTTTGTTTGGAAATAAATAATTGTCGCTTTTCTTTAAATACAATACATACATCAGATAGTAGTTTTCATAAATTGCAGAAAGGAACCAACCAACAAAAGCCCATTTTTTTCGTCACCCTTACACATAACATCACAAAATCCACCTGATGAAATTATTAAATTATATCCCTTAAACCTCCGTAAGTCCAAAATCGGCATAAAATTAACAGGTAATTTTAAAATTATTAAAATCTTTGATAGCTTTTTTCTCAGTTTCATCACGGTGTGGGTTGGTCCCATTCTGCAGAAAGCCGTCCAATTATAAACTAAATTGTCGTGTATACACGCGGCTGAACTTTTAATATATATGTATATAATATTATATTATACATTAATATCTATTATTAAATACATGTTTAGTAATAAAAATATTTAGCTAAATAATAAAACATTTTAAAATATAATGTTAATACCTATAAATCATAAAAATAAAATTTTAATAGTCGACTATAAAAATATATACATATATAACTTAAAAACAGATTATACAGGGTGTCCAGGGTTTTAGTAGCAGACCTTTACTTGCAAATGTAAAAAGTTATTTTTACTAAAAAGTTCATATTTATTTGTACTAAAAAAGTTCCTATATAAGCAATAAAATCCCAATGTGTACTGATACAAGATCAATCTAATCAATTTAACACATTTAACCTTTTTTGTAGAGCGTTAAATTTCCTACAAAAATATGTCACACACATTTGACAAACATTATTTTTCAATGAGTTACAATTATACAAAAAAGTTTTTTTATAAATTCTTCAAACTTTGATCTTGAATATCTTTTAAATGGTTAGAGTAATCACCTGGGTGATTAATGGCCATTTGTCCTTTTTTGTAGAGCATTCAATTTCCTAAAAAAATATGTATAAAGATTTGATTAAACGATTGATTAGTAATGAAATATGGTCTTAAGGGTCCCTTAAGGGACTAAAGAAAAAATGGAAAACTGTGATGAGGATCTTACTATTAATATTAAGAGCTCAAATTTGGTGAGCACTTAATTTTTTATTGATATTTTATTGTATTTTTAATTATTGATAGTTATTTAATTTAACCATATTAAGTGTGTAGTAAGTAAATAACCTAGATTTGTATTGTACACATCTAAAATCAATTACATTTACTTAAAGAATGAGAGCTTATACTGTATACCTACATTCTTCAGTTGTATTTAAAAACCTGTTAAAATTCCTTATAATTTTGTTGTTAATTAATTTAAAAAAATATTAAATAATTAGATTTTTTGAAATTTTATCAATTTCATAAAATTATCCTTACCTATGTTAAATTAAATTTACTTTCTGAATAACTTTTAAACAAAGCAAGATATGAAAAAACTCTGCTACTAAAACCTGGGACACCCTGCATAAGATAGCATTCGGTACAAATAATGTTTATACCTAGGGTATCCTTTAACAAAATTAAGAACTTACAATCATTGGAACTTTTTGCAAAATAATAAATTCCATACATAATGGATCCAACCCAAACAGAAAAATAGAACCATTTTTCAAGAGTAAGCCTCTCGCAAATTAAACAAATTTTCCATCTTGTATTTTTCATATTTATCTTCTTTACTTCACATTCTTTATCTGTAGTTTTCATGTTTGGGTATTTGTTTTAATTTTATTTTATTAGCAAAATAAAATTTAATCTATCTAGACTATAACGAATTTTTTCGCAAACCATGACTTATGTGGGCGTGTAACAATTTATAAATAATAAACTTTATGCCATTGTAAAATATGGTTCATTTAAATTTGTTTAATAACCATAACCTGACATGACAACTTGTCAGATTATTGCATGCCATGTTGTCAGATTTACACAAATCATTTGAACTACTAATTAATTTTACCAATTTCTTGAAATTTAAATAAAAAAGGGGTTCGATTTTGTCTTTCGTGAGTATCGCTCGATGAAAAAGTGTGTAAAATAGCCGACTTTGACCCAGGAGGGACAAAATTGGATTCCGGGAATAGAAATATCAATATCGCAAGCTTTGATCTTTTAGCGAGGTATTTTGTGATTTGTATACGAGAATTCGTGGATGATTCAAGATTAGAAAATTCACGTCTGTGGGTCGATGGCTTCGTGAAGCGCATGGACGTTAAAATTTTTTTCTGGTCAAAATGGTACATTGAAACCAAGACCATTAAAGCTTAATTTTCATGTATCCGTTTGTCCGTTCATCCGGGAGCGCTCTTATTGGTCCAATTATAATTCGAAAATTATGACATTTTATCGGTCCGTCAAGTTTCAACTTCGTACGTCTGACAGAGAAAGGTTAAATAATTTTAACTCATCCGTCACTAAACATCTGTTTTTGACGCCTAACGTTAATTTATGATAATTTATTTTCAAATATTTTTATATTTTTTCAATAAGATTGTAAAACGAAAATATTACGTTCGTTATGTGAATAATGTTTTACTGTTAAGTTGTTATTTAATAAGAATAACGAAAAAAAAGAAAGGACAAACAAAAAAAATTAAAACTAGAACTAAAAGGACCTGCTTTTTTAAAACTATACATTTTAATGTATATTAGGGCTAGTATATTTTTTTTATAAGGTATATTTACCTACCTTTAAATGTATTAGACAGCTAACTGTTACAATTGTTGACATAATTGTAACTATGACAATTAAGCATTAGGTAAATTTAGTAAGTGAATATACTGACCATGGAGCCTATACAAGGAGCCCGAACTTCATGTAAACAAGAATCTTCCTAAGATAAGAGGGCGCTGGTGTACTACCTGTCCAAAACAGTAGAGTGGTATAACCAGAGATGGCGCCACTACCTACCACTTACATATACTTACCACACGTAAGTATATGACCACTTATTATTGTGGAAATAATTGAGGTTATGCAACTGTCAGTTTATCGCTTTTTGAAAACAATGTACACATGTACCTGGTTTTGTGTATAAAGCAGAGTAGGGCAGTAATCGAATAAAATTGTAATCATGAATATAAATAGTAATTATTTTGGTGATTAATGATTATTTATGTAGTCATTATTCATGAATACTTTACTTGAATAATATTCATTATTTATAATCAAATTTTACATTGTAATCATGAATAACGTTATTTATGAAAGTATGATTATAATTAATATTCATAATCAGAATTAAAGAATAAATTATGTAATTATAATCATTCTGTATAATTACTTTGGTAAATAATCCTTGCTTAACGAATTTAAAGTTAGAACAACGTAACTAAGAAAATTCATTTACTCGATGTTATATAATTTCGCCGGGATTAATCATATACAATGACTACAATTATTAATCATTATTCTTTTCCGATAATTGACGATTTCAGTATTTATAACCACTCAAAACGTAAATAATAAATAATATTCGTTATTCATGTTAGAATGATTTATGATTACTTTATTGTAATCATTATTCATGATTACATTTCATAAATAATAATCATAATCATAATCGAATACAATTTGCCCCACTCTGGTATAAAGGTCTTAATTTACAATAAAATTATATCAAATTTAACATTGGAATTCATGTTGGACTTTCTGATGTAGAGTATAGTACAGTTTTTTATAAATACGTGTTTTTTTCTATAAAAGAATGTCGTGTGATGCTAACCCAGTAAACACAGGACTCGCGGGCCAGAGATGGCGAGAATACTTTTTTCCGAACTGCCGGATTCGGCCCGAAACATGGTTGCCGGCGCGGCGTGTAGGTAGGGCATGTCCGCCTGGCAGACTTTCTGCCGACTTACCGTAAAGCCGAGTCATTAGCGGGTATCAGCTAGTGGGTTACTCGGTGGCCCGCCACCCGCATCCGTGCTTTCGGCAAGGTTACGATACGTTGCTTAATAAGTAAATTGCCCAGTACACACAGACTCGCGGGCCAGAGATGGCAAGAATACTTGTTTTCCAATCTGCCGGATTCTCCCGATATATGGATGCAGGCGCTGCATCAGCTAGTGGGTTACTCGGTGGACCACCACCCGCTTCTATGCTTTCGGCATGGCTGGCGTATATCATACGGCTAACGTTCGGTTTTGATACCTTTTGCCGTTTTCTAACCGACAATGGGCCACTTGTGGTTAGTAGGGAAGTCATAGGGAAACAATTAAAAAAAATATGGAAAAATATAAAAATCGATAAAAATATATTTCAACTTAACATGGTATTGCGCTACAAAAAGATAAAATAAAATAAAATTTAACAAAAATAAAATATCAACAAAACTACACTCTACTTCAGGTACCTCCTTTTCTATAACATTTATCTAAGAACCCTCCGAAAACCCATCAGTTTTGGGTAGTTCTTTAGGTATATTTAAGGGTATATTCTCGGGTATATTACTAGCTGTGTTGCTTGATATAAGGTGACCAACTATACTCATTTACTGAGTTTTGTACTCTTTTTTCGCAAACCGTACTCTTTTCAAATCCTGTACTCTGAAAGTACTCATTAAATTTTGTATAATTTTATACTCATTTGTATTTCTAAAACATTTTTTTAGATTATTTTATTTTAATTTTATTAATTTAATATTTAAAATTATTTTGACAGTGATTTGAATTTCACGCGCGCATATTGTACAGAGGACAGGGCAAACACCAGACACGAGTTTGACAGTGATTTGAATTTCGCGCGCACATATGGCTGTCGTTTCCGGCACAATTGAGAGGTCGTATTATGTACCTGGAGAGATAGATAGATACTACAGACCTCTTTTTCTAACGACGACCGATGAGAAAATAGAACTTAACAAAAGATGGGTAGAAATCTTTCGGCAATTTAGAGTAGAACATATCCCACATGAAAATTTAAAAGTTTTAATAGAAATTTCCTTATGTTGTGCAGGCACTAATGCTGCTGTTGAAAGGGTATTTTCACTAGGGAATGATTATTGGAGCAGTGAGAAGTCGCAACTTTCAGCAAAAAAAATCCACTCCGAAGAAAAATATGTTTTTAAAAGAAAATAAGGTTTTTATCGTTTTTTTACCTATGAAATACTTGCAGTGTACTCTTTTTGAACAAAAAATAGTTGGTCACCTTATTGATATGTCTATACTATTAGAACAAGAAGGTTGGTCATTATTACTAGACACAGAACTTGTAGGTAATTGGAACGATGCATTATTTGTTAAATTGTCATCCGTTAATAAACAATCTTCAATTAAACATTTCATTTGTTCACTAAGCACACGACGTTTAAAAAATTGTGGCGTTTGCTTACTTTTTTAATAAAAGACATATAGACATAAAAATTCTTTTAAGAAATATCCTAATTCAAAAATAAACGATAAACCTGAAAATACCCTTAACAATTTGTTAATAACAAATACCTACCTAAGACTAACAGTGAAATGGCAAAATATGCAAAATATAATAAATTATGTTGTTTCAACTTACTCTTCACTTGATTCTGCCATTTTACAAACCATAATAAAACTTATAGAAAATTATAACCTAAAACTACACACAAAACTAGTTTGTCACAAAAAACACAATTTTCAAACAAAAACCGGCACCAAAACACGGTAAGTATATCGTTTATAGCACAATTCACAATGTGGATTGTGGTTTATAGTATATGGATAATTTATAAACCATTTTCTTTAAAGGAAAACAACATAACACTGTCCTGAACAATCCTTAAAAAGCTTTTCTGGAATATAACCTAACATTGAAACTTCGTTCACGTGGTTCAGCTAAACTACTAAAGTAAAGTGTTTGCGACCTCTATGATCTGTGTTTGAGACTACGAATGCCAAAGACTTAAAATGAGGAGAGCGGGTATCAGCGTACTTAACGAAGACGGCCCGAAAGTAGCAAATAATCCAGCCCGTTCATGGGCTATACTTTTTCGGATAGCATTCGGGCGCGAAGGGTGGATCCCGGTTACTGGTTTGCCGAAATCGGGCCGTATTTTAACCGAATTTGGAAAAATGCCTACTGGGGAGTTTGTATGCGGGCCGTAAGTGATCCGGACACGGCAAATTATGCCACCAGTCTCCCGATAGTGCCGAATGTTGGCCGAATGTTTCCCGAGAGTTCTGTGTTTACTGGGAAATCGTGAAAAAGTAACAGAATATTAAATCCATATGGTATTTATTTTTAGTTTTATAGGTAGATGGCTTAAATAAAAGTTCAATATAAACAAATAAAGGTGGAGATTATTAAATATGCTGTTTACTCATTTTATACATACATTTTTATTTAAATTAAATTTAAATTATTAAATAGCGGTGTATTTCTAACCTGGAAATCTAATTTTGCCTCTCCAGAGTCGTAAAATCACTTCACAATTATAAAGAATCACTTATATTTCACAACCAAAACCTATTAATTTCGCTTCTCCAGAGTCGTAAAATCACTTCACAGATTATAAAGAATCACTTATATTTCACAACCAAAACCTATTTATTAGAATCTACCTACCAGGTACAGCCATAAATAACAAAACGATTCGTACGTCAAAACATTATTGCAAATCAATTGTCAAAATTACTTGCTTACTTCACATGTATTATGTATGTACTATTTTCACGTCATACGGACGCATTGACAAACAGCGCCGCTGGTGGTGAAAAAAAAAAGACTTAAATTGTGCAATTTATAAATTGACAAAACCTGTCCACTATAGTGGACAGGTTTTGTCAATTTTCCCTATTAAGTTCGGGCTCCTTGTGTAGGCTCCATGATACTGACACTTAATTTCTATTTGTCGCAAAATCAATCCGTTAAACGTCATTAAAAAACGTATGCATGAAAATTAGAACATTTCTACGAAGGCGTAGAAGGGACACAGCACAAAAAAAATAATTAATTTTAAAATTTCGAGTTATAAGTCGAAATTTTACCCTAAAATTTCGAGTTATAACACGAAATTTTAAAATTTCGAGTTATAACTCGAAAATTTACCCTAAAATTTCGACTTATAACACGAAATTTTAAAATTTCGAGTTATAACTCGAAATTTTAGGTTAAAATTTCGACTTGTATCTGTATTTTAAAATTTCGAGATATAACTCGAAATTTTAAAATTTCGAGATACAAGTCGAAATTGTAACCTAAAATTTCGAGTTATAACTCGAAATTTTAAAATTTCGTGTTATAAGTCGAAATTTTAAAATTTCGTGATATAACTCGAAATTTTAAAATTTCGAGATACAAGTCGAAATTGTAACCTAAAATTTCGAGTTATAACTCGAAATTTTAAAATTTCGTGTTATAAGTCGAAATTTTAGGGTAAATTTTCGAGTTATAACTCGAAATTTTAAAATTTCGTGTTATAACTCGAAATTTTAGGGTAAAATTTCGACTTTTAACTCGAAATTTTAAAATTAATTATTTTTTTTTGTGCTGTGTCCCTTCTACGCCTTCGTACATTTCTTATCGGACGATTTTATTGAAAAACTGACATACGGATTACGGACAAACGGATACATGAAAATTAAGCTTAAGGCTTTTTGCCAACAAGAAAGAAGGGTGAATTACACAAAAATTATATTTATAGTGTTTATTTTTAGCTGACACAGTATAAAGGATATAAAGGACAACAAGGTCTGTTCTATCTCGTACTAAAAATACAAAAAATTACTGCAACACTGCACAGAGTTTAAAGCAAACATTTTTGTTGGTTACAATTCTTTTTCTTTGGGTTTGTGCTGTTTATACAGGATAATAATCGTTTTAAACGTTGTGTTTCTTACAGAGGCACTTGTAAGCCTTAAAAGAGGCCTTTAAGTGCCAAGGGCAACCATTTTACTCCTATTTTGTAAAAATTTAATTTACCATAACCCACAAATTAACCTTAAAATTGACAGTTGGATGACAGCCCTCATAAAATAATGTTTATTTTTTACAAAAGAGAAAAAAAATGGCTTTTCTTAGCACTTTCAGGCTTACAAGTGCCTCTGTAAGAAACACAACGTTTAAAACGATTATTAATCTGTATAAACAGCACAAACCCAAAGCACAAGAATTGTAAACAACAAAAATGGCCGCCGTTAAACTCTGTGCAGTGGTTTTTAGTATTTTTAGTACGAAATAGAACAGACCTTGTTGTGTGGATTGTGAAACAAACGAATTATTCCTAATTGTATAAAATAAAAACCATCTATTATATATATGTTGATATATCATTAAATTGAAGACCTTGGGGGGGAAAAATTATAAAACATTTTGTCCTCAATAAAATAAATTGTCACATAACTTTTAAATTGATAAATACTAGCCTAAGCACAGAATATTCTGTGGCCCAAGTGCGTTTTTGTATAAAATTAAACAATTCCGATTTCGTGTAGTTTGTTTTTCATTTTTATTAGTGTTCCTTCCCATACTGTCTGCAATGGTTCTCTGGTTGTTATCATTGGCAAATTTGCTATAATACTCATTGCTGCTTTAAGAGAAGACACTTTATCTCCTAAAATAAATAAAAATTAGTTGTATTTTGCACCATTTTTTTTTAAATTAGTAAGAAAAACTAAGTGTCACCTTTACTTTAAACAGTAAATATTCACTTTTAAAGCTATTTAGGAAACAATTTGGAATTTAGGGGACATAAAATATAACAAAATCTCGTCCGATAGAGCAGAAACACTGCGCTCAGAGAAATTTATAAATTGGAAAAAAGCCAGCGGTTCTCAAAATATTTGAAAAACACTAAAAACCATCCGAAGACAAAAGCCGCTATAACTTTATTATTCCTGGGAATTTTGAAACAAAATATACACATTAATCTACATTTTCATCCAATTTCTTTGCTACTATGTTTTGAGTTACCATCACCATCTTTTGTTTTTATAATGGGGGTCATAACTTATTCATGTAGTTTGAACAAAAGATGTTGGTGGTATCAAAAAATCTAGCAGGCAAAAAAATCACAAATTGGATAACAATGCGGATTTATTTGTATGTTTACATGTAAACCTTACTTTTTTAGAAATTCCCAGGAATAACAAAGTTATAACGATTTTCGGTTTTGACAGGTTCAGTTTTTTTTTAAATTATTTGAGAACCGCTAATTTTTTCCCTACTTTTAATATGTCATTTTATTAGACTTGTAATTACGCAACTTTTGTCTTATTTAACCGACCTTGTAGCTCTTCAAATAAAAAGATACCCATACATAGAATTATACTTGATGCACCCTGTATAGCAGACAAAAGAATTTACTCATTTATTTTGGAACGACATACCTATAAGGATTATTCGGCAATTCTTTTTTATGGAAAATGGAAAATGGATGCTTTTAAATAAAATTTTAATAGGTTAGTGAAATTTTCAAAAAAGTAAATAATAAAGACTTTCGAGTATCTCCAGACAAAATCAAATAAAATCGCGTTGTAAAAATTTTTCAAAACTGAATTTCAATTTGTTAAAACTCGCTTATTTCGCGTAATAGTTTAAACAAATTTTAGGAAGAGTATTGCAAAATGATGATTCTTATCTGGATATTTAGGTATAGTATTTAAAAACTTTGTGTCAAAAAAACAAACTTTGTCATTACACAAATTTAACTTTTTATTTTTAAAACGTCATGAGAAAATTTATATAAATAATTATTCTTAGAAAATTCAAATAACGAAAATAAAATTCAATTTTTAAACCCTAATAACTTATTAGTAATAACTAGGAGTGAGCAAAATAATTGATTATTAATCGATTATCAAAGCGTCGATTATTTTTTTGTAATAATTGATTATTTGATTATTTTATTATTAATGTTATTTTAAATAAAGAATGTACATACATTCTATCAGCATTTTTACTTATACATAATGCCCAATATTTAATTGCCATACTTAATTATCCAATTGTAATAATTATTATAATTAATTAATTGTTATAATTAAAACAATCAAAAATGTAAGTAGCAATAAAATGACCAATTGGAGGAGCTTTTTTTTTTAAATAAACAAAATAAAAATAATCTTCAATAATAAATTTCAGAAAACGCATTTTTATGATTTATGCTGGGTTTAAAAAATGCTGCTAAAAATTTTAAACTTGTATTGCATGCATAATATAGGTGGTAAGTATTACAAAAACCAGATAATTAATAATTTAATTGATTAATGAGTAATTTATTAATCAAATAATCGATTAATTAATAATCAATTAATCGAAAAAATCGATTATTTTAGATAATCAATAATCGATTATAAATTTTGATAATCGTCCAGCCCTAGTAATAACTTAAAAAGAATTTGTGAAAAAAAAATTATTACTTAATGTGGTATACCGCGCTATTTTAGGGACACTTTGTATATTGAGTGTAAAAAAGAAATGCTGTTAATAATGATTAATTTTGTATCCAGTATATTGCTAAGAAAAAAAATACCGTAGGTATTATTAGGCATTTTATTTTATAAAATTTTCTTACCACTTGAATAAATAAAGTCCAAAGCTTTTTTCATTAAATCTTGCGATGCCTGTGCGCTCTTAATTTCGCCATTTTTTGCGCAGTGGCACAAAGATTCTGCCAATTTCGGCAAAATGTTGATGCTGTTACCCATTATACATGTGAAACCACTTGAGACTGCTCCCAATATACACTAAAAAAATTATAAAATGGTTTAAACATTCCTATAAAATGTATATAAAAAATATAACTTACATCATCAGTTCCCATAAAAATTGAGAATTTTTCTGGATTTAGAGTCATAGCAGACATACTTTCCGATAAATCATTAGTGCTGTAAATTAAACCAACAAAAGAATCTATCTCGCCTGTTATATCCAATAGGAAAGCTGTAACATCCACTATAAAAGAAAAAATAGGTATATAACATGCAAAAAACACGTTCTTAATTTTTACATACTTTCAACTTTTGTATACTTAGGATGATGGTGATACAAAATAGGCATCCCTTTACAATTCTCGGCAACAATTTTTATATACCTTATCAAGTCCAAGTGACTATTAGGTCTGTTGTATAAATCTGGCAACAAAACTATTGCCCCCACATTTTGTCTCTCTGCATGTATTGCCTGTGAATAAAAAAATATATTATTTGTTTTCAAAATATAAGTTGCGATTTTTTTACCATTTCAATAACATTTCTTAAAGGGGCCCCACCAATTTGCACCATCAAAAATTGCCCACTTTCTTTACATATTTCAGCCCAATGTTCAGTCAGTTGTTTTCTCTCTTCAATTGTCAAAGACATCCCTTCACCCATTACATCATTTACTAAAAACGAATATTTAACAATTATATTAATGCCCAGTAAGTTTTGGTTTTATCTGCCTTTAATAAGAATTGTATTTCTTTGCATTTTAAGTTTCCCATAACGAATTTGAGGTTCATTTTTTACATGTTTGTTTCTAGGGAGTCTAATAAACGCATGCGTAATAAGTTTTTTCTTTCTGTTAATATTTAACGCTATGGTAAAACGGCGTGGCAAAGAAAAAACTTAATGAGCATGCGTTTAAAAAAAATCAAGTATCTTTTTTTTTCATAATTGGAAATTATTCTAGATAACAAAAAAAATAATAAATAAAATTTTGTCAGCTTTAATTTTATATACAGTGTGTCCATGAATGGACCTAACTATACTTTTAAAAATATTTATTTTAAATTTTTCAAAGAAAACTCACTCCTCATAATTTCTTCTGCTTTTTATATAAATACCATTCACGATGAGAAACTTCTATTTTGATATACAGGGTGCGCAAAAAAAATACAATTGTAGATTTTGCAAAATTAAAAATTGTTAAATATTTTTTTTAAAGGTCTAATATGAAGAGCTTGTAAGGAGTAACCAAAAAGCCAAATAAAGTTTTTTCATGTGAGTTCTTGTTTCTAAGAAATTTGTTATTAAAAATTAAAGCACTTTTGGTCCTAACTTGAGTGGACCTATTATTTTGTAGAAATTGACTGCTATCTCATTTTGTGATTATGAATCAAGGTTGTTGCTTTCAACTGACATGTCTACAATTATTTGTTAAAATTTGAAAACTAATATCTTAAATTTTCAATATCAAATATCAAAAACACTTTTTGATTTCTCCTTACCAGCTCTTTATATTAGTGCTTCAAAAAAATATTTTAATTTTTTTAATTTTGAAAATCAGTATTTTTGCTTACCCTGTACAACAAAATGGATGTTTCTCAACGCGAATTTTATTTATATAACAAACAAAAGAAATGATGAAAAATGACTTTTACTCGAAAATATTTTTACAAGTCCATCTGTAGACACACTTTAGAATATAACCAAAACCCTGCTCACCTCCTTGCTATGTTTACCTAATAACTAGTACAAAATTATTATCAATTTTGACTGGACTAAAAATGCCCTTAAAAATTATATAAGTTGCAATGGTTTTCTGATAATCTGTTTAAAAAATTCTTATTCAAATACAATTTGAAATGGGCCATTTCATTTAATAACATAGTTTTTTACTTACTTAAAAGTCCTTTGACTCCACAAACTTTCAAAAACTTGGCATAAGGCCTCAACAACTTCCAATTAATTTCAAAAGGTCTGTTTTTTTCAAAAGGGGTAAAAGTAGGGCACAACAATCCTCTGAATGAAAACTTTTTCTGTACCCTTAAAATAGGTTTTCCAAGGTGTTTTTGGTGTTTCAACGATGCCATGTGTTTAAATATTTCCGTTTTTCCACATCTGTAATCCTTTTTGCAAAACTTGCAATAAAAGTTTGATTCTCCAAGAGTGCTTTGTGATAACCATGGTTTTAAAGCTGGTATCTGCTCCCATTCTTTTTTGTATTTCTGCAAATAATGCCTCTATAAAATTAATTATTATTAATGTTTGGAAATGTTTTTCTATGAGATTTTAGTCAATGGTTTTTGTAGTACCACTTACTTTCTTGTATATTTTCGGGGTTCCTTTTGTGGTAGTTTCCGATGTGTTTTCCTTTTTTACTTCAAGTTTTTTTGAAAGAGGTTCTAAGTCCGAGTCTGACGAGTCCTCAAATGGAAAATCATCATCCGATATGGGTCTGAAATCCGAGAATAAATCTTTTGCTGTTTTTGGCGACACACCATCTTCCGCATCGTCCTTATCCGATTCCACGATTTCCCTTTTTACATGTTTTTCCCTTTTAATACCTGTATTTTCATCAATTATCACCTGGATAATTTCTTCATTTTTATCTTCGTCCTTTCTGTCGTTTTCCATCTTGTATTACGATATAATTAATAAAATCGCATTATTTTACTCTCAGTATTCAAAACAAATTAAATTTTTGATTAGAATACAAAACCTAACCTACAAAATTAAGGCGTCACAACGAATTTTTATGCAGCGCTGAAACGCTTATAAACCGCAAATAAAAGCATTTATCGGTTAAATGTAACATAAAATACAAAAATTCTCACCTAAAACCTCCGAGAAATTTCTTATTTTTGAAGAAATCCCCGTTTATAAAAATTAATGTCTCACTTTAGAGGAAAATTATTTAGGTGGGCAACACTGCTTAAACAAATATCATCCTAGATCGAAATAACAGATGGCGCTTTTGTGTTTGAGCGTAGTTCAAATGAACATACACATGTTCTTATAGGTTATGTATAATATTTTCTTAAGTTTCTTGCATAGAAAAACTGTGGTTTCTTGCTTATTGTCGTAAAAATGGAGAGTATAAACGATGATAAACCTCGTGTCATATTAAATGAATATAAAGTCACTCAGGTGCGCATAATTACGCTCAAATTATACAAGAAAACTATATATTTCATTGTAGAATTTTCCAAACACTACAACTGTATTGGACGACACATTCGAAATAAAAAAGTTTAAGAAGAAATTTAAAATCGTCATTATCAGAAATGAAAAGTACGAAATGGAGTTTGACATGATTGGCATACATCCTTTCTTGGCTAACACGTTTCGTAGGATAATGTTAAGCGAAGTACCAAGCATGGCAATTGAGAAAGTGCATATTCTGAATAACACGTCAATTATACAGGACGAAGTTTTAGCGCATAGGTTAGGTTTGATACCATTGAAAGCTGATCCTAGGCTTTTTGAAAACAAAACTGATGGTAAGGGAATATAGTTTTTACAAGGAATTTATTTTGATTGCTTTTTTTTGTAGCTAATGCTGAGCATAATGAAAATGACTCCCTGGAGTTTGAATTAAAAATAAAGTGTAGTAATAATAAGGATCAAAGTATAAAGAATTCATCAAGAACTGAAGATATGTATAAAAACAGCAATGGTATATTTTTTGATATACAGGGTGTCATACTATCAAAAATATGAAAAAATGTTGCTATGCATATAAGTCCCAAAATCCTTCCTAAGAAACTCAGTTTTAAATTAATATCTCCAGAACACTTTGGCTTGCCTACTTAATTAATATTTATTAATCTTTTTATCATGATTAAGGGGTAATTTAATTTTTTCTTTTAATTTTGTCCAAATTGATTGAACATTTTTATTATGGGTCTTTCTGCCTGTTACAATATATGTATTATGTTATATGTATTGTATATTATAAATAGTTTTATAACAAAGTTTATATTTATACAAAAAAAGATAAATGTAAATTCTTCTTACAATTTTTATAAAAATAAAGACTCCTTGTCTCAAGGGTTGCCACTCATCTTAAAAACCTGGAAATGTCAGGGAATTTAAATTATTTAGAAATGTCAGGGAATTGGCAAAAAAATCTACAAACTCAGGGAATTCCTAAGTTGGTCAGGGAATTTGTTATTTATAAATAAAACTGGTCAACAAAACTTTCATTCAAAAAAAAATTGTTAACAAGTGTAATTTAAATTTAATTTATTCACAATATGGCAGCTCTATATGTCAAACTTATCACTATAACCTTAGAAGTCTATATCACGACTTATCACTATAACCTTCTAAGACTATAACCAACTATTTTTATGTTTAGGGTGATTAATATTTTTTTATTTTGTAAATGGTAAGCATAATTAATAAACTAATTAATTAATCAGTAAAAGCATAATTAATAAATTAATCAATAAAAGACTTTGAAAAATCATAGTTCCTGTTGATAAAAAACCGTTTCAAGCCAAATGTTTGAATTGCAAGCAGCCACATAAAAGTGCGGGCCATTAAAAAAGGATTTCGGAAACGAAGAACAGAAGTTTATCAAATTTTCTTTAAAAAAAAGAACCAGATGAAAAATACTACTCTCTAAAAATGAATTGTCATAGCGAAAAAGCAGCCACTAATAATTATGGTCAACAGCAATTTGTATCCCGGATATTTAGCAGTCAATTCCTATGTAAAATTGTCTGCTGAATCCGAATATGTCGTCAAAAGTTATAAAAGTAGGACAGTTTTTAAGATTTATTCAATTTTCCATATAATATGGAATTGATTATATCTCAAAAACTGATGCGGATTCAGGGGACAATTTTACATGCATGCATGAGAATTGGCTGTTAAATGTCCTGGATAATTGGCTGTTAAATGTCCTGGATACAAATTGCTGTGGACTACAGTGATCAGTGACTGCAGTGACTTAGTCAAAAATGACATATTTCAAAGTGAAAAAGCATGCTTTTTCACTATGAAATATGTCATTTTTGACTGATTCTTTTTTAGAGAGTATGCTTGAAAAAGTTACAGTTTTACATGATAATAATATTAATAATAATATTGCTTTAGAAAATAACCAGAATAAATCAATTTTCTTCAATAAAAACTCTTGCTAAAAATGATTTACTGATAAGAACTCAACTTGATAAACAAGACCTGCCGTAGACAAAATTTCAGAGGCATTTTTAAAAATTTCTTTATTTCTGTTACTTTCAGATTGAACAGAAAATTAATGTACCTAATAAAAACCCAAGAAACAAAAACCTAAATTAAAAATTATCCCGAAAAAATTGGCTACAGAAAATTGTTTGTTTTTTTAATAGCTATTTTCGCGGAGTTAATCCCGAACTAATTCCGGACATCCTAGGCATGCGCTTTTTAACATTTGGCGTTCAAATTGTAAAGTGCGCATGACAAATATAAAAATGCGCATGCCTAGGATGTCCGAACAAGTTCGGGATTAGCACCGCGAAAAAACCTAATAAGAAGTATTGATTTTTTGTTAATGTTTTAGAATTTTAAAAACTTCAATAAAAGGTTAGTTTTTTAATTAATCGTTATAACTCTCCACCAAGAGAAAAATAAATTCAAGTATTACATAAGCTTGATTGCTTTAATTTTTTTTGTATATTTTTAATGATAAGCTTTACTTACTTTTGCTGACAAAGGGAAGGGGGGTTAAAAATTACAAAATTACTGCTTACTTGAATGGCCGCATACTTAAAATTTTAAAAACCAAAGTCCAATTGAAAAAATCATTGAGGGTCAGGAAACCAAAAAGAAAATACATTTTGTCTGGAAAAAAATCAGGGAAGGTCAGGGAATTCCTGGAAAAGTCAGGGAATTTGGTTTAGACAAATCAGTGGCAACCCTGTACTCAATTTAATATTCATTTTTGAGTTCCTGTAACTGTTCCAGATGGGAAATTTTTGCTTCCTTTTTGCAGTCCTGTTGCTGATAAATGGTTTTTTAATCAATTTTCTACTCTTGGTCAAACAACGTCACTGTAACTAGTTTTGAGAAATATGCTAAATTAAATAAGGCTGTATGTACAAAATTAAGTTATAAGGGACAAAAGATAATTTTCATTGTTAAAAACATATATTGGGGTTTAGCTTAGCACGGCAGCATAGGACCTTTTTCATATTTTTGCTAGTAACTAGCAAACATGAAAAAAAATATATAGTTTCTTAAGTGTGGAAAAAATTCAGGACTGTTCTACTAGCAGCTAGTAAAACAGTCTTGAATTTTTTTCACACACCCAAGAAACACTATAAATATTTTTTTACTTAATTAAATTATTATTTTAGTGTACTCAAAACATATAAAGTGGGTGCCTATAGGCAACCAAAAAGATAAATTTAAAGAACAAGATGTAAGACCTATACATGATGATATTTTAATAGCTAAAATGAGGCCTGGACACGAATTGGATTTAAAATTATTTGCGACCAAAAGCTGCGGTAAAGATCATGCTAAATTTTCTCCAGTTGGTAAGTTTACTTGCAATAATTGTTTTATTTTATGTTGGTGTTACTGACATAATTCCTACCTTTTATTCCCAACTTATAGTTGTTTTTGTCAACGTTTATATGTTTTCATTCATTCATCACTGTTGATTTAATGGAGTTGGGACATGCAATTTTGGAATCTTGTCTAATATTTTTTATTTTAATTTTTAGCAACTGTTTTCTATAGATTACTCCCAGATATAAAAATAATAAAGGAGGTTGAAGGAGAGGCTGCTGAAAGGTTGGTAAAATGTTTTTCACCAGGTGTGATAAGTATAAGACATGAAAAAGGAAAGAAAACTGCAGTAGTAAATAATGCAAGATATGACACTGGCAGTAGGAATGTTTTTAGATATGAAGATTTAAAAGATGCTGTGGTTATGACTAAAGTACAGGATCATTTCATTTGTAAGTTTAATTCTTAAATTAGTTTTTTGGGAAAACAAACCATTGCTTATTTACTTTTTTTTAGTTTCTATTGAATCAGTTGGAGCCATGCAACCAGACGTGATTTTCAAGGAATCAATAAACTTGCTGAAAAGTAAATGCTTAAGTTTGCTGGAGGACTTGAACGCTAGTTAAAAGAAAAATAGTTATAAACAAATAAAATATTTTTATTGCAATTTGTCAACAATATGTTAAAACATTAAAAAACAAAGAACAATTTGACTATTATTCATTCAATATCCATTAAATCGATTAAAATATTCTTTAAAATTTTTTGGTATAAAACATGTTTTAAACCTTATTATTAAATAAGTCACCTGGTCTGGTAAACCGTCACCTATAGAGAGATTAAGTACTCCAAAATTATAAAATATAGCTTTAAAAGTATATTAAATTTTTCCATAAAAATATTGGGTCTTTTTTAGTTAGTTTTGTGTTATTAAGCATAATAACTGGGCGGCACTGTAAGATCGCTTAAAACCGACAATTCTTCTTCAGTGAACTTCATCTTGTGCATCTCCCAATTGTCATGGTGTGTTCGCTTGAAATCTCCTAGGGTTTTACGAATGGTTGCCTAAAACAATTTTAAATTGAAGGTGTTTGAATCTCAATATTTTGTCTTTTATTCCCATCTAAGATGAACTTACTGGAATGGGTTGAGGGTCGTTTAAATGCGGTCCCAAGTCTCCGAATATCGACGGCATATAGTCAGGTACATCGTAGGGATGCGAGCTAATGTAAGCGCAGAGGCCCAGTACGCCTGCGTGTCTTGTCCTGAGGTTGCCCACTTCCTTACCCTTGCTTGTAACGTTCTTCTTCAGTTTTGTTCTTGCTTTCAACTGGAATTTCGTCTAAAAAAGTTTTAGTATGAGAAAATATACTCTTTAATTTCTGAACCACTTACCAATAGTTCCATAGGTTTTGGCAAAAACTTGCAATGCAATAACCCACTAAGTACTTTAGCTGAGTTTTCCCTTACTTCGGGCTGTACATCTTCAATTAAATCTAATACTAGATTTTCAACCTGAAATAAAAAACAATTCTTGATAATTGCACAATGTTTCAAAATAATGACTGGTATTTTTTTTTAATTTTGTAGTATTTTTTGAAATTTTTTTCCAAATATTTGTCAACATTCTTTTATCATTTCAACATAATTTTGTGTTCAAAAGTGAGAAGACAAATGAAAAAAAAAAAACAAAATTATTCTGGAACGATATTTCTCGCGTGGGATCGAACAAGGGGTAAATAAGGCTATTTTTTTCTGAAGAATTAGTCAAAGCATAATCAAGCATTCTGTTATTATTTCAACATAATTTTACATTTAAAAGTGCAACAACAAATAAAAAAACCAAAATCAAGGTCGAAAATTTACTTTCTCTACGACTACTTAAGAATAGTAACATTCTAGTGTAATTTTTAATCATAGAAAGGATGTTTTTCTGCAATACTGTGCGAGAATATTCCTACTCTTGTTTAAGAATGGTCACAAGTAACGACATCTCCAGGCTGTTTACTAAACGTAAAAAATTTAAAAATATTTAGATATTACTGTATTATTTATTAATTAAAAAATAATAGCAGTTGTATAATTAAGGTTTAGGCACAAAAAAATAGTTATATTTATTGTTTTTCAAATATACAAATCAAAATTATAATAAATTTGATATTAAAATGATAAACCAGTTACCTACTATACCGGCTTTGAAGTTTTGACAGATTCAAAAAGTTATAAAGTTATAAAGTGCTCTTTTAGTTCCACCCTTACATCCAAACTAAGATGTCCCATAAGCCAACTGAATGGCTTGTGCGGGTTAGGGGTAGGAACGGACCGACGGCTTAAAGTCCCCTCCGAAGGACTATACACAATGGACAAACACAAATAAACAACCATACCCAAGTGGGATTCGAACCCACGACCTCTCGGCTCGTACCCAGGAGCTCTGACCACTACACCTCCGAGGCCGGTAAAAGTTTAAAAAAAGACCTTTAAAATGTAGAAAAAGAATAGATGTTGACATAGATTACTTGTAAAATTAGTTTTGTATTTGTTACAATGTTATTTTTTTTATTAGTTAGTGTAAATAACTATTTTTAATTATAATAAAGATTTAGGCATACCATTTGTTTAAATTTATTATAATTTACATTATAAAATTGTGACGGCACAAAATGGTTTGACAATACAAAAAACTTAAATGTCAAAAACTGCTTGGTTTCTTTTCTCTGTTTAAAATTATATAAGCGTTACTATTCTTACGTAGTCGTAGAGAAAATAATGTCTGAAACACGTTTGGAATAGCATATTCCACTCTCGTAAAACCGTCACACTCGCCTTCGGCTCGTGAGTCAAATTTTTCCTCAAGCGGAATATGCTGTATTCCAAACTTGTTACAGAATGTACTATTCTCTACTACTACTTAAGAATAGTAACAGCCAGGAGATGTCGTTACTTGTGACCATTCTTAAACAAGAGTAGGAATATTCTCGCACAGTATTGCAGAAAAACATCCTTTCTATGATCAAAAATTACACTAGAATTCTAGTGTAATTTTTGATCATAGAAAGGATGTTTTTCTGCAATACTGTGCGAGAATATTCCTACTCTTGTTTAAGAATGGTCACAAGTAACGACATCTCCTGGCTGTTTACTAAACGTAAAAAATTTAAAAATATTTAAATATTACTGTATTATTTATTAATTTAAAAATATTAGCAGTTGTATAATTAAGGTTTAGGCACAAAAAATTAGTTATATTTATTGTTTTTCAAATATATAAATCAAAATTATAATAAATTTGATATTAAAATGATAAACCAGTTACCTACTATACCGGCTTTGAAGTTTTGACAGATTCAAAAAGTTTAAAAAAAGACCTTTAAAATGTAGAAAAAGAATAGATGTTGGCATAGATTACTTGTAAAATTAGTTTTGTATTTGTTACAATGTTATTTTTTTTATTAGTTAGTGTAAATAACTATTTTTAATTATAATAAAGATTTAGGCATACCATTTGTTTAAATTTATTATAGGTAATTTACATTATAAAATTGTGACGGCAGAAAATGGTTTGACAATACAAAAAACTTAAATGTCAAAAACTGCTTGGTTTCTTTTCTCTGTTTAAAATTATATAAGCGTTACTATTCTTACGTAGTCGTAGAGAAAATAATGTCTGAAACACGTTTGGAATAGCATATTCCACTCTCGTAAAACCGTCACACTCGCCTTCGGCTCGTGTGTCAAATTTTTCCTCGAGCGGAATATGCTGTATTCCAAACTTGTTACAGAATGTACTATTCTGGGAAAGATAGAAATCGAAAAGATAAGTCCAGTTTGATTTATTTTACGTATAGATTAAGGAAAAAAATAAGCTGCTATCGATAAAAATCCATGGATAAATGGTAATGAATTTTTTAGAGGAAGACCAAAATTTAGTTTTTCGATCATTTTTACTTTTTTTATTTTTTTTTGTATATTTTATTAAAAAATTTAATATTAAGCATTGATTTTTATTTTAAACATTAAATATTGAAATTAAATTATATATTGAATTTTGAAAATTAAAGATATTGAAAGTTTTATTTAGTTGCCATAAGCATGGGTTTAAAAAAATTCTGGTTCCTTTCTTTTTTATTGCTTTTGTATTCCGTGATACCACCGCTCCATAGCCTTCATTTGCTGGTGAAAACGTTCTCCGTGCTCATCACTTACGTAGCCCAGATTATCCGGGTTATTTACGCACTCGAACTCTCTACTTCTTTTACCCATTTTACACTTTTTATTAACTAAATAAAACCATGATAAAAATACCTTGTTGAAATATAAAAAAATAGCAGTAAAATGTCACTTTGCCTACACGAGAAACAAAAGAATTCAAGTTTGTAGTCATGTCAAATTTAAATTTTATATAATGGTTTCGGTTTAAAAAGTACGTAAAAAACTCAAAAAACTCCAATCATGCACTTTACTTAGGTTTTCATAAAAGAATAAACATATTACAAAATAAAATAAAAAAAAATTAAAAATCGTCAAAATCTGTCTTCCACTAAAAAATGCATAACTTCGCCATTTTTCCATGGATTTTTATCAACATTAGCTTGTTTTTTTTTGTAAAAATGCCAGCTTTACGAAAAAAAAATCAAACTGGAGTTATCTGTTTGATTTAAACCTTTCCTAGGATGATACGTAAATTTTCGACCTCAATTTTTGCCATAAAAACGATTTTTTTAAGTTATTAAAATTGCTAGCATCAAAATACTTATCCAATATTAAAAGTATGTAAAAGAAAATTTTAGAGGGCTCAAATACCTTCAATTTAAGAGCTTGTTTGACCAAATCGATGAATTGGATTTCAAGCTATACTCAAAAACGTCAAAACACCTCCGAAAATTAAAAAAAAACAACGCTTCCATAAAAAAAATGAGTGTGGTTTTCGTGTTAAGTGGGTGAAAATACATGGGAAAATAATAATAGAATATGGTGAGCAGAATTTTTTTTCGATTTTGTAAACTAGTGTAATTATTCCTTTTATTTTAATTCAGTAAGAATATTCTACCGGGCCGCAAAAAAAAACATATTCGGTGCTGTATTAACATACAAACTTTAGATTTATTTAACACTTCAATTTATATAACTATAAATTTGTAAATTAACTTTATAAATCATTTATTATTTCTTTATTGGATATTTTAAATGGCCTCATTTTTTACCAAATTTAATTTAACGATTACGTTTATTTTCTTAAAACAATTTAATTTAATTCAATATTTTTTCTGTAATAAAGTATATTTTTATTAATTTAAAATAATGTTAATTTGTTAATTGGTACTTTAAATGTGTATATTTTCCACAAAAAAAATTAATTTTTCCCAAAAAAGCTAATTTTTCCAAGACCTGTAAAAAAACGAAAAAAAAACAGTTTTTTACCCAATTTACACTTTAAAACCCTAGTTTACTACGACAAAAATAATTTATAATAATAATAAATTTTGGTCAGTTCTTGTTCATTTGTCATTTTCATTTCAACAAATGAATGTTATCACGGTAGGTAGAAATCTCTCGATAATTCTACACGGAGTTTATTAATTTATACTTAAAGTATAATTAATATATTTAATTATATTAATATTTAAAGTATAAAAAAAATAAAACAGTGAAAAGTGTATTTTTGGCGATAAATTAAAAAGTAAAAGCTTTGGACATGTCAATAGAAACGATTCTTTTTAAATATTAAGCCGTAGCACCCGGAGTTTTATTATAAACCCGGACGAGCCACCAAAAACCCGCAGACTTCGGGTCAAACCGAAGATCTGGCAACCCTAACTAAAATAGAGACGTGATTTTAGAACTGCGCATCCCTGACGTTCATCTGACAGTCAAAATGCTCGGTAGGAACAGGACCAAGAATAATAACTTCCGAGACCAAAATAATGCGATATAGGTATACTTAATTTAGTTATATCGCATTACTTTGGTCTTGGGAATATGTGGTATTATTTTGGGGTATATTTGTTATGGCTAATGTGCAAACTTGGATGGTTTATAAACTAGCTGGATAGTTTATAAACTAACCAAACTGTCAGCTATTTTAATTGAAAACATATTTTCAACTAAATTAGCGGCTAGTTTACAAAATAACCAAGGATCTTGGCTAATTTACCTGAAATTATTAAAGAAACTAAAATAGCTGGATAGTTTGTATACTATCCAATTCAGTTTGGCTAATATGAAAACCAAAATTTCTAGTAACACAAAATAGCCAAGCTTTAGCCAGTTTGTAAACTAACCAACCAATTCTCTGGCTATTGGCTATTTTGTGTTACTAGAAATTTTGGTTTTCATATTAGCCAAATTGAATTGGATAGTATACAAACTATCCAGCTATTTTAGTTTCCCTAATAATTTCAAGTAAATTAGCCAAGATCCTTGGTTATTTTGTAAACTAGCCGCTAATTTAGTTGAAAATACATTTTCAATTAAAATAGCTGACAGTTTGGCTAATATGAAAACCAAAATTAGTATACAAACTATCCAGCTATTTTAGTTTCCCTAATAATTTCAAGTAAATTAGCCAAGATCCTTGGTTATTTTGTAAACTAGCCGCTAATTTAGTTGAAAATACATTTTCAATTAAAATAGCTGACAGTTTGGCTAATATGAAAACCAAAATTTCTAGTAACACAAAATAGCCAAGCTTTAGCCAGTTTGTAAACTAACCAACCAATTCTCTGGCTATTGGCTATTTTGTGTTACTAGAAATTTTGGTTTTCATATTAGCCAAATTGAATTGGATAGTATACAAACTATCCAGCTATTTTAGTTTCCCTAATAATTTCAAGTAAATTAGCCAAGATCCTTGGTTATTTTGTAAACTAGCCGCTAATTTAGTTGAAAATACATTTTCAATTAAAATAGCTGACAGTTTGGCTAGTTTATAAACTATCCAAGTTTGCACATTAGCCGAAACATATTGATTAATTTTCAAAATAAAATTTTTACTCATCCATCGGATTTTTAGTAAAATCGTGCGCAAGCGACATACGACACGCTATAACCAACATTGCACTTATTTAATATAAACAATGCATTCATATACTTGTTTTCTTACCTCAGTCACCCAGTGCTGGTTGGCATGGAACGACGGCATGTTGTAGAAGACGAAGACTGACAGGAACTCTGCCATTACGGCGCGCGCAGACCAAAAAGGACTTTTGGCGACGCGCTTGATGGCCTCGAGGGCGTGCGGGATGTTTTTCGGCACGCTCATCGCCTGCGCGAGCACCACCAGCAGGTTGACGCTGCACGGAGCGATTTCTTCGTCGGTGTCGTTGCTCTGGAGCACTGATGCCAGAGGTAGGAGATCGAAGAACTCTGGGAGGGTGGAGACGTTCATTCGGACGACGCTTTGAGTTATGTAGCGAGATACTTAAAAGAAGGGATACATTATTTTAAACTATTATATTCCAAAAAATAGGACAGAAAAAGAAAAACTTAAGGAGAGTAAAATATAGGCAAATGTTAATTAATAAAAAAAAAGAAAAATTTAAAAAATTTAAAAAAAAATGTTTCAACTGATTTGTAGAAAACTTGGGTTTTTAAAAGAAAGACTTAACATGTGGTTGAAAGTAAAATAGTATATTATGTATCAAGTTTGATAAACGCCATTTTATACACGAATTTAATTTAGACACGAGCGAGCTTGCGAGCTAGTGCTTAAATTAATGAGTGCATAGAAAAGTTTATAAACGAGGTGCATACTATACTTTTTCTACGACAAATACTTATTATTATCTTAAAATGATTTAAATCAAATATTTGTATAGTCACCGTCAAATGTCAAATTTTTATATTTTATAAAAACAGATTATAAAGGTTATTAGGTATAGAACGATATCACTTTTTTTTGCCGATACGATATATCGGCCGATACCGATATTTACGTGCCGATATACCGATATATCGTATCGGCAAACATAATGCCATCTATTTATACACAACCGAAGCAAAAATCGGGGAAGTCCCGTTTTAATTCCGTTGCGAGGAAACGTTTGTGATTGGTAGTGAGTGACATTTCGTATTTCTGGGAAGCCCCTTATACAGTGTGTATTAAAACGAATAGATACACTTAAATAAAACAAGTGCCAAACCCCGCCCACTGTGGTAGGGATTGAGAATTTATAGGTTTTATTTTTATCGAATTAATTGGTTTTGTTTTGATGCATTTCTGCAAATAAAAACTAAGTATTGTTTAAAATCCATTAAATTCCAGTTAATGGCGAAAATGTATTTCTTAAAAACTATACACATTTCCCTACGACAGCGTCGGAACTACTGAACAAACACAGTAGATCAAACTGCATGCCGCGCTGTTGCCATATGCTATTATTGTTTCCTAAAAGGGTTGTTTTTCTTATTTTTTAATATTAAAAGTAAGAAAATTTTTATTTTGTTTAATAAAGTATTTCATTTATGCACTATAGAGTGAAAAGCGCAATTTTTTTTTGCCGATATATCGGCAATTATCTTGCCGATACGATACGATACCGATAATCTAAAACAATTGCCGATATGCCGATATACCGATATCAATATCGGTATCGTTCTATCCCTAAAGGTTATAAATCGAAATGTATTCCTTGAAAATTGACAGTTTTTCACAGTGAAAGTAAAGAAAATGTTTTATGAGCACTTTACAGTGGAGTCCGTGCCAGAATTTAAGTTATAGTTTACTGCCAGCTAAATTAAAAGTTCAGTACAATGTTCATATAAACTTTTCAAATATTGGTGTTGAGAAACTATTTACTACTTTGTATTTTTGTATTGAGATAATAAAATAACTTTCACATTTAGACTAAATGATTTAGTATTATTTTACAAGGAAGGCACTTTATTTTAACCATTTTATGATATTTGACAACTGTCAACTAACTTAAAACTAACTTCAGACCGTGACTAAAAACCTGTTGCTAACTTCAGCCCGTGACTAAAATGTCCAAAAGCCACTGTTGTTAACTTCAGCCTGTGACCAAAACGCCAAGTCGCAGCTTATCAATGGGGGAGTAGATAAAATGTTTTAAGCCTATCACATGGTAAAAAAACTTTTTGTAAAACTAAATTAAAATTATTTGCCCCTTCCAAAGTTAAATTTTACTCTATAAACCAGCAGCTAAAAAACAAGGTAAGTGTTTTTTTGGCTCTCAATATGGAAAGATCTCATATATAAACTCCTTGAAAGCGATGTTTTAAGCTCAGTTTAATTAAAAAAGGTCATAAAAAGTTATGAACAGGCTATGACCATAAAATTTATAAATTGAAAAAAAATTCTCAAAATATTTGAAAATAAATTAAAAACTTTTAAAACCAAAGATCGTTAGAAACTGTTATTCCTGGAAATATGGAAACAAAGTAATCATGTAAAATTTCAATATGGCGGCCATAGGATAAACAAAAGATGGTGTTAGTATCTCTTAATCCAAATTGGATGAAAATTTGGATAAATATGTATGCTTACAAGTAAAATTCCCAGAAATAACGATTTTTGGTTTTAACAGGTTTGCAATTTTTTTCAAATTATTTGAAAACCGCTGATTTTCTTTCCAATTTTTAATTGTTATTTTAATAGATTTGTCATTAGGCAACTTTTGTCTAATTTAACTGACCTTGTAGCTCTTCAAATAAAAAAAGATACCCATACAAAGGATACTTGGTGCAAACTGTATATATACATGGTGTCCCGAAAATAGTTTGCAATAATCTACATGCAGTTTTTACAGCAAAAAATAGGAAGAAAACTTTATATGTCCGCAAATGGCCCGTAAGGAACCTAAAAAGCCCCTGAAGATGTTTTATTATTACTATTTCTAAAACGGTTTAAGATATAATAACGTATTTTCTGGAAATTGTTTTTTTTTATTAATATTAAATTGAAAAAAAAGAAAGACATTTTTTTTTTTCATTTGTTATTTTGTTTCTATTTAAAAATGGAGCATTTTATCGACGTTAAACGTAGAAAACTACAGCTAATATGCAGCTAACTTGCAAAAAAATTGCACAAAAAAGTTGGAGCTAAAAATACCCTTGGCGCACCAGTTTAATAAACTTATAAATAAAAAAATTAATTTTATTGTTATTTTTAAATTTAGCATAAAAATATAAGTATGCATACAAAATTTCTTTATTTTATCTTAACTGTTTCGGAAATAATAATAAAAAAACATTTAAGAGACTGCAGCTCCCTTAGGGGCCGTTTGCCGACCTATGTTTACAAGATTTCTTCCTATTTTTGTCTTAAGGTAGTTGTCGTGCTGTAAGCATACCATCAGAAAATTTTTTGACCGTCTATAACCGGAGATAAATTCAATTAAAAATTGGATAATTAACATGGATTGTATAGGCTTTCTGTAGTTCTGTACCAGTTTGACCGTCCAATTGTTTATAAATAACCGTTTAAAGTTCAACAATTTGTAAAAAGTATACATCACTAGTGTCAGATAAAAACAACTTGGCAAGGCTGTACGCGAGTATAGATATTATTTCCGCAGTAAATTCAAACGGACTGATTCAGTCCCCAATATATCTATTGGTTGAGCATAAGCGACGTTGCCGGATTAAAACTTATGAAAATATTTGAAAGTATTACGTAAAGGTAACGACTCCAGGGTACAGTCTTGCGAACAAATTATGAATCACTTAGGTACAAGCTCGTATACTTTTACCTTCTAAGACTTTTACGGTGCGTTTAATCTAAAAATTGTTGACAACATTGTACCACGACAACTACCTTAACCACGTGTATAGTATTTTTGTAGTACTTTTTGTATTAATACGAATTATCTACTAAAAATCAACAAAACTTAAGACTTTTGCGGGCTTTCTTGTTTTAATAAAAAAACAGTTTTTTTTTAATTTTCCCTAAAAAACCACCCTGAAAAAAATTAACCAAAACTTTAACTTACCAATTTTAAACAATCTAAAGGCGTTCTCTCTTTCTTCATCCGATGTAATTTCGACAAGCGCCAATTTTTCACAGGTTTTTTCAACGTCATTCCTATTGCCGTTAGTGTTAACTTTTTGCAACAAATGCCCGTACAACCTGTCCAGCTGCGGCATCACCTCGCCGAAAAACTCGCTCACCAACGGACCTTTCGTCCTGTTTCCCTCCGGGAACGTGATATCGGTGCTCAAGACCAAACAGAGCAGCATGCTGATGCGGTCGCGAATGTTTTGGAACGGGTGCGACAGGTGGTTTTTGAAATAATCGAACAGGCGTCGGTGCAACTCGATGTTGCGCCAGTGTTGCTGGTTTAGAGCTATGAAAAGCATTTGTAAGCGGGCGCTACCTATGAAAGATGTGGGGTTTTTCAGCGGGTCGTCCAGCAGGTGCTCCAAAATCCAATGATTTCTATAAAAAAAAAACATAGAAAGTTTTACGACATTTATTTATTTGAGATAATTTAAGGACACTACTAGATAGTTCTTTTTTGTCATGTATTTTTTTATATACAGTGAGACCCATTTATTTGCGACTCACCCCTGAGTCAAACCACGTCAAGTGGGACCAGAAAATTTCACGAAATCACCGATTTTGAAAATAATCACATTATTGTGTAGTAGGCATGACTCATATGTCACAGTAAAAAAATTGTTTTAAAATTCGTTTTTTTGGTAATGTTATTAAGGTTGACAATTTTGTCAAACTTTAGAGCACGGTAAAATTGAAAAAATAGAATCTCCACTATGTATAATTGAATTAAATTTTACACACTATTGTAGAAATGTTTCGACTATATAATGATCATTTAATTAAGGTTAATTTTTTTAAATAAAATAATTTTGCATACATTTATTATAAACAATTGAAATTTTGTATGCGCTGAAAAAAAAAATCTTGTGTCGTAATATGCTGCAAACGTTCCCGTTTAATAAAATGTACTCAAAAATTTGTCCTTCATATGTCATTCCGGAGATATTAAATTTTTTGTCCCGCTGTGCGCTTGATCAGTACGCGGCGCGCTTCGCTGCTAGCTCGTCAGGACACGGTGTGCCTGGACGAAGTTTAAGTCGCATAAAAATTCCGCAGTTTCTTGTTCGGGACTCTTTGGTGACTTAAAAATAATATTTACCAAAATCCTAGCTGCTCCCCTTTTCGAAACATTTTGAAAAATCTTTTTTATGCATTATGCGTTTTACTATATAAAAAAGTGATTTTTGTCTAACCCTGTATAAATCTAATGATGTGCTCAGTATAAAAACAGTTTCTCTCGTTTACAATATCGGTGTACAAATGTGTACTCTGGCAAAGGTAGACTTTGCGATAAACAAATAATTTAAAAAAATTAATTTTTTACAAATTTAAACAAAAAACAGTTAAAATTTTGGTAAATATCTTTTTTAAATCACCAAAGAGTGCCGATCAAAAAACTTCAACCAATTTTTCGTTCAAAATTGAAAACTACTAAAAGGCCTAAATTAAACAACATTTTAAATACCTACTCTCTAAGCGTTATTTTATTAAATTTTATTACAAATCTATTTTTCTTGTAAAATGTTAATAAAAATGCAATTTTGTAACCTAATAGACGTAGAAATATCTAAAAAAAAAAAATTGGGGATAAATATTTTTCGCGTGTTATGCTATAAGTAATCATGAATTTACGCTTTTGCATTATTAAAAATAAGTGATTTTTGGCTAACCCTGTATATACAAATGATGTGAACAATATTAAAAAGTATTCTCTAAGTCTCCTAAATAATTTACTCTAATTTTATAAAAATCGGTGTGCAAATGTGTACTCTGTCAAAGAGATAAACAAAAATTTAAAAAAAAATCATGAATTTTCGAACAATTTTGAAAAGAGGAGCAGCTAGAACTTTGGTAAATATCATTTTTAAGTCACCAAAGGGTCCCGAACAAGAAACTACAATCAGTTTTTGGCGGCATTTTTATGTGACTTAAACTATGTTCAGGCACACCGTTAAAACGTTAGAACGGACGAGCTAGAAACGAAGCGCGCCGCGTACTGATCAAGCGCACAGCGGGACAAAAAAATTAATATCTCCGGAATGACATAGGAAAGACAAATTTTTGAGTACATCTTATTAAACGGAAACGTTTGCCGCATATTATGACACAAGCTTAATTTTTTTCAGCGTGAAGAACACATACAAAATTTCAATTGTTTATAATAAATGTATGCAAAATTATTTTATTTAAACAAATTAACCGTAATTAAATGATCATTATATAGTCTAAACATTTCTACAATAGTGTGTAAAATTTAATTCAATTATAAATAGTGGTTCCAGAGATTCTATTTTTTCAATTTTACCGTGCTCTAAAGTTTGACAAAATTGTCAACCTTAATAACATTACCAAAAAAACGAATTTTAAAACAATTTTTTTACTGTGACATATGAGTCATGCCTACTACACAATAATGTGATTGTCCCACTTGACGTGGTTTGACTCCCCTGTAAAATCTTTATTTATTGTGCGATTTTAATCGGATTTGTTTTAAAGTGTAGATCTTGATAAACTGTATTTTTGGAGCAAAAACGCCATATTTGTACAAAATTTAAGACCTACTATGTCAGTTTTTAAGAGTAAATTTTTAAAAATTCATATTAGCGATTTTTTTAAACAAAATCCAAGCACGGCACTGGATTCACTACCCCTCAAAACGACCCTATACTAAATTTTATTGAAAAATTTTATGTACAAAAATGCACAATAATAACAACAAAAATTTATTTTGTCAAGTTATCCAGGAAAAAACATTGAAATAAAATTAAACTAATAGTAACATGGTACTATTACTATAAGTTTAATTTTATTTCAATGTTTTTTTCATGGATAACTTGACAGAATAAATTTTTGTTGTTATTATTGTGCATTTTTCTACTTAAAATTTTTCAATAAAATTCAGTATAGGGTCGTTTTGAGGGGTGCTTAGATTTTGTTTAAAAAAATCGCTAATATGAAATCTAAAAAATTTACACTTAGAAACTTACATAGTAGGCCTTGTATTTTGTACAAATATGGCCTTTTTTGCTTCAAAAATAGTTTATCAAGATCTACACTTTAAAACAAATCGCACAATAAATAAAGATTTTACAGGGGTGAGTCGCAAACAAATGGGTCACACTGTATAACTTTAGAAAAAGTTAGAAGAACAATAGTGATATCCATTTTATAATTATTTATTGTTCTTATAACTTTTTAAAAGCTTGCAGAACATTTTCTTTGTTTAAAAAAAAGAGCATTAAATGTTTAATTAGTGCTATTAATTAGCATTTTATTAGCACATAAATTTGGAAATATAACATTTGCGTTCAGCTAATTTTGCTCTGCAGTTAGATTTTGAGACATTTTTAAGGCGAATTTAGGAAAGCTTTAAGATTTTTATGAACTTCAAAACAGTTTTTGTAGATTTAAGACAGTTTCAAGACAGAATTAGATTTTTATTCTTATCTTTTTTATGTGGAACATAATTTTTAGGAGAGTTTCTAAGAATTCTGGATATCTTTAGACAGCTTGAGAAATATTTTAGAAGATTTAAAAAAGTTTTAAGACAGGATTTAAACTTTATCTCATGCAATTTTAAAAAATCGGTTGTAAGACAGTTCCAAGAAAGTTTTAAAAAGTTATATAAAAGTTGAAGTTATGTAGTTGTGTGAATGTTGATGAACACTAAACTTTTTATTCACCCCTAAGTATTTAGATCCGGCGATCTTGGCGGCCACGACTTCACGCCTGGTTGAACAACTGTTCATTCAAAATTTTTACTTTGTCCACTATTCAGGCATCTTAAGAAAGTTTAAGACAAACTTGGGAAAGATTTTAGACAATTCCAAGGTTTAAATTTTTTGGTCTTGCCTTTTTCATAAAAACCAAGATATTTTAGACCGATTTAGAACAACTTCAGGCGGTTTCAGGACCCTTGGGACAATTTAAGTTCCAAGGCGAATTTAGAACATGTTTAAATGATTTTTAGTGTGGTTGCCTTTATTATATAAAAAAAGGATTTTTCGTACCTTTTCGGATCTCTCCATTCCAACGCCATGGTGAAACAAATGCTCCAATCATTGACAGCTTCGCTACTGATATTTGCAAACACGGTGTTTACGAGAGGGATCAAGGATTTCCATAGATTTTCAGATTTTTCGTAGTTCCAATGTTTCGCACCCTTGATAATGCCCGCTATTAATTCTGAAGCGCATCTCTGACTGGATTCCTGCTTGTCCGATACCAATTTTACGATGTGAGGTAGAAAATGTGGCAGTAAGGCGTCTTCATACATTTTGAATAAGTTCTGCAAGTGAAGAGGAATTAAATAACTTGCATATTATAGATTTACATTTAGGTTTACCTTGTAGACCAAATATCTGTAAGCATTGAACTGATCATGCCCCTTCTTCTCTTCCAAAGACATGTATTTTATTAATTCAGCTATATTTTCTTCATTAGTAAAAAAGTTATAAATTTCTTTCTCTGTATCGTTCATGTTATCTAATCTTTTATAAACTGTGGGTTGTTCATCATAGGGGGCGTATACTTCCATCTTATTTGGCCATGCATAGTACCCTGCATACACATCATGAACATACCTACAATAAATACTTTAATAGAAAAATGTTTCATAGAAAAATATATTTTACCTGTGTTCATTCCATTCACTCTCATTCTTGGGAATTTTCGAGCTTGAATATAACAACCATTCATTATCGCTTCTATATCCAGGTACAATTTTTTTACCCCCGCCATTTTCGGCAGAAAATTTAAATGGGTCTATCGGTACTTTTTTAAATTTCGGTTTATTTTGCACTGTGATGAAAACCAACACTCTCATTGCGGATTTACGAACTTTTATGGAATCGCTGATGGTGCATTTTAGGAAATATTTGACTATACGCGAGTTGTACTTAACGTCAAAGTGAACCAGGTCTCTCATAAAGTTTAAGGCCATCATGTGGTAACGCCAATGACTAAAATTTTATAAAGCTATAATTATTATTATTACATTATTAATATATTGAACATTTATTTATCTTGTTCTGTAATTGTATTTTCATTTTTGGTGTAAACATCTGAAGAATCAGAGCAGCATTCGGTTATTAAGAGAAGGGAATAATTCGATACAGTGACGACCTTGTCTCTAATGATTTGCCCACTCTCTGGCGCTGGGTAATAGTTGTGTACTCAGATATGCATTTTTAAAACGCATCGCGTTATTATTAGGTTTACTTTTAAAAATGATTCAGATACTTAAAATTTAACAGTAAATTATTAATTTAAAATCAATATTTGTTTTGCATTTAACTACTTAAAGGATGTTTTCCTATTAAAACGTTTAAACATTAAACAATTCTACGTTCACGAGAATTGATTTATGTTTAAACCGAGGTTTAAACGATATTGTTTTTCTTTTTTTTTGTTTCATAATATATGTGTTTACCGGCTGAAGGACCGCGGTCAATAGCCAATTGAAAAAATTGTTTTTATTTTTTGCAATAAAGTTCATTTATTATTAATGAAATTCACACTTCAAAGTCCCATGGGACTATGGTGCACCACGTGACTTTGATACAAATAATTAAGGTTAATTTTCTGTCAGTGTCAAGCTTTTTTCGCCCTATATTCTGGAAATATTTCTGGGAATATAACATTTTTTCTGTATAAAGGTCTTAAGTTAGGACATAAAAATCCCGTATTGCAAAATCCATATATGTATTTTTTCTGTATAAAGGTCTTAACTTAGGACACAAAAATCCCGTATTGCAAAATCCACACAATAAGTTCAGTCCTATCTCGTTTCGCCATACTAAAAATCACGAAGTTAGGCAATCCACTGCACAGACTCTAACGGCGGCCATTTTTATGTTGTTTATAATTCTTGTGATTTGGGTTTGTGCTGTTTGTACAGATTAAAAATCGTTTTAAACGTTGTATGATTAGTGGAAATGTTAAAGATATTGCTAAAAACAATGTTAATTAATAAATTAATTTAAAATTAATTCTAGTTTAAAAATCTTTGCTTTTGGGGGTGAAGCCATAACCTTGGTTATGCTTGTTTATGTATGACTGTTGACGCTACATTTCAGCGTCAAATTTTTGATCATGTGACAGTTAAAGGCTAAAAACTAGATTTCAGCTTTAACATGAAATGGGGACTTAAATCCCACCACGTGACTGAAATTTCCTATTTTCTGAAAACGATGCTATATACACTGCGTGTCTCTAAAACGCCTTTACCAATCTTTATAAAATTTTGGATAAAATTACTTTAACTAGTTTACGTGTTTAACGGTTTTTCGAGAAAATATCCCTAAAGCCTTTTTATTTAATAATAAAAAACGCTCGAAAAAAAACTTTTACAGGGATATTTTTTTTGAAGTAAATAAAAATTATGCTGTGAACGACCGTATTTTTGTTAGTATTCCCTGAAAATGTTGTACAAATCAAACGAACAGTAACGAAAATACAGCGCTTCAAAGTCGTCAAAAATGACCACTTCAGTAAAATAATCAAAACAGGGTAATTTTTACCGACTTTGAAGCGCTGTATCTTCGTTACTGTTCGTTTGATTTGTACAAAATTTTCAGATTATACTAACAACATATTTTTTATTTACTTAAAAAATCCCTAAAAAATATTTTTAAACGTTTTTTTATTATTAAATAAAAGGGCTTTAAAAATATGTTTACGAAAAACCAACGAAAACGTAAACTGAGATATAAGGCGCAGTGTATGTATTTTTTGTGTGTAATTTAGAACATAAATAATACACATATTGTATTATTTTTGGAAAATAAGACGAAATTAGCTCGACACTGACAGAAAATTTAATTATTTCTATCAAAGTCACTTGGTGGGACTGATGTGTGGAGCATAGTACTATTAATGTAGAATTGCCCATATACTTTCAATTGGAGCATTTTGTGGCCCAAATTCATTGACCACGGCTTTTTTAATGGTTTTAATATGCTTTTGTGTACTTAACTCTTTTGCAAATTTGTTGCTTGAATCCCTTGATTTCCTCAGAGACAATATTAGACAGAACTTGGATTATTTGGTGAAGCACAAATTAAGTAATAAATACAATTTTAATCTACTTACAGATTTCCATTTTCACAAGCGTCCAAAAGCGAATTCAGCAAGGTATCATAAGCCAACCTTCTTTGATCCGACTTACTTTGTAAATATTGCTTGCTATTGTCAATGGCATTTTTAAAATTATCGCCTATTGTCACCTTTGGTTCAGCGTTACAAAAACTTAAAGCTGCCTCAATGCAACTGTCTGGTATTATTAGTTTTATTGCTATTGTTGGAAAGAACCTTAAAAATAAACAAACGTTTTATAATCAGCAATAGAATTTTCGGCAATATTTACCTATGCACGCTGTCGCCGATACCGCCAATCAAATTTATGATCGAAACTTTTTCCGATGGTTTACTTTTGACGATCGCAGGCCACAAATCCCGAATCAACTCCCAATCGTGGCGCGCCGCGATCGGCGAAATCTTCGGGCCAATCAGAACGTAGAGGCAGCCCTTGAAAGCCTCGTGATTGGCCGCGGAGTCCGTGCCAAGTATCTCGACTATTTTCGGCTTGAGCAGAGTGTAGGAGTAGGGAAATAGAGACACCACTGAGAGCAGCTTCGATTGCGCATACATTCTAACCTGGAAATAAAGTTTTTAGTGCGTACAAGTATGGATTATTTGGTGTTTTCTTACTTCGCTGTAACGCGAGACGGACAGTTCGAATAAATCCAACATGATTTGTTTGTGGGTGGCGCTGAACGAGCAGTTGCGGCTTTCTATGCGAAATTCTTGGTGCAATAGGGCTCTATCGATTAAAACGTGCCTTAAATGAAGTTTGTTTTGGATAAGGCGATCTTCCAGCATTTTTTTGCTTAGGTGGAAGTTTTTCCAGTGCATCTCAAAATCGTGGCCGTTACTTTTGTTGAATAAAATTATATTGTAAATCTGTATTAGGTTTCTTAAGCTTTTAGTATCGCCCTCGTCAGTTTCTAGGATTTTTTTCTGCAGTTTGTGCAGAGTGTCACTAACAACTTTTCTAACATTTCTACCATCAGGCATGGTAACTATATGTGGGCCAGATACCTTCATATTGAAAGCCCAAGGTTCCAAAACTGAATCAACTCTATAAAGAAAATTTAATGTTTAAGAGAATACAACTTAGATTAAACAGTGCACGGTGGACTAGAATCGGGGAAAAGCTGCCAAAACACAATTTAGACTGTTTGCAATTGAGCACATCTAAATTGATTTTCTTACAGAAAAGCCATTGAATTTTTAGGTGGTTGTTAAAATTTAAAAAATGGCACTATACTAATAAAAAAGTTATAGAGCCTTAAAGTTGACCAAATTTAGAATATAATAAAATATCATTTTTTCTATAACAGTATCAAGTTTGGTTAACACCATTTTTATCACGAATTGCACACTATACTTTTTCTACAACAAAAACTTATTATATTATCAAAAAATGATTTAGATTAAATATTTGTATAGAGCGACATCTATTAAAAAATAATATAACAATTTCTAACTGTATTACCGGCGCGCCAGTCAAAATGTCAAATTTGTATGTGTAAATCGAAGTTTATCCCTTGAAAATGGACTAACAACCCATGGAGCATATATGAACTTTATATATACAAAAATCTTCCTAAGATAAGAGGGCGCTGGTGTTCCGTTGATTGTTGATTTGTACCGAAACGCTACCAAAACAGCAGACGTCAGTACGCGTCGACAATCAGCGCCGCTGGTGGTGAAAAAACAAGACTTAATTTATGCAATTTAGTGTGCAGGTTTTGTCAATTTCTTCTATTAAGTTCAATCTCCTTATGTAGGCTCCATGTAACAACCGTTTAAATGATGATATAGAAGCAGTTTTTCACAGTGAAAGTAAAGAGAATGGTTTATGGGTAATACCCGGTGGTGTCTCCACCCGATACTTTTAATGCTTTCAGTTAAATCTAGTTTCCTGCTGGCAAAATCAAAAGGTCAATACAAACTTGCATATAAACTTTTCAAATAGGTATTGGCGTTAATAAACTCGTATTTTATACTTTTTCACAAAAAGGGCACTTTATTTTAACGATTGTATGACATTTGACAACTGTCAACTAACTTAAAAGTAACTTCAGCCCGTGACTAAAAACCTGTTGCCAACTTTAGCCCGTGACTAAAACACCATAAATCCATAACATGTCAATGTGTATTTTAATGATCACTTAGTGTCAAGGAACATGTACAATATTGGGCGTTTTAAAAGTGGAAGTAGAAAAAAATATTTAAGTTTAAATAGCTGGAACTTTAAGACAAATCGATTTTTTAATATATTTTTTCTACTCCCACCTTAAAACGCCCAATATTATACATATGTATATGTTTAAAGGTGGGAGTAGAAAAAATATGCTTCCAACACACTAAGTGACCTTTTAAATAAACATTGACAAATTGTGGCTTTATGACGTTTTAGTCACGGGCTGAAGTTAGCTTTAAGTTGACAGTTGTCTAATGACATACAATAGTAAAAATAAAGTGCCCTCCTTGTAAAATAATACTTAATGTAAAAATTATTTTATTATTGCAATAAAAAAATATAAAGGATTAAATAGTTTCTAAACGTCAAAATTTGAAGTTTGAAGTTTATATGAACAATGTATTAACCTGTTAATTTTGCCGGCAGTCAACTAGATATAACTTAAATTCGGGCGCGGACTCCACCGTAAAGTGCTCATAAAACATTTTCTTTACTTTTACTGTGAAAAACTGTTGTTAATCCATTTTCAAGGGGTAAATTTCGATTTATAAAACATACAAATTTGACATTTGATGGTAACAGATCCCCTATTGTTTTATAGATGTCGCTCTTTATAAATATTTAATTTAAATCATTTTTAGATAATAAGTATTTGTCATAGAAAAAGTACTTTATCTACTAATAATTTTGTAGTTGAACAATAAACATTAACAAACAAGTTATTAATTCACAATATTACTTTAACTTTAAATAGAAATTATTTAAGTTTTGTAGGCCAAAATATTAATCTATTTATTATTTTATCATTTAAAATTTTAAAAAATAACAAACAAGAGGTTTATTAATAATAATGTGAAGTCAACAGGATATTGATATTTGATTTATTTTTAAATTATAATACTTAAAAGTATTATAATTATTATGTTATTTTAAATAGTTTTTACAGTAATTTAATTTCAACTTCCTTTAACAAGATTTTAATCACTTTAAGGTTTATGAAATCGCCGCTACTGATTAAATTAAATTTAAATTTGTACAGAATTAAAACTATTAATATATGAAACTAGTCCTAAATATTTATGAGGAAATTTTTAAATTTAATTAAATTTTTAACTCATGTTGACAAAATTTTAATCGTTTAAACCCTTATAAAATCGCCGGCACGAGACAATTAAATTAAAATTTGAACAGGACCAAGGTTAATACCACAAAAATATGGTGTTCAAATTTTATGATATTTTTGTTAGTTTTTTTTAATATAAGATACAAAATTACTTACAGATGTTCTGCTGGTTCCTCCCATATGGGTAAAACGAAATGACACGAAAGAATCGAGTTGACAATTTTCAGCGTCCTTTTCAATTCCTGTCTAGTTAGAGTTACTTCACTGCTGGAATGTTTGTCAAGTTTTTCCAACTCCGGGATCAGATATTTGTTGAGCAATTTTTGTACTAGAGCAATTTCCTTATCGCCGGGAACGTACCACTCGATTTTAAGGTCTTTCATTGGCTGAGGACGACCCCACTCCCTAAAAAAATGTTTATTACTAAATGTTTTTTTTTTAATTATTCAATTACCTTATAGAAAGAAAATCTTTAACATGCGTCCCATAATGAACTGGACTACTTTTAGCGTCCACTGGTAAAATATAAGTTAAACTAAACATAATCAAGTCTAATAATCTCGCCGCTAGAGGGCTCGCCTTCTCGCTAGTCATATGTAAAGTTCTATCCAATATCGGAATAATATCGTCAATATAATTCAAAATCTCACTACGCCCATTGAATAACTAGAATAAATAAAAACAATCTTAAATATAGAAAAAATAACCCAAAAAATAATATGTTTACCTCTGAAAGTAAGCAAAGATTGTACAAAAGCTCGTCGTCAATGTTTTCTTCATTCTGCACGTTGGAATTTTCGTTAAACAATTCATTTATTCTGTCGCACAAATGTGGCACAAATAATTTAAGAGTTTCCTTTGGATTTACCCTGGCAAAACAGTGGCACGCCACTGCTAGCATGCGGCCTGATATGTAGATTTCCATAATTTTGTCCCTTGTGAAGTTGTAGATTTTCTTTAGAGCAGCCTATAAGGAAATATTAAATATTAGAGAAAACCGATGTTTTTTCAAAAATTAATACATTCTAATATTACCATTCTAAACGTTATAAAAATATTTTTTATTAACACTTTAAGGCGTTTTAGCCACGGGCTGTAGTTGCAGTTGTCAAATGTCATACAATCGCCAAAATAAAGCGACTAGAAAATGTTAGAACAGTCTGAGAGAAAAAATATTTAATTTTTTTGTTCGTCGTAGAAAAAATATACTATGCAACTCATTTTATAAACTTCTCTAGACACTCATGACTAAAACTTGTTACATAATATACTATTATCTACTCCTACATTGACAAGCTGTGTATTGCATATTATTGATATTTGTTTTTTCGTGTATAATGGTAATAATACTCATTATTCACGTTATTAGGCATCAGTGATTGGCCGATTTTAATATTCACTGTAATTTGAACCAATCGGTATTTTAAATTGGAAAAAAGTGAGGTTGGAACAGACCAACAGATGTCAATTTTTTTTTGCTGTGACTAGAGGCACGCTAACGTGCCGCGATTCGAAATGTTAAAGGCACCTTAGTTACGTCATAATTATTTTACGTCATAATTTTAAGATTTTATGTTACGATAAAACTAAAACAAAGCCACCAAACTAATCAAACCAACCAACCCAACCCAACACTTTTTAACAAAGGAACAAAAATTTTTGAAATAAAAAAATAAAAAAAGTTCGACAACTTCTAGTAGATTTTGTTACGATAAATCAAAAACAAACCAACCAAACCAAAGAAACCCAACCCAACAATTTTTAACAAAGAAACAACAAATTTATGAAATAAAAAAATAAAAAAAGTTCAACAACTTCTGAGTATCGAACCCGGTACCTCTAGCATGCCAAGCGACCGCCCTACCATCTGAGCTATCTAGCTTGACATCAATTTTATAACGCTCGGGGAACAAAAACGGATTATTATTATTATGACGTAACTAACGTGCCTTTAACATTTAGAATCGCAGCACGTTAGCGTGCTTCTAGTCACAGCGTTTTTTATATAAACGAGGGGCGACTATAATGTTCTTTAAAATCGAGAGAAAGTGAGGTTATAATAATCTGTTGTTAATAAAAATTACTTAATTGGACTAGATGTCAGATGTCTGTTAAAATTTCGAATAAAATTGCCTTTAGATTCTTTGTGGTTGTGAGATTCCACTCGCGTGTTAACTCACTTGCTACGCTCGAGGAATCTCCACTTTCTCATATACTATTATTCAAATCCAATTTTATTTCTTAACTAACTGGTCAGCGAAATTTTACTTTTCCCACTAGTGAGCAAAATAGCATTTCACCCACGAGCTGACATTGGCTCCAAGTAAAAAAGTGAGGTTTAAACTAATTAACAGTTGTCAGATGTCAGATAAAATATCAAATAAAATTGGCTTTAAATTCTTTGTGGTTGTTGAATAAAATATTGTGTGCTCGCTACGTTCATAGGCTGAAGTTAGCTTTAAGTTAAAATTAAAAAAAAGTGAGGTTAGAACTGTCTGCCAGGTGTAAGATTTGTAAAAAGTAAGGTTATAACTGTCTGACAAATTCCACATGTCAGATACAATGTCAAATAAAATTGGCCTTAAATTCTGTAAATTACTGTGTTCGTCGACGATGATTCGTCGTAGATAAAGTATGCGCATACAATGGTATGCAATTCGTTTTATAAACTTTTTACTCCTATTACGGAATATGACCGTTCTAATATAACTTTATAATATGGAATGACATTTATTCCTGAAAGTATTACAGAATGAATTATTCCATCATTGAATGACAGAATAAACACTGGTGGCGACATCTCTAACAAATTTAAGCCGATCCAACCTCACTTTTTAGATAATACACTAATTTTCTACTCCCATACTTCAATTCGGTTATTAGACGTTTCCTACCTGTACCATAATGAGATCCATTATAATACACATTCTTCATTACAATAAAAAAATTTAACCAATAGAAATGGCAATATTAATCAATAAAACTGCAATACATGGCTATAGATTCTGTCAATATTAACTATGCCTTGGACATCTGACAGATCTAATATTTATCATTATCAATAAATTTTGACAAGTAATTACTTTAGTGTTTTTTTGAAGTTAATTTTCTACTTTATTATGATAGTCGTAGAAAAAATAGTGTACGTGTTTAACATTTAATGGGCTATTATAAAATATGACATTAACATTGTTGTGTTGATATTTTTAAATACCTATGCCTTTGAAATAAGTTTTAATATTTTTAATTTTTATTATAATTGTGTTTTAAACTTTAATTCTAAATCATTATAAAATTTGTTTTTAACTTTCTAATTACGTTATTGGGTCAATATACGATTTTACAATTTACAAAAAAAGTTGTTAAGTAATTTTTGACATTCTAAAAAGTGTTGAAAATTAATTTAAATACTCCTCTATTGACAAGTTGTGACTTATGGCATTTTAGTCACGGGCTGAAGTTAGCTTTATTATAAATTAGGAAAAAGTGAGGGTGACAGTTGACAGATGTCAAATTTTTAACATGAGTACATTAGATGCACAACTCTGTATTTGCAGGATAAGTGATTTTAAGAAAAACACAAAAAACCGCTCATAAGGTAATTTTTGAAAAAAAAAATGCAAAAATTGTATAGACGTGCTTTTGCATCATTTCTTATTCAAAAAAGTAAATAAAAATCCTTTAAAATTAAGTAGTTTAGTAAATAATTGAAATCAAAAGATTTAAAAACATAGTTTTGCATCTTCCTCGTTCAAAGACCAAGTTTTGCAAGTGAAAAGTGCAAATACCAAAAAATAACAATTAATCAGGTGATTGTTATGTCGTCACGTAATGCGTATACTAGCGACGTGATTGGTCTACAGCAAATACCGAGTTTTGCATCCGACAGGAAGAAACAAATACCCAGTTTTGCATCTGCGGTAAGTTTATAAATGTATTTCATTCTACAAATATTAACTTATGCATCTGGTTTACTTAAGTATGTTGTGGGCAGTGCAGTTATGAACATAAATAGGATAAAATATATATTTTTTAAAAATTTGCAATAACCGAGTTTTGCATCTAATGTACTCACATATAAAATTGGATTCAAATTGTTTTGCGTTCGTCGTAGATAAAGTATAGTATGCAACTTGTTTATACACTTTTCTAGGCACTCGTTTTTATTACACACTCCCTCGCAAGCTTTGCTCGTGTCTAATAAAACTCGTAACTAAAATGGGGTTTATAAAACATAATATACTCTTAAAATTATAAAATCTTATTTTAACTATTTTGATATTGTAAAAATTCTAAAATATGCCTGCCAAGTCTTAATATTTTTAATTAAGTTTACATTCTAAATTGTGTTTTTGTCACGATTAAAAATTAAATTTATAATATTTTGGAGACAAATAGAAAAAAATACTACTTACATTAAAAATGTCTGGCGAACACTGCGTCAAAACCACGGTGATCACGGACGCCAAAGCCGTCTCGGCAAAAGTCTCCGACCTATTCTTGTTATTGTTGCTGCTGTTCGCCATCTCAAGCCGAACGAAATCCAGCGAACTCGACTCGACCCACGTGCACAAACGATCCAAAAACTGCAGAACGAAATCCTCAAAGTTGGCGGTGGCCTCGCACACGATGTGCTCCTCTTCGCTCAGGTCTTTGTGATGGTTGTGCGCGTCCGACGAGTTGATTAGCGGGATCATGTTGACGAAGTGCACGATGAAGCTGAAGGTGACGTAGGATTTGCGCACGTCGTTGGGGTCGATGCCGGGCAAGAGGGCCATGAGCAGAGGCACGACGTGCGTCGGCCCCTCCGGGTAGTTGTTGTTCTTTCCCTGAACCATGTATCTAGGAAAAAAGTTGCAATTTGAAACGCGTGTGCTGGCCCAATACTTTTATTCAGGTTGAAAATGTATTGTTTTAATCGAAAAATAATAAAGTCAACAGTTTTTATTCTGGTTGAAATAACAGTTAAATAACTAGAGATGAGAATTGAAAAGTTTCCATTTTAAGGAAAGAGAATTTATTTTTATATTGAAAGTATCTTTTTAAGTTACCTTAAACTTTCCCCGTTTTTTATATAAACGTCATTTGCAAAGTTAAGGCCAAGAAACTGAATAAGAAGAACTTAATTTGTGTTAATTTAAAAAAGAAGAAGTTTGTTAAAGATCTTATCACAATTCATAAATCGTTTGCAAAAAAACCCATTGCATAAAAGCCTTTTAAAATGTAAATAAAAATAAAACAATAAACAAAGTTAAAATCGTTTTTATTGTTTATGCTCAATGCAAGTTCTGTAAAAAAATATATGTTGTTAATGCAACCAAAATGGTCAACCAGTCCACCAGGTAGCAATGCCAGTTCTGGAAACATACAAGAATTTTTTGATAACATGTCTCTTGACAAACAGAATAAATTGGAAACACTATTTGCTCGAGCAATTTACTCTAGTTCTTGCCCATTTAGTTTAGTCAAAAACCCTGATGTAATATTTTTTAAGCAACTATGTCCAAGTTTCAATCTACCTGGAAGAAAGAAATTAAGTAGAACATTGCTTAACTCTGAATATGCAACAATACAAAAAGTAGTTGAAGAGGCTAATAATATGACAATTCTTTCAGATGGTTGGACAAATGTCAATGGGGTGGCACTAATAAATTTAATTGTAGCAACTCCAGAGCCTGTATTTTTAAAAGACTAAAAAATGTTGATTTTATTTTGCCTGTACTGCCGTGCTTAATGAAAACGCCGTAACCAACAATTGTGCGATTTTAGGTTTACGGCATTTTCTACTAGAACAATTCATCCTGCGTCTATCCCCGGTACTCAAAAAACCGTATATATATAGATACGGTTTTTTGAGTACCGGGGATAGACGAAGGATGAATTTTTCTAGTAGGAAATGCCGTAAACCAAAAATTACAAAATTGTTGGTTACGGCGTTTTCATTAAGCACGGCAGTGTAGTTTTTTCATATTTTATTGGTCAGAACTGCAATACTATTTTTAGTATCTTTTTAATATTCCTATATAGGTAGGTAGCCAATATTATTTATTTTTGCAACTAAAAACTTATTTCATCAATTTTTTTTTCAAACTTTCGGAAAGTTTCGGTATTTTTTTATGGAAAGGTTCCAGAAATTTTCGTGCAATGGGAATTTTCCCATCTCTCTAAATAATCCATATTTTTAAAAATGGCTCCAGATCGAAAATTGTAAACTAAACTGCGCACCACTCAATGTGTCGCGACCAAAAAGTTCGTTCTTTTTCAAAACGACATAACTTTTTTGTTTCTTGAACGATTTTATTTAGGTCTGTGATGTCTGCTAGCCTCATCCTCTGGCAAATCATGCTATAGATATGAAGCTTACGGTTCTTCAAGAAAATTTCCTACAGGGTGATATGTTAAACGGTGAAAAATTTCAATAACTTCATCCAAGCCCCGTTTGTAATAAAATATTTTTTTTTCGTTTTTACTTTGAAATAATGAAGTATTATGTCTTACCTTGAATCATGTTTAAAATTTTTCGAATTGAAATCTTAGCAACAAAAATATGATTTTTTTTTTAAAAGAGTACATTTAAGGGTTTTTTTGAAGGCAATACACTCAGTTTTTTTAGGAATAAGAAGATAAGCAATACACTCAGTTTTTTTAGGAATAAGAAGATAAAATGGTGGAAGATTGTTTCTTAAATAATTCTGAACAAGCGACAAGCAACAAACTTCCATTATTTTTAGAGGGCCTAAGCAAAGAACACTTTTTCAAAATAACATTTTGGTAAAAATTTACTTGAAGAAACTTGAGCTTCATATCTATAGCATGAATTGCCAGAGGATGGGGCTAGCAGACATCACAGACCAAAATAAAATCGTTTAAGAAACAAAAAAGTTATGTCGTTTTGAAAAAGGACGAACTTTTTGGTCGCGACACATTGAGTGGTGCGCAGTTTAGTTGCAAAGTTCTCTCTGAATTCCAAGCTAATGGAATCAATCTCACCAAGATAAATTTTACCCTATTTTAAAAATATTATAATAAATCAATTGATAACTTGGGTTTACTGAAGGTAAATCCACAATAAATAATTCAGTAATTTTCGATTATGTGCTGCGTGCTTTTGAGAGAAGATATCAGGTAGATGCTATTTATACCTTTTCCAAAGCATTCATCACAGTAAATCATGAAACTTGAGTCCTTGGGAATCAGGGGTAGCATTTTAAATTTGATTAATTAATTGGGTAAGTATTTATAAAACCTCATTATGGTTTATTAAGGAGTACCACAAGGTGCTCATCTTGCTCCTTTGTTCCATTTAAAGTTAATTTAGCTCTCAACCAAATTTTCTACTAATTCTTTTTTAATTTAACGTTATTTCTTTTGTAATGAATCATAATTGTACATAATTTGTTGTAACTGGCTTTTTCAATAAAGTATTACTATTATTATAATTATAATGTTTTTGGATTGATCCGAACCCTAACTTTTTGTTTTCATAATTTACGAACCGTTTATCGCACCGGGGCAACAGACTTTTAAAATACTGTCAATTTTAAGATCTACATTTTTTATACTACTTAGTGCGCTTAGATGCGCTGTTACATGTATATATGCAAAAAACTGCAACTTATTTGGAAATTGGTACATTTGCGTGTTTTTCGTTAATTACGCAATACTGCATCAACAAAAAAGTAAATTACAAAGTTTTAATATGTTACCAACACAATTATAAGGCCGAAAAGGGTTAAAATGTTATTTTTACGGAAACGTCGAAATATTGTAGATTGTCTTACACTGGACCAATTTACTTAAAGTAAATGTTCATTTTATAGGAAAGATAAAAAAAGGAGAAAACCATTTTTCAAGAAAATGGTTGAGTTTTTTAAATATATTTAAGCAGCAAGGTTTCATAAAAAATGTAGCTCTAAATTACCAGTTTTTTAAGAGTCTGTTTGCCTGTATGACAAGCGTGTCATAAGTTATACATACTATTAAATGTATGCTCTTTTGATTAAAAAAAATAAAATTCCCACCACTATAAAAGTATTGGGATAGGGATTTAGACATAAAATCTTACACTTTTACTCCCCTAACATTATTTAATATAAATTTAGTATTTAAAAAAAAACAGAAAAATGATATTTTAATTTGCTGTTACTGAATATAAGCTTTCTGGTAAATTAAGGGGTAAATTAACACGTAAGTCAAAAAATCATATTTGCATGTGTTCATGGCGTAAAAACTTGGTGGTTGCTCAAAAATTAGAGAGAGAGAGAGGTAAAAATAAATAATGCCATAAGATGGATTACCTATTTCTTCACAACCTCCTTGATATGGGTTTGACGAGTAGAAAACGATAAGGTGGGTGAAATTTTTTTAATTTTTTACACACTAAACTTGTACCAGCCAAGATAAACATCCTTTGTGAGTACAATGGCGCTCAACTGTGTTTTTTATTTCCTAAAGCAAACATTCGGGAAACATATTTCTCACCTTCCCACAGCTATAACACCCATCATCGAGGACGTAAGCTTGTGGGGCTCCGTCAAGCTATCCATGGACGCGGACAGCTTCTCCAAAGTCACGGGCACTATGATGTTCGGCCGCAGCGATGCCAAGTACTGCAACGTCAAGCAGGTCTCCTGCTGGCCCATGCGCGAGAACATGGCCTGCTCGACGCACGGACGCATGACGTTCACGAAGCGGTCGATGTCGTCGTCGGTGAGCCGGAAAGAGTCGACGATGTGCATCTCCCACACCTGCTTCTTGTAGCGCTCGTAGTGAACGCGCTGCACGAAGTAGTAGGAGAGTTTGCGGATTAGCTCGCGCAGCTTTCCGGTCCACCTGAAAGAAATAGTGCATAGTACGAGCAAATTTACACAATCTAAACACTGCCTTTTATATCTAAAATCTTTTAAAATCTATTCAAATAGAACACATAAACATAATATTATGGCAAGTTCCTATAACGGACAACCCTGGAAATTGTTTATTTTTAAATAACTTTTTTCTACTCCCACCTTTAAAACGCCCTTTATCGTACATGTTTCCATGACACTAAGTGACCTTTTAAATACACATTGACAAGTTGTGGCTTTACGGCGCTTTAGTCACGGGCTGAAGTTAGTTTTAAGTTAGTTGACAGTTGTCAAATATCATACAATCGTTAAAATCATAGATAACAAAGCCTTAAAATAAAATAAATAAAGTGCCTTTCTTGTAAAATAATACTAAATGTGAAAATTATTTTATTATCTCAATACAAAAATAAAAAAATATTAAATATGTAGTTTCTCAACGCCAATATATGAAAAGTTTATATGAACATTGTACTGACCTTTTAATTTCGACGGCAGTAAACTATAACTTAAATTCGGGCACGGACTCTACTGTAAAGTCTTCATAAAACATTTCCTTTACTTTCACTGTGAAAAACTGTCAATGTTCAATATACATTTCGATTTATAACCTTTATAATTGTGTTTATAAAATGTAAAAAAGTGACATTTGACAGTTTCCCCTGTTGTTTCATAGATGGCGCTCTATACAAATTTTTGATTTAAATAATTTTAGGATAATAATAAGTATTTGTCGTAGAAAAAGTATAGTATGCACCTCGTTTATAAACTTTTCTATACTCGCAAGCTCGCTCGTGCCTAAATTAAATTCGTGTATAAAATACATAATATACTATTAAACTACTAGGTAGAATTTCATAATTTTTTAATATATTGTTTACTAGGAAAATTTCCTTAAAATGGGCACTTTTAATCACATTCGGAGTGTTTAGTTTTCCAGGGACGGACTAGCCATATCAAGAGTACCATAAGTTACCATAAAGGCACAAAAATAATATGTTTGATTAGCTTAAAACTTAAACTAAAAAAAGGTACTCTTGAGTAGGGTTTTTTGTATTTATTTTTATCTTTTTGCAATGTTTTTTTTACATTTACCGATTCAAATGACGATGTCAATGTCAGTTAAAAATAGATTGTTTTGAAATTTTCAATCTTTTTCCTTCTTTCCATGGGCATACGTTATGGACTAGATTTTTTATAGGAACTTGTCATATTATTTTTATGTGTTCTATTTAAATCCGGGAGATTGCCCACATATTCTGGGACACCCTGTATATTATATAAGGTGCAGACTTACTACATACATACATATAGCAATTTGGCAATTTGTTATGATTTTTGAAACACAAAAACTGTAACAAAGGGTCATAAAGTATTACGTAACGCATTTTTTGTCTCTCCGATTCGTAACATACGGTAACATATCGCTTAGCCCCCTCTCACCTTAGTTGTAATGTAACACTAGGAAATTTTAATATAATGTATAATTTTGTTGTTTTAATAGTGTAAATTGGTATATTATTAAGTTTTATAAACGATATGTTAGTCACAAATTTAATTTAGGCACGAGCAAGCAAGTGCTTAATTAAATGAGTTAAAAAAGTTTATAAACGAGTTGCATACTATACTTTTTTTTAAAGAAATATTATCTAAAAAAATATTTAAATTAAATATATGTATAGAGCGACATCCCAATCAACATTTTTGACGTAATTTTCACCATTAACATTGCCTATTAATATTTTAATTAAACTTAACAATTATTGATACTTTAAAATATTAAAATAACTTCAAAATATGATTATTTTAAGAAAATATTTTTTCTTTTATTTGTTTTATTACTATAATTATTATTACTACCTATATCACAAAGTATTAAAAATTCTTACACGGGAAATGTTAAAGGTACAAAAAGTGACAGTTGTATTTATTGGAATTCCCGTTAGAATTTCTAACTTGGGAATCTACAGGCGTTAAAATCTCAAATTTTTTTGTTTAAATCAAATATTGGCGGCAAGAAACTATTTAATACATTTGTATTGAGATAATAAAATAATTTTCACATTTAGTATTATTTTACAAAAAAGGCACTTTATTTTAACGATTGTATGACATTTAACAACTGTCAACTAACTTAAAACTAACGCCAGCCCGCGCCTAAGAACCAGTTGGTAACTTCAGCCCGTGACAAAAGCGCCATAAAGCCACAACTTGTCAATGTTTATTTAAAAGGTGACTAAGTATCATGGAAACATGTACAATAATGGGCGTTTTAAAGATGTGAGTGGAAAATAGTATATTATGTTTTAAGTTTAATAAACATCATTTTAGTTACGAGTTTTATTAGACACAAGCGAAGCTTTCAAGCGAGTGTTTAATAAAAACGAGTGTATATAGAAGTTTATAAAAAGGAGTTGCTTACTATACTTTATCTTCGACGAACAGAAATAAGAATTTTAATTCATAAATATTTGAACCTCACTTTTTTGCAATATATAATAAAGCTAACTTCCGCCCGTGCCTAAAATTTACAAAAGCCACTGTATTTAATTTTAGCCTGTGACTAAAACGTCATAAAGTCACAGGTCGTCAATGTAGGAGTAGATAAAAAACATATTCCTGAGTCTTATTTTCTAGCGATTTGTTATGGGCCCACCCTACTCCCGCGCCATTCTAAAATAAGCTTCAACCATATAAAAATCATTTTTAAAAAATGTCTTGGTCTTTGTTTTTAAATTCTTTAATATGCTTTGTTTTTCTTAATTTTAGTGTAAAAAATCACTAAAACTGCAGTTTTAGTGATTTTTTACACTTTTCAAAGCTTTCAAATATACGAATTTTTTGAATTAAAAAAGTAATCCTGGTATAGATTCTTTGGGAAATTTTATGCTCTACAAGAATCCGCGACGTAAAAAATTTTATCTCAAACGGTTCAAAAGTTATAGTCTTTTTAATGAAAAAAGATTTTTTTACGTGTTAGTTCAATGGAAAACTTATAGTCCAGTCATCTAGGCATTTCACCTCGGAATCTAACGGAATAAGCTGAATTTTTGTACAAACCTTTATTTTAGTATTGCAAATGTTGTCTCAAAAGTCACATATGCCAACGTGTGAGCGGCCTTAGATATTCAAGGTCAAAGGTTGCAAAAATCAATTTTTTGAGAATATCTCCTTTTCTCTGCCTCCTATCGTATTTGCATTTATTATACAAGTTGTAGAGAATAAAATTCTCTACAAAGTTTTTTTATACGTCTAATCGTTTTTGAGATAGAGGGCGCAGAGTGTGGAGCGCTCAGCCATACGTACCTTTAGCGCAAGGTAAATCATGAATCCCAATCTATTATACCGCTTTTTAAATTAATTATTTATTAAATATTACTTAAATAACAATTTAATACATTATATTATATTATTATTATATTATATTTATTTTTATATATTTTTTTAAAACAAATAGTCAATAAATATTACCTACTTTTGACATACAAATAATTAAATAATGAAGTGAATCATTCTAAATATATTCTAATGTTATTCTAATTAATGATAAATGCATTTTAAGAAGAAAAGACATTAAAAGAATTTGCCTTGAATATGACCAGAGGGTCATCTCTTGGATCCAGATTTTCCTTTTAAAATAACAGACCTGGAAATACTATAGTGGGCTTGCTATAAATAAAAAGGTTAGTTATACCTATATTTAAAGCAACTTGTGACCCTAGGTATAGGTCTAGGGTTGTGACAGGTAATATTCGTAATTTTTTAAAGGTTAACATGGCTGATTTGTGTTTTATTTGTAATAAGTTACTTTCTGAAGGTGATTCTGTGACTTTTGTGCGCGGTATAAAGACTTTAAAAGAAGCAGTTATTGAGAGAAATAAACAGAAACTACCTAAATACTTCTGTAAACGTTCATATCGAGTGTCGAAAATTGTACGCTATAGCGTACTATACTGCCGTGTTAAGCTTAAAGGTCGTATCTGCAATATTTTGTAGTAAAGGACAGAAGAAAATTTTAATTTTAAAAACAATAAAGAATAAAGTTTTTTTTTTACTACCACAAACTGCCGTTCGAAGACAAAACTTCATATCTGCAATATTTAGTAGTTAAGCAAAAAAGCCATTTTTTATCATTTTATAAAATTAAAATTTTCTTCTGTCCTTTACTACAAAATATTGCAGATATAACCTTTAAGCTTAACACGGCAGTATAGTAAAATTGCAGCAGCAAAACGTCGCCTTGAAGAGACTGGACCTTCAACGTCATCAACTGTACCTCGTAAAAAAGGGAATGATGTGTTTGATTTTAAAATATGCTTATTTTGTGGTGGTCGCAGATGAGGCAACAAAGGCAAAAAAATCTGCAAAGTACAAACGCGTTATAAGTAAGTTTTTGAAGATATGACAATTAATGTCAATGATAACGAGGAGAATGATGATGAGAATGAGTCTGAAATTGCTGGCCAACCTGAAGAAGACGAGGATGAAGAAGATAAAGATTAATAATAATAATAATAATAATAATAATATTGATATAAATAAAAACATTTTTTCCTACTTCGATCCAATTATCCTTCATTAAAATTAAATTAAAATATAAGATATACGAGTATATGAAGATAAAATATATTTCATTTAAAAGAAATATAAGTATAAGGTATTAAATTTTTATTTTAGTAATATTTATTATATAATTAATTAAAAAACGGTATAATAGATTGGGATTCACGATTTACCTTGCGCTAAAGGTATGCTCCACACTCTGCGCCCTCTATCTCAAAAACGGTTCGACGTATAAAAAATTTGTAGAGAATTTGTAGAGAATTTTATTCTCTACAACTTTTATAATAAATGCAAATGCGATAGGAGGCAGAGAAAACGAGATATTCTTAAAAAACTGATTTTTGCGACCTTTGACCTTGAATATCTAAGGCCGCTCACACGTTGGCATATTATGTGACTTTTGAGACAACATTTGTAATGCTA